TTAAATTATATTAAATATTATTTTCTTAATTAAGTTATTATTTATTTATATTTATTAATATTTAAATACTAAATTAATTTTTTAAAATATTTTTATTATCTTAATTATATTTAATAATTCCTAAATTCTTAATAAAAAATATTTATTTTTAATTATAATATTATTATATATATAATAATTAATATATATTTTTTATATATTATTAGATTTTTAGATAAAAATAATTTAAAAATTAATCTTAAAAATTATTTAATAAATATATTAAATTAAGTTTTAATAATTTTTTAATTTATTTTAATTATTTATTTAATTTATTTATTTAATTTATTTATTTAATTTATTTATTTAATTTATTTATTTAATTTATTTATTTATTTAATTTATTTATTTAATTTATTTATTTAATTTATTTATTTAATTTATTTATTTAATTTATTTATTTAATTTATTTATTTAATTTATTTTTTAATAAAAAATAAAAATTAAGATTAATTAATATTAATATATTAATATTAATCTTATATTTTAAAAATTATTATAAAAAAAAAAAATTTAGTAAGTTTTTATAAAAAACTTAAATATATTTTTTTAAAATTTTTTAGATATAAATATTTTTATAATAAAAAATCCTTATTTTTAATTCTTTTTTAATTTTTTTAAAAAAGATCTTTTTATAAATAAAAAAAACTTTTATTTTTATTTATAATTTATATAATATATAATAAATCTATTTTTTATTTAAGAGATTAAGAATTATTTTTTAGATATTATTATTTTTTATATTATATATTAAAAAAATATAATAAGATTAATAATTTTAATTATATAAGATTATAATTAAGATTATTTAATTAAAATAAAGATTTTAATTATAAAAAAAATTATAATTAAGAATAAGTTTATAATTAATAAGATTAAGAATCTAAATATAAATCTATTTAATTTATTCTTATAATTATATAAATAATTATATAAATTCCTAAATTAATAAGATCTTATTATTTAATAATATAATTTTTAATTTTTAAGAAAAAATATAAATTTAAGATTTTCAATTTATTTTTTTTAAAAAAAAAAAAATAAAAAAATATATATTAATCTAAAATTAATTATTATATTTATTTTTATTATATTTTTATTTATTTTAATTATTATTATAAAATATATAAAAAAATTATTTATAATATTTAATAAATCTTATATTAAATAAGATTAATCTAATTTATAATTTATTAAATAAAATAATCTTAATTTAGGATTAAATATAAGATTTAATAAATTTTTTTTTTTAAAAATAAAAATATAAAAAATCTTTTTTAAATAATTAATAAAATTTTATATTAATTATTTTAGTTTTTTAATATAACTAAAATTAAATATTTATATTTAATATAATTAATCTTATTATACTAATAATAAATATAAATTATTAATTAAATTTTATCTTAATCTTTTATTTAAGATATTATAAATTATTTTTAATTATTAAATTAATAAAATATAATTAAAAAATTTATTATATTAAGATTAATTAATTTTATTTATTAAATATATAATAAGATTAAAATAAAATAATTAATATAATTTATTAATATAATATTTATTTTAAATTTATTTAATCTTATAATTATTTTATTTTAAAAAATAACTTAGATATTTATTTTTATTTATTATTATTATAATTTTATATTAATATTTTTATAAAAATACTAAATTATAATATTTATAAGAATATTAAAATCTATTTTATTTATAATATTATATTAAATTTAGATATATTCTTAGATAATTTTTTTTATTAATATATAATATTAAAACTATTTCTTTTTTTTTTTAAAAAAATATTTTAAGAATTCTTATTAAAATTATATTTTAAAATCTATATAAATAATAATTAAAATTAAATAATTTTTATATATAATATCTTAAATTAATATCTAAGTTTTTTTAGTTTAATTTATAAATTTATTTATAATAAATCTAATTTTTAAATTATTATTTAGTTATATATTTTTATATTATTTTATATTCTTAAAAATTTATTTATAATTAATTAAGAATAATTTAGTCTTTTAGTTTTATATTTTTTTCAGAATATTTTTTAATTAATTTAATATTTTTTATTAAAGATTAATTTATATTTTATTAAAATTAATCTAAATAATTTAGATCTATAATAAATCTTATTTAAGAATTTATTATAAATCTTATTAAGAATAGAAAAAATAAATTACTAGAAATCTTATATTTATATATATATTTATTATATTAATAATTTAATAATTTTTTTATAATTTTTAATATTAATTAATATTAAATAATTAAGATAATAATAATTAAATTAAATATATTTAATTATATCTAAAAAAGATTATTTTCTTTTTATATATTTAGTATTTAAAAAGTTATAATAATCTTATTTAAGAGTAATATATTAATTCTAGAATATAATAATTATATTTAATTAAAAATAATATTAAAAATAATTATTAATAATAAGATTATTAAGATATCTAAATTACTTAGATTTAATTATTTATTATCTTAAGTTATTTTATAAGGATTTTATTTAATATAATAATTTTTATATATTTAAAAATAATATATAACTTTTTTTAAGAATATAATCTCTTTTTTTTAATTTTATATATTCTTAGTAATAGAATTTTTTAGATAGTTTAGGATAAGTCTATCTAAATATATAAATCTTTTAGGGAAATTAGAGATATCTTAGTATTTTAATCTAGAGATAATTAATTATCTCTAATTAGCTATAATAATAAGAGATTATAGATTTTAAATATATTATTATATATAATTTAGCTAAGAGTATATAATATTTCTATATATTAAGGATAAGATTAGATAAAATTAATTAATCTTAGTAGAATTAGCTAAGTAATAATAGAATTAGATAAAGTTAGAGAAAGTCCTTTTAGTATATCTAGATATATCTAGATATAAGAGATATTATCCTATTATCTTAATATTTAGCTAAGGATAGCCTTTTAAAAGAAGAGAGATATTTATAAAGAAATATAAGAATAAATAAGATAATACTATATTTAGTAAAGATAAGTTAATAGAGGATAGGAGTTTATATATTATCTATAGATAAAATAATAGAATAGAAATCCCCTAGACTAATTCTAGTAAGAATTAGTCTCTATCTAACTATAAATAATCTTTAATTCTTTATCTAAATATAGAGTCCTTATTATTTTACCTTCTATACCTAGTCTACCTACCTCCTATTATATCCTTAATTTAGCTAAAGGAATACTAAGGAATCCCTTAATCTTACTAAATAATATATACTATATATTTAATACTAGTAATTAAGTAGTCATAACCCCTTAACTCTAATACCTAAGGACCAAAGTCTAAGCTAATATACCTAGAAGCCTCTGTCTAATCAAATATTTACTAATATAATAGTAATTCTCACCTAAAAATATTCTTAGTTTGATGCTTTTTCTATATAGATAAATAAGAATCAAAGTTTATTTCATAAAAATACCTCATTCTGGCTAAAGGCTACCATTAAGGGGGCTGGACAAATTAAGATATATTTAGTAGGGTAACCAGTTTTTCTTATAGAGAGCCTGAACCCCCCCTTTTTTAACCATAAAGATTGAAGAGCAGGTAGTAACTAGTTAGTTTATTCCTTATTCTTTAAGTTCTTTTATTATTCTTCTTCTTCGAACTCAAACTCTATTATTTCTTCTATTTATTTATTCTATAACTTCTATCTTGATTCTTTATTCTGGACATCAAATACTCTACCTCTGACTATATAGTTACTATCTTATATATAGTAGTACTATATATTCCCTATAGAAGGACCTAGGAGCCTTATGATCCTAGCTCCTAAAAGTATAAAAGCATCCTAACTATGCTCAGAAATAAGCGCCCGAGAGAAGTAAGGGTTTCAAGCTTATAACCAGGTATAAATATCTCCAACTCATTATAGATATTCTATCTACTAATCTTAACTATTAAATTTATAGATATCCTTTAGACTATTTAATAGGAATTTTTGGGTAGCTAGTCTGAGTCTACTAGATTAGGTTTATGACCTCTATCTTTAAATAGTAGTATATAATATAAGTCCGTGTTGATAATAAGTAGCAGTGGTTAAATTAGGATCAATCAAGTGTAGGAAGCCTCCCGAGCGGCCAAGCCCGTAAATACTAAGTAAGATGGCTCAGACTGGACTTTGTTATTGAATTACAACGTGGCCTTTTTCAACCTGGGGGAAGTTTGTTTGGCCCGGGCGGCGATGACCTCACCTCCTAAACTCTTTCAACAACGCCCACGAAGACATCCTCCCTAACAGTCAACATGGTAAGTGATTGCGCCCTTAACCCAAACCTGTATAGGAGTGAACTGATTTAACTTATGATCTACAGACGCAGACACCACAGCAGCGACGTGCGAATGAACGATTCGCAAAGCATGAGGCCGCTAAACGAGGGAAAGGGCCTGTGATCAATAAACCTAAACAAACGGCAAAGACCTCTATCTCAGCAAGTTGGCTTGGTAAATCAACCCCGAAGACCTTTTCTATTCTGATCCTTGAGCTAAAAAGCAATATATCTCCAGTGATTCTGGCCTTTGTTGTCTGCGGTGGACTTATCTTGGAGCTCTTGAAGGTGGTACCGGAGATCTGGTCGACCGTGGCCTCAACCATCTCCCGAGTCACTGGATAGTTACAACAACTCCTTTTCCTTCACAACGAATAACAATACCCCGATAGCTAAGACTGCCAGTCTTGTCGAATCTTTATTGCCTTCAAAACGGCCTTTGACGTCGATTACTCCCCCCCTCCCGCATTTTGCCATAGCTGGCCAACAAGTGATACTCGGCCTGCGATACAAGCCTCGGCACTGTAGATGGATTGGTCTTATTACCCTACATTGGAAAGTTAGGTCCTGTATTATATCGCAATTGTCCAAATAATCTCGGATTATCTTTTGAGTAAACACGAATGAGACGATTCACTCGTCTGCTTCTTTCCTCCTCTTCTTCTTCTTCTTTATCTCCCCAGACCCATCGGCAGCCTGGCCCTTTATCCCCTTCTTCTTTTTCTTCTTTACCAGAGTGCCCTCAGCAGGTGTTCCCTCTAGCTCAATTCGCTCCGATACCCTTTGCATGCGCAAGCGCATCTGCTCCACATTTTGCATCGCTTTCCTCATCTCATCATCTTCACTCTCAGCCGGATTGGCACCCTGGCCATCATTCACATCCGATCGAAGCTGCCCGAGTCCGCTAGAGTCAACCTGTAGTAATGAGCGCTTGAGAGCTGGTCCTCCAACGGCCCCGGGGGAGTGGCCAAGGGGTGCTGATGCTTCAGATCCAAATGTTTCATCCGTGGCAACCTCCATTTTTGCGCTAGAGTGTGTCCGTCGTGTACTAACACCCCCTTTCCTGATTGATTCATCATCCAATCTTAGATTGACGATAGGGATCAAGTCAATGTCTAATGTATCATCACTGGATCCATGGGGGATATCATGATGCGGCGTGGATATGCCGGAAGATGGATCCAACGGCGCAATGTAAAAGGGATCATCCCGATAGCGCTCTCTCCGATGGACCTTTTTCCGATCCGCAATGCTTGGGTAATCCATTACCCCACCGGGACCTTTTTGGTAAGAAGTGTCAATTTGCATTTCAGCCAATCCCAGCTGTTCTTGAGGGGGCTTATACGAATGTGGAGTGGTATCGGCGACGTAGTAAAATTGTTGAACGACATGGTGTGTGGTTGTTTCGGCCAGAGAGCTCCCAAATGCCTGGAAAAGGTCTGACAGATCATTGCTGAATGCTTCATCCAGATGGAGATCGGGGGGCAACACTACCCTCTTCTGAGCACTGACTGCAACTGGGTTAAGCTCCAACCCCGCGAATAAGTTTGGAATGACGGAAGCAAGGAGGAACGGGACACCCTCTGTTTCAGAGTGCAGTGATTCAGCCCCCAGGCGAAGGACTTCCAGAAATTCAATAGCTCGCTCTTGCACGTCCAAGTCAGGATGGGCTGCTAATGCATCGAGGAAATCCAGAACCCGGGCGAGGAGAAGAGAAATTTCACTGCGCCATGCGTCTTTTGTCTCGCAGGATTGATACACCCGGATCAAAACCTTGGGGATAGCTTGCAAGAACAATTGAAGTGTGCTGGGAGGCAAGGAGAGAGTAGACGAATCAATCAACGACTGAAGGGTTCGATTGGGCGATTGGAGATAATCTGCATACTCTCCAACAACCCATGCAACAGGGCCCAAGACATCAATACCGACATTCGAAGAGGCAGGAAATAACAGCAGCCTATTATCGATAAGCAGCAGAGACTCCGCTGCCTGGGTGGCCTCCAGCCGCACCCCCTTCACGCGGACAGCAATACTGCGCATTTCGGATCCGATGCGTGACGCGACAGTGGCCCTCCAGCCAGTTCCAATGAAGCCTTCCTGGCCTCCCGTAGAGTGGTCGGGAATGGGATCGAGCGTATCTGATGGCGGAAGAAGCCTGACTAACTGAATCAAAATACCGACATACCACTCAAAATCAACCACATTAGAATAGTTACTCTGTGAGCATATATCCAGAATATGATGAATAACTTCGGATCGATAGTTGTTCGGCATGCTGGGTGTATCCATAACGTTATTTGAACCTTTGGAACCCTCAAAGTCGTCCGTATCAAGCGGGCCAGACGTTACCTCGGGATCAGGCCCATCTTCTGAAACTGCCAGTTGAAGCTGCCCAACAAGTCGATTCACAACACTTTGGAGGGAATCGCTGGTAACTAAACCAGCAACAAGCTCCAGGGCCTGGAGCCGAATAGAAACATCTAAATCGTCCAGACAGTCCAAAATCACATCTTGTTGCATGGACACCAAAATGGGATGGGTTGTCACGATACGATTCAATGCAAGGAGTGCCACATACTTGACTAGATCCCAGAAGTCAGAAATCCACTAAACTTATCAAGATATGATTGGGGCCCACTCACGATTAGGATCGGAATCCATAACAATCATTCCCCGCAGCTTTCCGATACAGAGGCCCGCAACTTCGTCTCTCTCTTCAGTATTATCTTCACCATCGAGAATGCCTCCCTGGATGATGCCATTGATACACTCGTAGAGTAGGGACATGGCCGTCGTGGTTTGAATTATATTCGTCAACGGGCGCAGGAGCTTGCGGGTCAGTCGTGGCTCTAGCGGAGTCAGAGTAGCGAACTGTACGCCCATTAGATTGAAATTGTCAATTGATCAAAGATTCACATACTAGCTTGATGATTTTGATTGCCATCCAATTATTGCCACTATCCACGAGGAGCTCAAATAATCGGGGGGCAAGAGGAAGAAAATCGTGAGGCCGCCTCCAGCCAAGCTCACACACAACATTTATCGCTGCAGTTGTCACACTGCTGTCTTCCTGTTCATCCATGAGATGGTCCTTGATCTTCGGCCACGCTAGCTTCAGGGCATCTGGATAAACTAGAGCCAATCGGTAGAGGCACACGATAGACTTTTTTCGGACAACCGGACTTGAATGGGAGAGACGAGATAAGATATCAGGAAGCAATGACATGGCAAGCGAGGGGGTAGTGATATGTGGTAGCGTAGCCAGTGGCAGTGACAGGGTGAGGATATTGGGCGACACTATGTCCTGAAGACCGGGGGGGTTAGAATACTTGACCGGCCTGGGAGAAGAAAAATTCATGCCGAACGCAGCTAGCCATAGTTAACGAACCTTTTTTAGCATGTTGGTCGCCAGCATCAAAACTTCAGTGTCTGGTCGAAAACTTTGAACAGCCCCAAGATATCCCACTCGTTTCTGTAGGTATTTCGGGGATGACATGACTTCCAGGACATGAAACGATGCCCATGACATGTCGTAACCAAACATCTCCAAGTATATCAGCTTAAGGAGTGCCGTTGCCTTCTTATCTGCCCATGTTTAGCATCTTATCTCTCATTGGTGTAGCTATCAAACGAATCCCCTACCTATGTCTTGCAATTTGATCTCTGCTTTGCATTCACGCAGACAAGCCTGAACGTACTCATCTTCTCCTCCTTTGTGGCTGCGGAGGCCCTTTATCAGGTCATAGAGCGATTTTTCAAACCTAGCATGCGCGGGTCAGTTCCGCCGTCTGGCTGGTTTGGTCATGGGCACCACCGACATCGCGTTGACCTCCTGCTCTCACGGTGAGAGGAAAGGAATCAAGAGAGGGGGAGAAAAACAAGTTCAATTGTAAAAGTCTCTCTTTATTATCATCCTCTCCTTGTTTTTGTTGGCAGGCTCTTGGGAACTGGATGAAGGTTCAAGTCAAGCGACAATTGAGGGATTGACGTGGGGGAAGGATAAGCATCACGGGACCGTGTTCCAGACTCCACGCACCGGCGGGTCTCCACATCTCTCCGGACGACCACTCTTGCCTTGCTCCATGGCGTGAATAAGAAACCAGTATTTTACGGCCTCTTAATCACCCGTTTCGAAAAGTCATGGCATCTCTTGTCGAATCCCGGGAGATCAATGGATCTGATCTGATCTCTGCTCTCCATCTCTCACAGCAAGCGCCTGCGATTCTCGGCCATGATCTCTCTAAACCCACACCGACCAGTTCATCCTCCGCAGATACGGCAGAGGAGTATAAACGGATTGAGCAACTTTTCCTCGCCTGTCTGCGAACAGGTGATGATCAATCCGCTCAGGCCTGTCTTGATCGATTGAGCCACCGGTTCGGTTCCTCCAACGAGAGGGTTATGGGGCTTCGTGGCCTCTACCAGGAGGCGACTGCTAAGGATAATTCTGCCTTGGAAAAATGCTTAAAGGAATATGAAGCTATCCTCGTGGAGAATCCGGTCAATATGGTTTGTTTCTGCTGAGCCCCACCCTACCTCAATCTATTGAATGGTTTGTGTTGACCTTTTTTAGCCTATCCTGAAGCGTCGAGTCGCCTTGCTCCGCTCGCTTCACCGGCCGACTGATGCAATCACCGCTCTCATCCAGCTGCTTGATGCTATTCCAACCGACGCGGAAGCTTGGTGCGAACTCGCCGACCTATATCAGTCCCAAGGCCTAGGTGCACAAGCCATCTTCAGCCTTGAGGAGGCTCTTCTCATCGCTCCTAATGCCTGGAATGTATGGATATATTCTCCTCCCTGGTTCTCTCTTCAGTTTGACCAACCCTCTTATGTAGATTCATGCCCGACTCGGTGAAGTGCTCTACGTCAATGCTTCCTCCCCCCGATTGTGTCCAGCTCGTTAGCAAGTCGGTCCAGCATTTCTGTCGAAGCATCGAGCTCTGTGATGATTACCTTCGCGGTTTTTACGGATTGGCTTTGGTATGTTTGTGTCTACGGTCGTACTTATGACTACGATAACCCCCCTCCTTTCCCTCTTTATTCCCTATCAATTGATTGCCAATTCCCCCATCTGACCAAATCCCGACCAGGCCTCATCTCGCATGCTAGAACCCGACTTTGTGAATGTCGTAGCGCTTCCGAAGAAAACCGTTGACCAGCTGCAACGCTTTTCTCTTGCACGACTCCAAGAACTTGTCCAGTCCCGGTCGGTAGATGATCAACATTGGGCATCTAGCCGCAGCGAACTTATCGCTGCTAAAGCCCTATTGAATCGCCTTCAGTCAACCCAATAAATTCTTTAGGTACAGTGTTAAGACTTTTTTTGGTTTGGATATACCCTCTTGTTATTATTTTTGCTATCTCCCTCTGGAAATTTAATTGTGTTCTTTTTCTTTTTCTGTTTTGTATTTGTTGTCACACAACAATGCCCCCGTGGAGAGGTTGTATACTCGGAGCGTACAGGTGTATTTTGTAGTGTATAATATGCATGAAATCGTATTATTCTTTATTCTATGCCTTCCATGTACCTTTCCATATATCTTCCATGCCTTACGGGACAAGACAATCCTATGGTTCCAAAGTTCCAAGGTTCAAGTGTTTCAAATACTGTTCAACATGTATCTTTTTATACTCAAATATGTCCTGTACTACCCTCTCGTCATATTCTCCCCTGATGATCTTTAGATCCACATCTGCAGACTCGCTATGACCGGGACTCCCCATTGCATTTAGAAGGCTTGATGGGGTGTCTGATAGTAGAAAGATTTCCAGGTGGGTCATGATTGGGCATTTTCGGGCAGCGCTTTTACATTCAAGGATGCAGGCAAGACCCTACTAACTCTTCATTAGTTACAGAGCCCAACCATGTATTGCCAGCCCAATAACAAGTCTCATTAGGCCGTCATATTTCCCCCAATCAGTTTGGAGTCCAAAGGGAAATTGGGGGATGGTTTTTTTGTTTATATTTATATTTATATTTATTTTACTTGATTTTTATTTGATTGAATTTTCGCATTAGAGTCATATATAGACTTGATTTTAATCTGGCGCAAGGACTTTTCTTTTAATGCGCCCAATCTTGTAAACCCAAAACCACTTCAAAATTACCATTACTGCTTCCACGTAGGCTTTGGAGGGGTTTTATTGGTTTTGTGATGGTTTTTTAGAAGGGGAATTTGGGATAATGTTGATACTCAATACTAAGACTATTTGACATAACATTCCTGGACTTCATTGATTATTTCTTCACCTTTTCTATTCTTTCCTTATATCTACACTCCCACATATACGCACGCACACACAACTTTCACCCCCTCTAAACTTAACCCCCCCCCCTAACCTTGATCCCTTTCAAGTCCTTCTCTTTTTTCCTTTTTCCTCTTTTCTATATATACTATACACCCCCCTTCGATCCCGCTTCCAAGAGGCTCAAGTCTCTATGACGTATGTTTTGAATTCCTCCCTTTTCTCTCCTTTTTATTACTGCCCTTATATCCCCCCCCCCCCCCCCTCTCTCCCCCAATTCTTCCCCTTCAACATCCCACCTTGCCTTGGAATTCCCCTCTTTTCTTCCTGTTTGGCAAAGGAATGAATTTCATATTCATATATATATAATTCCACTACCTACCCAATATTATGTTTTAATCACCTGCCCATTGCTTCAGAAACTGACCCCATATCTCCTCAATCTAGGGTCAGCATCTCGGTTGGCCCCGCTGATCCGCACGACTCGGATTTCTCTCAGTCGGAGGACGAGGACTCCTCGGGTGTACAAGTCTCCCTCCCCTCCGACGGGAGTCATGAATATACAGATTATGATGAGTGGGCGCATCTGCCATATCCGGATGAATTGAAACCATCTGATTCAGCCTCTCGACCAAGGACCTCGAACCGTAACCGTAACCGTTCCCTCCACGGTTCGCGCTCGGCTTCGGGCCGTCGTCAACCATCGCGCCACCAAATGATTCCTGATCGCGATCGCGATCGCGACTATGGCTCTCGGGCCCGTCGCCAGCACTCGCCAGAGTCGCCCGGTAGTGCGGATTCCGAAGAGTTTGCCGCCCACTACTCTCGCAACCCTCATGAGCGGCGATGGGCTGCACCACCGCCCCAGGGTTACCCACAAAGTGTTTCCTCCGGCCCTTCATTCAACAACCATCAATACCCCCCGGGCCATGGTCAATTCCCCCACCAAAACCCTCCTCAGCCCTTGTCTGATCAACTAATTCGACTTGGCCATGGGAACCCAAACGGCCAGCCCTACGGCTCTGCGGCCTACCCTTATGGGCCGCCGCATGGTGCTACCCCCATGCACCCTTACTTTCCGGACCCAGCACATGGAAGGCATCCCCAACAGCCGCATCAACCCCGCATGGACCCTCACACCCATCAACAATTACCAGCTCATATGGGAGCCCATGGCATCCCCTCCCCCTTCGCCGGGGCCCCCCCATTTCACCACGACCTCATGCCCTATCACCCGTCTAATGGCTACTACAATAACTTCCGGGACCCTTATGCCATGTACCCGGGTATGATGCCTCCGTCCTACTTCCCGTACCAACAGGTGCCGTCTCCGATCCAGCCGGAACCTAAACCATCTCCTGCTGCTACCCCAGCCCCCGCTGCTCCTGCTCCTGCTCCTGCTCCTGCTCCCGTGGATGAGGCAGCGAAAGAAGCGGCAGCCCAGGAGGCAGCTAAGGATGCAGCCAAGGACGAGGCTATTGCGCGACTAGAGAAGTTGATTCTGGATGATCGCACCGAACGTGAACAAAGGGAAGCGGATCGTAAAAAAAAAATCGCGGACGAGGAGGCAGAAAGAGTTGCACTCGAAAAGCAGCTCGCTCATGACCGGGCCATCGCAGAAGTGGCGGCAGCAGGAGCGGCAGCACTAGCACGCGCGGACGCCGAGCAGCGAGCAGCCACCGAGGCGGCCAAAGCGAAGGAAGAGGCAGAGAAAGCCGCTGCGGAGGCTGCGGTGAAAGCCAAGGAGGACTCGGCGCAAGCGGCGCAAGAAGCAGCTACCAAGGCATTGGAAGCCGTGGAAGCAGCGAAAGCGGCAGAGCAAGCGGCAGCCGCCAAGGCGAAAGAAGAAGAAGAAAACAAAAACAAAGTACCCCCACCAGAGAAGAAGAAACCTATCAAGTTCAAGGATGCCGTGGGGAGGAAATTTAGCTTCCCCTTTGAGCTGTGCAGCACCTGGCGGGTATGAAACTCTTTGACTCCAACCTTGGCTCTCTCCCTTTTCTTCCAGTGTCATGATCGCTAACCGATTGTTTTCTTTTCTTCTTCTTCTAGGGAATGGAAGACCTGATTAAACAGGCATTTCTTCACATTGAGGTTATAGGGCCTCATGTAGCCGAGGGGCACTACGATCTAGTAGGACCCAATGGTGATATCATTCTCCCCCAGGTCTGGGAGACAGTGGTTGAGCCAGATTGGACGATTACTATGCACATGTGGCCAATTCCCGAAAAGCCCAAGGAACCTGATCCTCCGGCTGCCGATCCACCGCCGGCTGAACCACCCAAGGCCGGGGAAAAGAAGAAAGAAGGTATGTATAGCATTGAAATTCCTCTAAGGCTTCATCTTTTCCCACCTCGTAACCGTTGCTTGTGCCAACAAAAGAAATTTTTCGCTGACCGACCACTCTATAGGAACCAAGAAGGCGCCGCGCAGGCCCGGTGACCCCCCTGCATTTGCAACATGGATGATGGGTCGGCGTCCTCCTCAGAGAGGCAAAAAGGCCCCCAAGGTAGAGAAGAAAGATGAACCGGCAGCCTAGTGATCGGAGTGAAGTCCACACCGAACGAGGATATGGTCTTGAATCATCACCCAGCCCATCATCTCTCCTCTTCTTCTGATACCCCCACGCACTTATTTATTTTCGCGTGGAAATTCGAAACCCCACTCCCACCCCTTCCCCTCCTGCTCAAGGTCTAGGTCCTGGCCTCCCCTTCACAGAGGATCCTTGAAAGAATATATGAGAAGAAGAACAACTGTTGAGAATAGGCACCATGCCACGGGCCGAACTCTGGTAATGCGGCACTAGCCTCAATGTTTCTATATTCACAGATAGATATTCCGGCTAGGAGCTGAAGGGGTCATCGGGAAGGAGGGGAGGTTTCTCATCCATGGCAAGCGCAGTATCATCCTCTATGGACGAGCTAAGCCAACTTTCACCTTGGCCAAGAAGGCAGGATTTTTTGTCGACTAGCCACCGAACAAGTTATTAAAAATTAATGCTAAATTTGTGAATACATGTATAGTTTCGCTTTTCTGAGCAAAACGGGTTTCTAAACTACATGTGGGGTTGTTTAGCGTATTGTGTCTATTTACTCATACAGTGCAGCTTGTGTTTCTGTTCTTCGTTTTATTTTTGATTTACTGCTTGACGAATGTATGTGGTATAACGGAAGCCAAATGTCCTTTTCATACGAAACGTTCGTGTTTCAAACTTTTCGCCGCCTTATTGTATATATTTGAGCCTGCAATATGTAGGAGTGTAATGATATTGGACATAAGGCGTAGGACACATGAGCTGTTTCTGTATGTCAAGGTTGTTGACTCACACTTCTGCAGCTCTAGTTGGCTTTGTTATACAAGTTTGAACCCCAATGTCGTGGCGGTATTTGAGAAGGAGTTTAATACAGAAACAGGTCATCTGGATCCTAAGACAGGGCTTTTTTTTAGGAGTTCAATGTTTATTAAGAACTTCAAGCCACAGCCCTAGAGTCTGAACTGTCTTCCTAGCTATTCTCCTGACTATGATAATTAAGAAAGTTTATTAATATCCAATAAACCCCGACCTGTCTTAGGATCCAGATGACCTGTTTCTGTATTCAACTCTGAGAATCATCGGCGTGGTCCATGTACACGCGGCCCAATATTCAAGCCAAGTGAGTTGTCCAAGGTGCGTTGATTGGACCAAGTGCATACCAGAAAGATAAAAAAGGCCAAAGGTACTGATTTAGGCAACAGGCTAGGGAAACGAGCCTCACATTCTGTAGAGCCGCAACATTTGCTTCAAATGAGGTTCCGTCAAGGTCTACGACGCTCATCTTCAGAGGCCAAACGGCTTTCTTCAATTTTTGGGAGGGGCCAGGGGGTTATTGGGGTTTTAATTTCTCAAATCTAGGCGGCACACAAGGTACCTGACAAGACAAGACGAAAAGGGCATCTAGCTAGACCAGCCGATCAATCTACACACACCTAACTCACTGAGGAAGGAGTGGTTTCCACTCAATCTTTTCATCCGTAGGGTCACCAAGAAGATCGGGAGAACTTATGCCGCCTGTCTTCGCAGGGAATAACCGACTTTGATCGGAATTAACCGGGGACGAGATGGCGTGGGATTGTTCGTCAGACCTCGGGGTGTGTAATGATGACTGAGAGGCGAGTGAGATAGGCTTTCGAGGGACAACCGGGCGCACTTTATCCGCATCTATGGGCGTGGTGGAACTCTGTTCGTTCAAGGTTCTCCCACGTCGTGGAGGCGGTGCAGGTGCAGGCTTCCTGTCGATGGTACTCTTTCTTGTCAATCCCGAGGTTGGCACCCAGTCAGGTTCGGAGTCTATGGAGAAGGGATTGGATCTGCGTTGGAAGTTTGCAACAAGTCCCTCCCCGGGCGGTTGGATTGTGGCCTTTCCCGGTGCACCTGTTCGCCAGAATCAGTACAGATAATTTTTTTTCTTTTTTTTTTAAAAAAAAAGCCAGAAAGAAAGACCGAAATAAAAAGAAAAAGAAAATACTGGGCCACGTTACCGTTGTCCAACCACCACCTGCTTCGATCAGAACTCGCAGGTGGTAAGCCAGGTGCAATAGGTCCCTGCGGGGGACTATCATCCTCATCCAAATCCAGAAGATGAATAGAATCAGAGAGAGCATCTCGCTGTTTTTCTTCATAAAGCATACGCCGCAAGTCATCTTTGAGTCCATGATCAACTACGTCGATTACTCCATCAAAGGTGGCCCACACGGGGCGATGATCCGACACAAGGAGATTAGCCACTTGATACTGGGTCTGACGCAGATTAGATCCTCTCCACAGCACTCGATCACACCATGCAGGGATACGGGCCTTGTCGCTATAGAAGGATTTATTAGCATACCCTTGAGAGGCAGACGGGGAATCTTACGAGGTGTCATAGTTCTCAGTCCCAATATCATATTTGTACGTCGGGGCAAATCCAATGGGCCCCTCCGAATAGAATTGAAAGGCTCTCCCGGCAGTCATTTGGAGATTTAACTACTTTATTCGTTAGCAGAGGTGTCAGGAACTCCAGGAATTTTGTCCAACAGAGGGTATTAACGGTACCTGATCGTTTTCATAAAGTCTCTGGTAATCACGCTGCGCCAGAAGATCCCTCACGATCTGATTTCCTAGCCCAATACGGTAATTGAAATCCCCAAGCCAGATTACCGTATCATGGTCTGCAATCGTTCGGCTTTTTTGGAATCTTAAGCCTCGGTCAATTGTTTCGTAGTCTCGGTTTCGCTCGTCGTAGTTCGCAAAACCGGCAGCCAAATGGGCCGTCACCAAACATATACTGGTATTGGAGAAGTCGAATCGAATCGCACAGCCACCTTTATTACCGGCAATCCCCGAAAGTCCCGTCTGTTATATTGTTAGTTCAGTGATTCTATTGTGAATACTAACCAGGGCAAGGGGCGCGAGGACTTGCTTTTTTAACAGCACCTTCGACATTCTTGATGTCTTTTAGAGAATCCGATTTGACAAAGATCATCAACGCGGCGCCCACAAGTTGACCAGTTCTTAACAGCACATATTTACCAGTGCCCTTTGCCTTTGTGTGTCTGTTTAAACAATCCTGAACGGCTCTTTGCCAAACCTTGCGGGTGCTCGGATCAGTTGACATGATCTGCTGAGGACTGAGGGCAACAATCTCTTGAAATGCAACGGCAAAGAAAATCGGATCTTCATTCGATTGATCTGCTTCAGGGAAAAGCCAAGGCGTAAGATCGGTTCCTGGGCCTTCGTCACGACCGTTCACGTTAAATGTGCCCACCCAAAGACGGACGTGTTTCTTGGAAGAGTATTCAGAAGCACGACGATTGAGTTCTTCAGTAACCAAATCGTTCATAGGATCAAAGAGATGAACTGGCTTTTGATTGGCTAATCGACCCAGTAGAAGGTCAATTGTCCTCTGTCTAGCCTTGTCAGTAAAGTTATTGACATAAAGCCGAGTGGCACTTTTTCGGGCATCAGCCAGGGCGCCAGCAAGCGACATTTTGCCATGGCGAGTGAAGGACGACTTCAGGGCCCCGGTACCAGCATAAATTTTAGAGAGTGCATCGCCATTGTCAGCCCAGAGGGTCGAGTGACGCATTTGCATATCTGAGCCAAATCTTCCATCCTGGTGTCCTAGAAATGATTCTAATGCCATTGAGCTGATAATTGTCTGGACTAAGTTCGTGCGATCCAGACAGTCCAGGCAATTGGTTCGGAAAACCCCCTCCTGCTGTAAAATGACCGAGGAGGCGCTGGAAACGTCATCTCTTTCGGAAAGTGATGTAGGAGGGCGCGTGGAATCTTCGGACAGAAAATAGGCAAAGCCATCCAGAGAACCAGCCAACTCATACTTGATTTCATTGCTCGCTTCATAACCAGCTGGACCACGGGTTTCAGCCAAAAAGTCGTATTCAGTCAGCCGTAGAAGGCTATGGTGTCCAGGGTCTTCCTTTTTTCTCAGGGAACTACGGTCAACGTGTTGGCGATACTTCTTTGACAGCTCCGCTTCTCCAGATCTGAGTTCGCTTAAAAGATTCACCACATGAGTGGCTCCATACTCTAGTTCAAGGGTTTCAAAATGCTGATTGAAGGCATGTTGTGTTGCCTCACTTGAACGTGTTATCTCGATTTTCTGCTGTCCCGGAATCAAACCCGGTGTTTGCTCCCAGAATATTGGCACCGAGCCTCGAAGCTGGACATACGAGAAGGTAATGCCTGGCGAGACCCAGAGTATCAACTCCGTCTCGACAAAGTTGGCCACGTTGCCATCATCATCAATCCCTCGCGAGTTAAATCTCGTGCCTGCACGCCGGGAGGACTGTCGTGAAACAATGGTTAGAAGGGATGGAAAATTTGTCCGCACCTTGGGCAAAATCGAGACCGTGGCAGGAATCTTCAGAGTACCGGCGTATCCCCGGATGACACATGTCAACAATTGAGAGGAATCCAACTTGGCCTTATCTGCAGGTGGCAAGTGACTCCGAAACAGGAGAAGTGGATTGATCATGTATGAATTCCAAAGCATATCTTCATCCAGAGAATCAATATCAAATGCTGCCGATTTATCCGAGCTAGTTCTTGGGTTAGAGAACTATATAAAAAACATTATCACCCTGGGTCTAGAGTCTAGACTTACCGATCTTGCAAACGATCCGTGAGGTTGAAGTCGAGACTGTAGTAAAAACTGCCATCCCCGAGAAGCTTTTTGAGGGCCAGAAAAGGGTGATCTGTCACTACATCCCGGCCATCTTGGCCGGTCCGTTCCTCAGCGGCAAATTGGGTCCCGGATTCATAGTCAAGACCATATTCATACTCCGAACGGTTGAGGCAGTCTATGTATTGTCAGATGTGATCGAGAAAGCGTCGAGATTCAGGGTTTTCAGAATACGCACAGAAATCTACAGAATCAATCCTAGACACGACTTCCCCAGGTCTTACAGTAGCAGCTTGAGATGACGTGGTAACCACACAGACAAACAGGTCTTCGTTTAGCGTCACCAAGCCCAGAGTACCATGGCCAGCACCCAAAGGCCGATAGGCCCCGAGATCTGCGGATGCGACGTCCAAAAATTCCACCTGGCATCGTGGAGTCGACACGGATCTGGCATCCGTCGCACTATAATGGAAGATCAAGACATGATCAGACGTCACCAGTGCGATTGTCCGCTGAGGCTGATCTCGGCAGAGAACCCGCAGATTAAACATAGCCCAGAAGACAAATGAGAATTAAATCTCAAAATACAGGGATCTCCAGCCTGTGTTTCCAAGTACAGAGAAATCTTTGGGGCGTTTTTCTTTCTTTTTTTTTTGGCCGACCCTTTTCCATGCGTGAAGAAAGATATTGTCTTGAAGTGAGGTGATAAGATATATGGAGCCCCGGATTGGATGCCAATCTTCCTGGAATTGATTTTTCTTGACAAGTTAATTTCTGTTATTGTTTGACAACAATTCCCAATGTCTGTTTCTTCCTACCCTTTCTTCCTTTATCTCTCCGGATGGGACAAAGGTAGGGGAGGTAAGAGGAATGTCGAATGGTGTAAGAAGCAGTAGTAGTAATTAAGTTGGGGGGTTTAGTTATGGGGGATCTTATCAGCTGGCTGAGTCAGCGTTATCTTTTTCGATCCCGCAAACTTTTTTTCGTTTCATTTCTCTCTCTCACTATCCTCGACTATCTGACTGTCTAGATTTCCGTGCTTTCTGTTTTCTTCTGTTCTTTAGCGACCAAGTTCAACTACCCTTCGCAAAGATCATACCTGACTTCCATATTTCACCATGGGACTCGCTGCCCCTCGAAAGTATGCGTGTTGCCCCTTCCATATGTTCTTTGCGCAACTTAGTTTAACCAATTCGCAGGAAAACCAAAATTTCCAATGATCCCAATAACACACAATGGGCCCGAGCCACAACGGGCTTCGGCCATCGAATCATGAGCTCTCAAGGCTGGACCCCAGGTGGTCGCCTCGGAGCTCGGGATGCCGCGCATGCCGATCTGTTGACCGCCGCTAGCCACTCCCATATCAAAGTGACGATTAAAGATGATACTTTGGGACTGGGCGCCCGTGTTGGGCGGGGAGACGAACCTACCGGATTAGATGCCTTCAAAGGATTACTTGGTCGATTAAATGGCAAGTCCGATGGCGAACTGAAGCAGGAACAGCGCAAGAGAGACGATGTGAAACTGGCCCGATATGTCGCCCTGAAGTTCCAGGAAGTTCGCTTTGTCCGCGGTGGACTTTTGGTTCAGGAGAAGGTCGAAGCCCTACCTACTTCGAAGCCCCAAGAGAACCAGAAGGACCAACAATCAAACGGAAATGATCAACTATCCAACGACGAGGACGCTTCATCTAGCGACTCATCAACCGCGGCCCGAAAATCCTCCAAGTCCAAATCCAAGTCCAAATCCAAATCCAAGTCCAAGTCCAAGTCCAAATCTTCGAAGAAGTCTCGCTCAAGCACCACCGATGATGATGATGATAATGATGATGATGATGAAGATTCTTCCTCCAAGTCCGAATCCAAGAAGAGAAAGAAATCCAAGAAGAGAAAGGCGGATACAGATGAGAACACGCCCACAGAACAGACCGATAAGTCACCTCAGGAACAGTCACAGGCTCCTGAGACTATCCCAGAAACGACAACAGTTACAAGGGAGCGGCGACCAATGGCTCGGCAGGCATTCCGAAGCCGACATATTGCACAGAAAAAAAGAGCGCTTATGGATGATAAATCTCTCAATGAGGTAAGCTTTACCCCGATCACAATTCCTTAATGGCATCTGTTTATTATGCGTCAGTGCTGATTCAAGGTAGATTTTCATGGTGAAAGCAAAAGCGTAATATTTTGATTGAAGAGAGAGAGAAAAGTATCCTGCATATTAGAGCACATAGGAACCGGCGTTTCGGGGTTGCAACAACATTGTTTTAAGTCTATATTTTTTTTTTCAAACTAGAAAACCAAATCTTTTTGCTATTTTGACCCACTCTGAAATCTTTATACTACATAAGTTATCAGTTTCAATGTAACCAACCAGTTGACCTGTCCAACTGTATTTTGAAGCCACTACTAACATACAAGTAGTACTATGTACTTACCCCGTATCGGACGATCCACGAGTAGATTACCTAATCCATCTATCAACGTCATCCGCCCTGAGGCCCTGATTCACCCACGCGGGGAGCTTTAATCCTCTTTTTCTTCCTTCATACCGATTCTCACAATGAACGGGGACATTTCGTCGGGCCGTAGATCTCACCCCCCGGGGCAGACTACAAATCGTGGAAGGAAACGGTATGCCTCGATTCGATCGTTTCGACAAACTCCACTGACGACTTGACTAGAATTCACTGGGCCCCATTGAATATCGGCCTTGAACGACGCTTGCAGACCTTTGTCGTCTTATGTCACACCCTCACAATTGCCATATTTGTCACTAGCTTTTTCTTTACCTGCGCTATCCCTCTATTTTGGCCTCTTCTTCTGCCTTATCTGGTCTATATTTCATTGTTCTCAACGGCACCCACGTCCGGGGATTTGAAAGGGCGAAGTTCATTCTTACGATCACTTCCTATTTGGTCAATTTATGCATCTTATTTCCCCGCTCGTCTTCACCGAGAAGAGACTCTACCTCCGACCAAGAAGTACATCTTTGGATACCACCCACACGGAATCATTTCGCATGGCGCCTTCGCTGCCTTTGGGACCGAGGCCCTGGGGTTCTCGAAGCTGTTCCCCGGCATCACCAACACCCTATTGACCCTGGACTCGAATTTCAGAATTCCCTTCTATCGAGAGTATGCGCTTGCAATGGGGCTAGCCAGTGTGTCTCGCGAATCATGTGAGAATATTCTGACTAAAGGTGGTGCGGATAACGAAGGAATGGGGAGGGCCATCACTATTGTCATTGGTGGGGCCAGGGAATCTCTCAATGCGCAGCCTCATAGTTTACGCTTGGTGTTGAAAGGCCGTAAAGGCTTCGTCAAGCTTGCCATTCGCACGGGAGCCGATTTGGTACCCGTTCTAGCATTCGGGGAAAACGACCTATACGAACAAGTGCACTCGGATCAGCATCCACTGATTCACAAACTCCAGATGCTGATAAAGCGTACCATGGGGTTCACAATCCCGCTATTCCATGCGCGGGGGGTGTTCAACTACGACGTTGGTTTGATGCCCTACCGACGGCCGCTGAACATCGTGGTTGGACGGCCGATTCCCGTGATGCAGCAGCAGAATCGTGATAAAATTGACGACACATACATCGACCAACTTCATTCCAAATACGTCCAAGAATTGCAGCGATTATGGGACGAGTGGAAAGATGTTTATGCCAAAGACAGAGTAGGCGAACTAGAAGTCACTGCGTGATTGCGACTTAAGACGAATGCGTGATCCCCAAAATGGAGGATATCTATTATTTTCAATATGGCGTGTATCTTACATATGTACGGTTGTACCGTTTCTTTCCTCCCCCTACTTCCATTCGTCATATCTTTGGTTTACCATAGAACCCCATATCAACCATCATGCGAGGTACATACATATCAGCAAAATTGTCCTCAGGCAGATCTTAGATCTTATTATGTACGGTATAATGACCACTTCAAACACGCTCTTTGCAGAAGAGATGGAGACGGAAAGAGACGGGAGTAAAGAGAAGGAAATATCCAATATAAATATGGTGGCGCTACCTACTAGGGTGAGATGGCATATGCCAATCCTAGAACACAAATTACAACATAACCACAAAATAATGAACAAAAAAGACAAGTTGTACAGATGAAGGGGGTATCAGATCAACAGGAAGCATCAGGTGAGAGAGAAAAAAAAAAAAAAAGGAAAAGGAAAAGAAGAGAAGAAAAAAAAAAGAAAAGTCGAAAATCAGTCCCAAAAAAGCACAAGAATAAGACGTATCATCCATCACTCAATGATCTTAGCTTGGAGGGAGAATTGGGGGTTATGTTTGATGGAGCTTGGCCTGCAGGATTCAAGCCTGGCACTTCAGCCGACACAGATACTCGGCGACTATCCCCAGATGCTCTCTTGATATGCCCCAAGGGGCTTTTCTCAAACTGGCCACTTTCAACTCGGCCCTGAATCATTTCATCCAGCATTCTGGATACCTCATCCATGTTTTTCCTTCGGTCATCATCCTTTTCACCTCTGCCAGGAAGGATGGGGCCCGGGGGACTGGCGAGCTTATCGATCGTACCATTAGTCCCCGATGGGCTATTTCCGCCAGAGGCAGTCGAGTCCTCTTCTTTGCTTTTCAATTCCGGCGACTGTCCGTCGTTTGTCACAGCAGCTAGGTCACGGTGTCGGGCGGCAGACCGAAGGGCTGCCAGCATTCGATCCTTGTCGTCAAGTTGAATGCGCAGCTCGTTGATTTCCATGTCTCTTTCGCGAAGCAGGGACATCAGGTCCGGATGCTCCACAATAGTCGAGTTGGTAGACTTGACTCCGACTGACATCCGTGAATGACTAGAGCGTCGCGCTTGCAACAGCCGGCGCTCCAGTGTAGAGATATATCGATTTTTGTCACCCAAGTCAGCCTGCAACGCAGTGACTTGTCGTTGCAGACTTGCTTTTCCATCACCAAATTCGCCCATGTCATCCTCATCATCATTCCCGAATGATCCACCTGGAAATGGCATGACCCCCGAAGGGTCATTGCTATTGATTGACATAAAAGACATTGGTCTAATAGATGAATGACCAGCACCCAATGTGGACTGACTGGCTGATGATCGCAGTGAACGGGTTCCACCATCCGTAGCGGACATTCGTGATAGCCGGCCGAATGCAGAAGAGAGACTGTTGTGGTTGTTGACCCCGGTGGACTTGGAGCTCAGAATCAATCGGTTGAGATGTTCAATCCGCTCCTTCAAAGCCGTCCGGGCCAACTGCATCTCCAAAACCTGCTCTTCGTGACGCGCTTGGGCCTCCTTTTCAAACTGTTGCTCATCCCACTTCATCTCCTTCTCCGCCTGGGCTTTGGCTTGGGAATCGAGCTGACCACGGAGAGCTTGAATTTCCACACGATATCGCTCAAGCAGGACTCGACTGCCAGAGTCGGCCCCTCCGGCACCAAAGGCCTCCTCTGCCTTCTGTGCATGACTGACGATATTGTTCTTCGCTCGAGCGGCAAATTTCAACGTGTTGAGAGTTTCTCCCGAATGGGCATTCACGCCGGAGACCAATTGGATCGTACAGAGGATGCTCACGAGGGAATTTCCCGATAAGGCTGGTTGAAGTAGTCGTGTCAACTTGCTATCTCGGTAGGGCAGATGCCGACCCTCCTTGTCCGTTGGATTTCCTTGCTTATCCTTGGCATCAGAAAGTTTGGAAATGATATTGCCGAGGGTGAGCAAGCTCTTGTTAATATGGGCTCCCTCAGTTCGGCGTTCTTTGTCATCCGCAGCTCGCTCGGAACCAGCAAGATCAATTAAGCTTAAAGTCGACACCCGAACGCCACCCGGGGCAATACCGGAGCGTTTATCCTGCGAATTGCTCGTTGGCACTCGCTCGCGACTTTCAACAACGATCTGAACGACCGCATGACTTCGAGAACTCCGTGCGTTGAACTGAGTACTGCTCGTTCTTCTCGCATGATCTCCCCTGGCGATTACTCGAAGAAGCTGCGTCGGGCTCTGCACGATTTCCTCCTTGAGTGGGGTTGCATATACTCCCCGTTTGCTGTCTTCCCGAAGTTTGATCTCTTCCTGAGGCGCAGCCGGACCAGTGGTGGTTGAGGCGGATAAAAGGTCATGGATCTTCTCATTATAGATCTCCAGATAGCTGACTCGAAGGAGGAATTCTCGATGGGGGGTTTCTCGGATAAAGGAAAAAATGTCGGTGATGGCGAGCGGGATCACACCCGGGGAGGTAGCAGTACCTTGCATGGAGAAAGTTTTGCCGGTTCCTGTCATACCATAGGCAAACACCGTTCCATGGTATCCCTCCATGACCCTCCGGACAAGGCGTTTGGCCCCCGAATCATACACTTTGGCATTGTTTTCGTGAGCTGCGAATACGTTATCTGTCCCACTGTCAGCCCGTGCGCGAAAAGAAAGGAAAGGCTAATATGGAGAGAATCTGTCCACAAACCATAATAATAATCCCCTCCATCTTTCCCTCGATGTGATATTAAACTCTGACGTCCATCCACCACCCACTCTCCATGGTTTCTTGGGGTCTCACCCCCCTGATTAATATCCGGACGAACGCGCACACTGACAATGACGTTCCCCTTGATCTCCTTGGGCTTGGTAGATTTTGAATCATCGGCATCTTCAAATGTTGTCGCACTAGTCGAACAGGAGGAACCTTGCGCCGATGAGCTTCTGCTATGGCCCGGAGACCCGTCTGGATCCCGCGCAACCGCCATGATGGAGTTTCCATCCCCACTTCCATTCAAAAGTGACGGGGTCTTAGAGCTTCGATAGCTACTGGTGGTTCCTGTGCTCAGTCGCGAGCTTCGTTTAGGCTTGGCACCCCCTACCGGGTTTGCGGTGATGCCTGACATGGAAGATGCGGTGGAGGGACGACTTCCCCCGGCCTTGGGTGGTTGTGGAAATGAGGCGATGCTGATAGTCCGGCGTAACGTTTTATCTGGGCTGCCGGGGGCTCGGCCGCTAGAGGCGGATCGAATGGTGCTGAGGTTTGAGGTGGAATTAGAAGTCGATAGCGGGGATCGGGCCGAGGAGGGTTTGGGGCTAGATGGAGTTCGCAATTTGGAAAGTTGTTGATATGGTGAAGCTGATCGTGGTGTTTCCCCAGCGGCCGGGGTGCTCTTCCTCGGTTTAGGATTGGGCAGAGGGGGCAATGCCACGGTTGGGGGGTTGGCGGCTGGCCGTGACAGTTGAGGCAAAGCTGATGTGGAAGCCATATTTCTCTTTTTTCTTTTTTCTCCCCTCTACAGTCGGTTTGGTCCTTGGGATAACAAAGATTCCACCGCCATGCGGAGTGTTGGATTGGGGGTCGTGGACGGAGGGGGTTCAAGGTTGGAAAATCCACTTGGAGATTACTAACTATCGCGTTTCAGCCGATTCATTCAGCACCAGAATAGCCCATGATCACGATGAAGAAAATAGAAAATGGATTGACCGAAAATAAGGCAGTCCAATTTTTTGGAATTTTTCTGTATATGAGAGAGATTGGGAGGGGTTAAAAGAGTCTCGGGTACTTACAGATTCAAACAAGCATATGTTGTGATCGCAACGGACGCGTTAAAAGTTCAGCGCCACTGCCGCAGTATGGATCGAGGGGGAGAAGATAATAGAATCAAAAGTGTAGAAAAGAGGGAATGAGAAGGGTAAAAAAGAAAAAAAAAAAGAAAAAGAAAAAGGATGAGATATGGAGTAGAAGGAAAGATTCCGGGTTTTCTTTAGCCAACAGAGTCTCTTGTCATTTACCCAAGGGAAACAGTTCAAAATCTCATCCCCCGCAGAAATATAAGAAAAAAGGGAAAAAAAGGGCATTGTTGATAATGAATTGTAATCTTTATATAACCCTTTCCTCTCCCTTTGACATTGTATATGAGAAAAGAAAAGAAAAAAAAGGCATGTTTTTGTTGATTAAGAGGGTTTCAAAGTTACTATACTTTTTATATGGACTTGTATATAAAACTTTTTGATTGAATAGTGATCCTCCACATGTCCACCCTTCAAGAGCTCTAGAGCCTGTAGAAAAAAGGAAAGGGAAGATCAGAGAGAAAAAAAGGGGGTAAAGAGTGAACAGGAGTTAAGCCCCTCTTGTGATGAAAGCTTAGACCAATGATAGATCAGATACATCATATAGTGGAGAGTAAGAGGTTGGATGATTACCCTGGAGAGCTTAGCCTATGATTTAGTATTATTTAGTATTCTTTAGATGATTTTAGGTGTAAATGAGAAGGGGAAAAGGGGGAGCAAATCAGCAGACAGGAAATGCACTTCTACCAATCTCACTTATGTAGAAGAAGCTCCCTCCTACCTTGTACGCTTGGTAGAAGGGATGGAATCTCCTTGCCCTTTTGAAACTATCCCTTAGTTTAGAACTGAGAGAAGAGAAAGGAAAGAGAGGCTGGAAAACTCAACATTACTAGTTAGTTAACCTGAAGTCGCTATGTAAGCAGCATACAAAATGCAGATTCTCTACTTACCCCTGCATACTATCTACCTAACCCAGGTATACGCAAAAAGAAGAGACCATTATACCATATTTATCATTTATATTCTTTTGGAGGGGGGCCTTTTTTTTTTTTTTCTTTACTAGCCTTATTTCATTGCCCCAAAATCCAATTGTCGTGCGGCATTTTTAAAAGGCCCATCGTCGATCTCACCACCACGTCGACCTAAATCATCGCCCATCTTCTTCATCCCGGACTTGCGTGGAAGATCTTCATTCCGGGTCGGTTGGGGATCAGTCATCCACCAGTTATGCCGTAATACTTGAAGGGCCGTATACCGTTTACGAGGATCCAGCGCACACATTGACATCAACAGATCACCACCCACTGGGCCAGCCGTAGGGAACTGCCGGAGGAAAAAATCTCGGCCTTGAACGGGCACTTGCTGGCCCCGGTCCGTGGGGATATAGTTGGGTAATTGAGTGACCCCCGGCCAATTTTCCTCGGTGGGGGTTCCAAACGCTTCACAGATCTTGGAGATTTGATCCAGGTCAGTATTGCCGGCCACAAAGGGCACTCGTAGCAACAGTTCTGCAAAAACCATCCCCATGGACCATACGTCCACCGCTCCCGAGTACTGTCGGGCCCCGTAGAGCAACTCCGGTGGTCGATACCACCGGGTGATGACTTGGTGAGTCATGTTGAGATATGGGTCCGCAAAGGATCGGGCCAGTCCAAAATCCGCTAGTTTGACCTCGCCGTCCGATGCGATCAGCAGGTTGTTGGGCTTGATATCTCGATGAAGCACAAAGTTCTCATGACAAAACCACACCCCTCGGGCTAACATGCCCATCCAAGCCTTGACATCGGCCACTCCATACTGGATATCTCCATCCTTGATGAGCATCTCCAAGTCTCCCCGAGGAAGAAACTCTAGCACCAGGCTCAAGTTCTGATCTTTGGAGGAAAAGACATCATGAAGGGCGATGATATTAGGGTGCGATAGTTCCTGCAGGTATTTGACTTCTCGAATTGCATCCATAGTCAACCCGTCTTTGTATTCGGCATTGACCTTGACTTTTTTAATAGCAACCAAGGACGATGGGTCGTCCCGGAGGTGTCCTAGGAAAACCACAGCATATGTACCCTCTCCAAGCTTCTTGTCTGTTTTGGTTTGATTTTGTTAGTATCAACTGCCCGCTAGGCACAATCAAGTAATTTGCTTCAATCTACCTTTAATGTATTTCTGCCGCACATCGTCATTGAGCTGTTCAGTGAGTTCTTGATCTGTGTTGGAGGACACTGATATTGAGGTAGCGATCCCCCCCGAGGAGCCTTGAGCTGCAGCTGCCCTCAGTCTGAGAGTATTGGGCGATGCGACGGTCACAGAGGGGGATCGAGAGATGAATGGTGACGCTGCCATATTGAAGTTTCAAGAGAGATAGGATTGAACAGGTGAAAGTGGATTTTGAGGGTGAAGAGAAGGATGAAATTCATACAGCAACTAGGCTGTATCAAATAGAACTCAAGGATTCATCTTCGATTTGGAGAGTTTCAAATCATATTAAAAGAAAAAAACACAAAGCTGGAAAGTTAACAAGGGTGTCTGAAGTTACCCTTCGTTTTCGGGTTGTAGTGAATACGCGCTTCTCCCGGAGTATTATTGATCCCGTGACCGCCCGAAATTTCCAAGCTTTCTCAGGCACAAACAGTTCAGAGTCGCATCCGCAGTTCAATTGGATTGGTCCACTCGTCTCCTTCATTGCCATTCCCACTCTCCCACCTGGTCTTTCTATCGCTCTCTCTGCCTCCCTCCCTTGTGGACTCACAGGCAAAACCAACACTCAACCTATTGGCCACAGGTCTGGGCCCCATTCAAAGACCACCATGGCAATGCGCACGCAACAACTCCGCAACTTTCCCTCGCGGCTCCTCCAATCAGTCAGCCTCTCGAAGCAATGTTTCCGACCACTCCATGGAAGAACGGCACGATTGGTGCCTACACCGACCCCATTTGTCCCTGATGTCCAGACTTTCCTCACGTTGATCGGCCGGGAAATGTCGAAGCATGCGAGCAAGATTCCTTCCTGGGACCAACTTTTCACCTCCAACTCCGACCAACTTCGGGAACTCGGCATTGAGCCTGCCCGTCAGCGACGATACCTAATTCGGAAGCGCGAGAAGTTCCGCAATGGCTTGTATGGACCGGGAGGTGATCTGGAACAGGTTGTGAATGGCGTCGCCCAATTGCGGGTGGTGGAAATCCCGGATGAGACCAAAAAGTCCTCAGCAGAATCACAAGCTGCCCAATCGGTGTCATCCTCCGCTACTCTGACACCTGGCATGAAGAAGGCCATCGTGAACATGCTGCCCGGTGTCACCGAATACAAGCACAGCTCGACCGCCCAACTTACAAAGTTCGCCCACATGAAAATCCACAGAGGCTCTAAGATCATGGGTCCTTTCCTTCAGCCGGTCAAGGGAAGCCATGGAACCGCTGCTACCATCACAATCCAAGAGGGAATGTGGGAGGACAAGCGGGGACAGAAGGTGGATGGTGGTGAGCGACGCCGTGTTGAGGTGCGGGCAAAGAGGCGACTGGAGGAAAGAAGGAAAGCGTAAAATAGCAGGGGGGTAGGCTGGCGTTTCTTGCATATCTCTTGAGCCCTGACGGTCCTGTGTTTCTAGTGTTTCTATCCGTACTGTACTATAGTTATATATCATATCCTACCACCCATGGGCCCCTGGACCGATGTTTCAACATTTGAATGTTTACTACCTCAGGTTAGCCTTTCTCTTAGTTGATTGAGTAATTACTATGTATTTGTATGCATCTATAGACCGCCAAAACTGCATCTATAAGGCTGCAACTTTTTTTTAAAAAAAATGTGACAAAAAGGGGGGGGGGGGAAGACTGTATGTTTAATTAAATAGATATAGTAACAGTATCAACACGAAGCACATGCAAAGGGCAACTCGGCTCAAGCCATGAGCAAAAAAAAAAAGGGATAAGAAAAAGAGTAATGTACAATGGCAAGAATCATCCAAAGGCGTTGAGACATGATGAAACGCCGCGTATTGATGAATCCACGTCGTTCCGCTTGCTTAGTCCTTGATGACATCAAGGTAGATCATTAGATGTAAAGATGTAACCGGGTTCCAATTCTTGCTCTTTTTCCCCCTGAGCCCTTTCCCCCCCTTACTCTTATTTCTCGTTTTCAAAGGAGTCGCATGGTCGAAGCTCCATCTATTCCTTGGTTCCACGCTTCTCAAAACGGACAAATGACTTGCCCAATGGCTTGGAGAACAAAGACTAGGGATCGAGTTAGCAATGTATACAAGGGAGGGAGATGTGCGTATGATGAAACAACTTACTGAGTAATCGGTATCGGGAACACCAGTACGATCGGTAGGGTTGGAGAACTTGAATTGGCGGACCAATGTGGCCAGAATAGCGCCCAACTGTACGTAGGCAAACTGTTCGCCGATGCAACGGTGCCGGCCGGCGCCGAATGGGAGGTAAGGGCTGCTGGTACCCTTACTGACCATACCGTAGCCGTAATCAATTTGTTCCTCGTCCTCGTCTTTGGGCGCGGTGACCTCATCCCAGCGGTGAGGGTTCCAATTCAAAGGCTCCGGGAAGCACTCCTCCGATCTCGCAGTGACACCGGGGGAGGAGAGGACGTTGTGGGTGGTGGGGATCACATAAGGTGTTCCCTCCACAGGCATGGGGTTCTTGACAGCACGAATGATAGAGTGGATAGGAGCGTGAATGCGAAGGGTCTCCTTGATGACCTTGGCGTGAAGGTCCAACTTCTGGAGGTTCTCGTAGGTGACTGGAGGCAAATCCTCACCCAGGATTCGGATTTGTTCTTGGTAAAGCTCATCCATGATCTCAGGGCAAGTTGCCATACGGAGAACAATCCAGGCGGCGGTGGATGAAGAAGAGTGTTGTCCAGCCATCAGGAGTGCGATCATCATGTGGGCCACCTCTTCGTCGGGAACCGGGGTACCGTTCTTGTAAACACAGGACATGAGGTTCCAAACCATATCTTCTTCAGTCTTCTTGCCACCAGCCTCACGACGCTCACGAATGATTTCCATGTATGTTTCGGTCATCTTCTTCTGCGCAGCGTCGCGCTTGCGGTTGTGGGGGAGCGGGGCCCAGGGGAGCATAAAGTTGATCGGCGCAAAACCCTTGTCAAGATCGTGGTACATGTCGGCAAAAGTAGAATCAAAGCGGTCGCGCACTTCTTTGCCCTGGAGGGATCGCGAAGCAGTGTAAATGGTGATCTCGGCAATGATCTTGGAAACGTCAAAAGTACCCTTGGACTCTTGGAATGCAGGGCATTTCTTGACAAACATATCGACTTCGTTGGTGATCAGGGGAACGTAGGACCGAAGGGCCTCGGAAGTCAGGCCGAATTTCACAAACTTTTTTTTTTGGAAAAACGCGGTCAGTTTCCATATAAAGATATGCAATTTGGCAGATCGGGCTCATCGCAGGGTTCTCTCTTTACCTTCTTCTGCTCCATGAGCTTGGAGTTGGGGCAATCATAGACCACATTGCGGCCAAAAACAGGGGTTGTCAGTGGCGAATAAACCTCTTCGGCGCAAACGTCGCGCAGCTTTCCATTCATAATAAACTCATTGCCCTTGGTGCCCAAATAAACGGTAGTCTTCTTGCCGAGAAGAACGAAAGTGAAAATATCACCGTACTGTTATGAAACACGCCCAATGGCTCTTTGTTAGAAACGATCCTGACATGGCAAAAGTCTCGATGGAAATGACACACCTTTGCGCGGTTGACATTGAAGAACCTGTATGGCTCCATTCCATAGCTAATTGTGCTTCCGACAAAGGGAAACCAGTGGAAGACCACTGGAGGCTCGTGGGGGTTCTTGAAGAGTAATTGGCGCAAGACATTGACAACGACGGACAGTGCAATAAAGGACAAACTGCCGACTACAGCCAGGGTATAGATGGACTGGCTGGAGCAATGCTCGCAGAACGTATCGAGAAAACTAGAAAAGAGACCCATAGCGACGGCGAAGGTGACCGGAAGAGTGGAAAAGTTTCCCTCTACCAAATCAAGTTGGAGGAAGTGGGAAGGTCTGGATAAGAAGAGGGGGAAAGGGAAAGTCCGAAGGATCCAAAATAATAATCTCCGCTATCATTCGATGAGGCCACGCCTGGGGGACCCGCTTCTTGCCCCTGTTTCTTACTATCAAATGGGCCAAATAATATTAGAAAGTATTTTGTTTTTCGTCTGATGTTTTGATTTGTGGATTTTGGGGGGTTTTTTTATAAAAAAAAAATTTCATAAGTATATATAGAGTAGATATAAAAAATAAAAAAATAAAAAAAATTTAGTCTTAAGATATATGGTCATATTCAAATTACCATCGAAGAACAATATAATACATAAACAGTAGATACCAATAATGCCATATAGAGAAACAATATTGATTGACTGCCCTGTTTCTATATCTATATGCTGCTATTGATGTAGTACTATACTCCGTACCTGTAAATCCAATAAGGGGGGAAACCTATCTAACCCGGCAGTTTCCATCACGCCACACCGGCTATAAGCAACATCCGTGACCGGTGCCAATGATTGCATGATACTCGACTAGATAACTTTTTTTTTTGAACGCCAGATTGGATTCTACCATATAAACTAAACTATACATTAAAGTAGCGAATAGGTATCTCTCCAAAGCCCACCCGATCTTCCATTGGTTCCGACCCAGCACAAGAAAAAAGAAATATAACACCATCCGTTGGAACTTGAACACACACACACACACACACATTGAGAGGATAAGAATGTTTAAACAGAAACCGACCTTGGTACACGATTTTTACTTATGTCGATTGACCTTTGGTTCGTCGTATAGCGCGGGATCACCACGCTCGCCGAGATTCACAAACCCCTTGGGGCTACCTTGGTCTCCGGGGGACGATTCAACCTTCGCTGGTTGATTGTGAATGCGCGTACCAGCATTGTTATTGTGAAAGACTTTAATTGGGGCTTCACTGCCTTCCACATGTTCACTGAAAAGAACGTCATTAACACTGCTCAGCAGGGTCCGCTCCCGCTCCATCTTGCGCTTCGAGAAATCCAAGTTGCCCAAGGCGCCTGTCAGCCCATCCGTGCTGTCAGTGACATTGGGGTATTTTTCAGTCATCCAAGGGTGCTCCAGACAGTCATCCACCGTGATCCGTTTCTCCACGTCCACGGTGAGCATCCGGTCAATCAGATCCAAGGCAGGATCGCCCACAGAGTCCCACCACGGCGCAGGATAGTCGAACTTGCCCGATTTGATCTGCTGGGCCAATGTGAGGGGGTTGTTCCGCGTGTATAATTCGTCCGAGAAGGGAGGAAAGCCGCATAGGCAGATATAGAGAACTACTCCCAGAGACCAGACATCCACAGCTTTGGTATATCGTCGTCGCCGAGTATCCTCCAAAATCTCCGGTGCAACATCTGAAGAGTAGAAAAAAGAAATTAGTATACTGTCAATTTAGCCCATGCTAAAACTGATTGACTTACAGCATGGGGTACCACACCTGTTGAATAAAGAAGATTAGCATCTATGACATGCGAGCATAAAAAGTAGCGCCAGTCCTGTACTTACAACGTGGTGGTAAATGAGTCTTCTCCAATGATTTTGGCAAGTCCAAAATCACCCAGTTTGACTGTCATTTTCTTATCAGCCAGCAGAATATTCTCGGGTTTGATGTCCCGATGAACAATCCCTCGGTCGTGCTAAAATTATCCCCAAGGATCTTAGCTATTGATGCGCCTCCAGTCCACGGTAAGGGGGGTTAATTTACCAGATATTTCAGTCCTTCAAAGAGCTGACGGAACAGATGGCGGGTTTCTGACTCGCTGAGCTTTTTTTTGCTCAATATTAAGTTGAACAGTTCACCCTCTGGGGCTAACTCGAGAACCAGATAAGCCCCATCAGTTTCATCAAATGTGTCCTTCAGGCAGAGGAGATTCGGATGATTGACGCTCTTCAAAAGGGCAACCTCCTGCTGCAAAGCATCTGATTGTGACTTTTGCGAATCACCTGGACGCTTTTCAAAGACCTTGACTGCATACTGTTTGCCCGTGGAGCCCTCCACACACAGATAGACGGTCGCAAAATGACCTTTACCAAGCTGTCGATGTGTTCGGTATTGTTGACGGAAACCATTGGTATCCCTCGAACGTGGGTAACGAAAGGAAAACCGGGCTTCGTTCAAAATAGAAACTTCATCTCCATCTTCAAGCTCACGATGCTTGTTCCTTCCGACCATGGCTTCGTTCACAAAGGTTCCATTGCTGGAGAGATCTTCTAGAATAGCGACTACATCGCCCTTTCTCTTCTCTTCAAACACGAGGAAGTGGCGGTTTGATATCGTTGGGCTATTGATCACCAGGTCTGTGGAGGTTAAGTTAGCCGACATTATTATACTGTAGTAAAGCAAGGTTTGTCCACTCACCACACTCTGGGTGGCGGCCAATCAGATAACCACCAGGTGCCCGACCATTTTTCTGCTTGCAGGCCTGAGAATTTTTCCCAGACTTGTCCTTGGCCGCGTCTTCCCGATTGTCGCAACCATCTCGCTTCTTCAAAGTAAATGCACTGCTAACCTTGTCATCCAGTGGGATCAGGTAGCCCCAAACCCCCTCAGCATCTTCATCCTCGACTTCATCCGCAAATGCTCTCGGGGGATAGACAAACTGCGATAGGGCTTGTGTGTCCCCCGGTGGTGATGACACAACCTGGGAAAGGTCTGGGTTAGGCGACGAGGGTGCGCGGGTTCGACTTGGACTTTCTGGTGGAGTGGCCGTCACTTCATTGCGAATATCCGTGGCAGTCGAATGGCTATGGGTCAGTGGAGTTGGCAGATAGTCGTGATCGACTGGTGTCTCCTGTGGTTGATGCTGACTTGAGATGCGTTGAGATCGGCGCGGCTTTTTCAGGTCTTGTGAATCGGCATCCACACTGAGCTAGTCATGCCCCAGGACCGTCAGCAAGTAAGTCATTACCACCCCGAAGAGGGAACGCCATCACTCACTCTACCCCGCTTATGCGCGCTTTTCTCTCGAGGTGCCATGATTTCAGGATTTCACAAAAGAAATCCTCTGATGCTCGATCCACAACCCAATGGTGTTGGTTGACCAGGCTTGCTGCACCGTCGGCAATATAATGGAATGAACCCCAAGCGGCAGTTGTTTATTTCCCCAATCTTTGTCCTTTTTTCCCTTATTATCTCCTGTATTTTCCTCTATTATCTTGTCGCTTTCCACAAGTCAGAGCAAAATAAAACAAAAGAGGAGCTGGACCAATGGCAGGAAATAGTGAAACTTGGAGGACGGTTGACAAGGGAGAGCGTTGTGGTCTCAAAATAGCTCTCTGGGGGTCGGGAAGTTCGAGGCTCTGGAGGAAAGAGCCTCTCTCTCTTCCCTCTCTTCCTCTTCTCCGCCCCCATCTAAAAAAGCAATACTAGATAGAAAGCAAACACCTAAACAGAAAAAAAAAAAAACAAGAACAATAATAGACGAGATTCAAATCCTTCAAAATGTATATAATAATAATCCCAGGTGAATTTACATTGTTTTGATCCAACTATAACATTCTTTACCTTCCAAGGTTATGTCAATGTTTTTAACCTAGGTTCGCTCAAAACACGTGCCTTTTCTCCCTGTCGCATCCCTATCAATACATACTCTCCATACTCCTTCCTTTTGCTCCACAGATTATCGACAGGTCTCGAATAAGAAGGAAAGAAAGGACAAGAATACCAAAAAAAAGCATGGAAGGGTAAGTTAAGTCCTACTTTCTATTCATTTGTGGTTGCTAATGCATCCAATTAGCCTCTCGGTCGGCGTCAGACGCTCGGCGTTCGAGAAGCTTGCGGCTTTGGCTGTCAAGTCGCCAGCTCAGGATGGATCGAGCCTTGATCGTCTCGCTCAACAGTCGCGACCGACTCGTCCGATTGATGGTACGCTGAATGGGATACTCAAAAACCAAGCCCCTACGTCTCGAGTTCCAATGGTAAGAGCCCAAGCCTGCCCCCCTCCTAGAGACCCTCGTGGGTGACGTAAACTAACAACTAGCCTCGATAGGGGATCCGTGAACTCGATGTCCTATTAGCCTTATGTAAAGCTGCATTGTCTGTCAATGAGCTCGATCACGCCCGGCGATTAGTCACTCAACTATCCCAATACCTGCCCGAGTCCCCCAGTCAGCTGTTTCGCCCGTCGCCATTTCTCCAGAGCATCAAACCGTCACCATGGGAGACTCTGTCGCACAGCCTGACATCGGCTTTATTGTCCCTCGGCTTGAAATTTCCGACCTTGCGGAAGGAAGCAGTCGCCAGTCTCACTGGGTACCTGAACAATTGCGCCGAGGCTATTAGTTCAGTGACGCCGTTCCACTACTCTACATCCGAAGCTGGAGGACGAGGTGTAGTGCACGAATCGATTGCGATTCTGTCCATCGCCGTGTCGCTTGTGGGATTCCTAGAAGCATCGGCAAAGCACACTGTGTTTTGGACCGCCAGGGAGAAATTACAGATCATCGATCATTTACGTGCCATGCTCTCCGAGTCGTTTCTTATTGCAGTGGAGACGGCCTCTTCAACCATTCGCAATGCTACAGGGAACGACAGCATCTTCAAGGATTGGAGAAAATATACTCGACGATATGCAGCACATGGGCGGCCCTTGGGCGCCATGTTGATGCAGGAGGGCTTCATGCGCTTTGTGAAATCCTGCGCGGCATCCCTGATCGGGTCGCAAAACTTATCCGATGATCAACTGCTAGATGATTATATGGCTGGGGTTGGGATTGCCAAGAGCTATGATGAGTCTGACATTGCTTTGATCGAGCGAATTACGGACCTAATCAGCGAAGAAATCCATCTGCTGGAGGACGGTTCGGATTATCTCCAAGTCGGCTCGCCCTCTCAGCAGAAGCTAGCTTTCTCCGTGAAAGGCGATGCCTTGATTGGCTTCCTGAACTGCGTCGTACTTGGCGAGGATGCCGCTAATAACGACGTCTTGCTATCATGGCTTGAGGAATCCTTAATTGACACCCAGCAAATGGCATGTGCGGAGCTGGCCACGACAGCGTTGAAATGCATGGCAATTCTGGCTAGAATGTCCCCCAATGGTGCCTCAATTGCAAGGAGGTGCTTGTTGAGATTCTTAACCCAGGGTGGTGCTTCCATTGGCTCTGTGGTTGCCGTGGCTGCTCGATGCCTCGCCCAGGTTCTTAGCATCCTCTCGGAAGATGCTGTGATCACCACCCTCTACTCTTTAGGAAATGCCCTGAGCCCAAGCTCCAACAACGATCAGTCGGCACAGGACCAGTTTACTGGTGATGCCACTGGCACTGCGAACAACCTGGCATCCTACCCCCAGCCAAGTAACGGAAGCCAGTTATCTATACTAGCCGTTGGCGAGGGAGAAGCCTTTGTTTATCGAAATGTTGTTCATGCCATCGTGATAATTGCCACGAGTTGCGATGATGACAAAATCAGTGCACTGGCGCAATCCATGCTTCTACAGAAAGTTGGCAAGATTAACGTTGCGGTGGACGCCTATATCATTCAGGAGACTGCTGTTCTCGCTTTGAGCAGTGGTAAGGCTGAATTCCAACTTTTGCTGAAATTCTATGCCCGTATCTACCTCGACGGGGCGCACAAGGGGCTGCCGATTATTTCTGATGCGGTTCAGTGCGCAATGGCATACCTTTCCGTTTCCTTGGACCAAAACTCCCCACTCCACGCAATCTATCTGACTCACCTTCTGGAGAGTATTGTCAACAAGGGGGATGTTCCTGATCTCGACGCTGAGCGTCACGCGGAGGTCGTTTTCGCTTCTAGTGATATAACCCCGCTATTGAAACCTCTGGCGCTTTTGGTTTCGTCCGTAAAGCGTTCGCTAGAAAACCCGGATCCCGTGTTAGACTATGATGACGCTACCTTGTCCTTATTCCGTGATGCCTGGTTCAATATTGCCATCCATGGTATTACGTTGAACTCGAGTGTCTTTCACGAGTATACCAGAGAGCTTCGTCTGTTGGCAAGCCACTCTCCACCCCTTGTGGCGGAAGATCGTATGGAGTTACTTGAGAGCGATGTTGAACTCAATACTGTGCTCAGAAGAGGTACGGGCCCTCAGCGAGTCTTGGAACAAAAGCGTACCTTGATTTCAGAGCTGGTTGGCCGTGAAGCCGACGTCAAGCGGTTGGATTACCCACGAGCCGTGTTTCTCAATGCCGTGTTGTTGGTCGAAAGTCTCCGCGCATCCTCGGGAGACTGCACCAAGATCCTCCGGTACTTCCGTGATCCTTCTTTAGCCACCCCTGAAATGGTTGTCTGCATGAATGCTGTCGCGGAGAAAACTGTGACTTGTTATCTTTCGCGCACCTTGTCTGAAGAATACGACGAATTTTCGGCGCCATACCTTTCAAAGCAGCTGGCCGCTTACCTGGTAGCTTGCTGCCATCGCATTGAACGCGTACAAAGTATTGCAACGATATGTACGGACAAAATTATCAGCCAATGCCCCTCTGCGCTCTGCGAGAAACACTCCCTTTTTGCTTTGCTTGAGATTCTCACCGTGATGTGGTCATCTTGCCTGCAGGGAGAACTAGATGAGTTTGAGTGGAAACCAACTTTGGTCTCACCTATGGGGATCGTGAAGGTTGATTTACCAGATAACTACGCACTTAGAAAAGCGACCCTAGATCGGTTCCTTGTGCGAGCTAGAACATGGGTGACTACAGTCTTGAATATCGCACCACTAGATATCAAGGGACTACTTCAGACATACCTGTCGGAGTACGACGATGATGGTGGCTATGGCCATATTGCTCTAGGCCGCTCCTTCGCTCTCGAGATGGGATCCCTGATCCCACAGAGTGACCCGCGACTAGGATCCCTTGAAGGTTACAATGCCCATGATGTCAACATCGCCTCGGATTTCATGGCTCTCTACACGACTCGTCAGAAGTATCGCCGTCCCGAGATATCTTCATCGATTGTTTCACATGATGGATTCCATCTTGGTGACAGTCCAAAGGTTGAGGCAGTGACTGAATCTGATACTGCTGGTGATATCGAACACTCCCTATCTGTCCTCTACGAACGTAGTATGGATGGAGAAGAAATTCCCTTGATTGAGGTCAGAGATGTTCTGCGGCAAGCAGCGGGCCTCATTTGTAGTAGCAGCCAACCTCGTCTGTCGGTCGTTCATTACCTGGTGGCATTGCCTTTTCAAATCTTCAGCAAGGAAATCATCAAATTGGGCGTTTCTTTATGGCTTGGTGTCATCCATGAAAACCCCAATATTGAGCCACGCATTCTAGCAGAGGTGGTGGAAGCCTGGGAAAGAAGTATTCACCGCCGAAAGGGATTGTTTGATACATCATTTGAGCATTCCGATCCGCTACATACCGTGATCGAGTTATTACCAACAGATAAAGCAGCGATGCTTCAAAAGCAAGAAGCCGCGCAGAATACACTCTCGCCACATCTGCGTGTCCTACAATTCTTCGAGAGCCACTTCAATGCCATCCGGCTCGGCAATTTGCAGGATCAGCAGTTATTTGGTCGGTTGATCAGCAGTACCGTGGTGGGTCTCTCGAAGACCCAGTGCCATCCTTTAGCTCGCGAGATTCACTTCCGCATCGTTCTCTTTGGATTGAGCGTTTTGAAACACTTCAGCCCTCGGAGCCCTGCTGCATCTTGGAAACTCAAAGATCAAATCTTGACTGCCGCGCTAAGCTGGTTTAGATACCCACCCAGGTGGTCCTTTGGTGGCAATCGATTACAGATCAAATCTGAAGATAAGATTCTTGGTGATGTTCTCACTGCTCTGCGGAGCATTGCAGAGATAGCTACCCAGTCCCATGGAGCATACAAGTCTCTCCAGGCCAAGCAGGAGTTGACTCAAATTCTTATCGAGAATGAAAGATCACGCCTGCGGGTTTGGCTGTTCCCCTTGGAGCCCGAGCGAAAGCACCACATGCCATCGCTTGGTGGCAAGCACACTGTTGATGTATGTTCTGAAATCTCTTATCGAAGCATTGGCACCTCTGGTCCGAAACTAACAATCGTATCGCAGAGTATGACATCTTTCCTTCGACTTGCTTGGGCAGAGAGTCCGGGCCTGGCCATTCAGCTTGCCACCAGGTTCCCATCGCCGAAGATGCAAAGCGATGTTCGGGGGCTAATCTTGAACTTTCCTGAAAATGCCATCCCGGAGGCAAGTGCTTTGGAAATCATGTTTGACTCGTCTCTACCATCTGATGTCACCTTCCAGCTCAAGGCAAGTCTTTCTCATTCGCACTTTTCATTTACTCTAGAGACTAATTGCGTTGCAGTATCTACTATTCTGGGCGCCAGTCAATCCCACAGAGGCATTGACCTACTTCCTTCCCGCTTACGGCAACCACCCCTTTATCCTCCAATACGCAATGCGGGCTCTGGAAAGTCACTCGATGGATGTTCGCTTCTATATCGTGCCACAGCTGGTCCAGGCTTTACGATACGATGCCCTGGGCTACGTCGAGCGCTATATCCTTGAGACAGCAAAATTGTCACAGCTGTTTGCTCACCAGGTGATTTGGAACATGAAAGCTAACTCTTACAAGGATGAAGATTCCCAAGTGGTAAGTGCAGATCATGGTGCAACTCGCTGTTTTAAGATGGTTAGAAACTGACTTCGCGATCTCATAGCCGGATCCTCTGAAACCAACACTGGACCGATTTATCGAGTCTTTGATTTCAAGCTTCTCCGACGAAGAGCGCATTTTCTATGAAAGAGAGTTCTCTTTCTTCAATGAGATCACTGGTATCTCTGGTACGCTTCGGCCCTATATCAAGAAGAGTAAGCCCGAGAAGAAGGAGAAGATTGAGGAGGAGCTTCGTAAGATCAAGGTGGAAGTGGGCGTGTATCTCCCAAGTAACCCTGACGGTGTGGTGGTGGGCATTGATCGGAAGTCCGGCAAGCCCCTTCAGAGCCACGCAAAAGCGCCCTACATGGCAACCTTCCGAATTCAAAAGACCCGGCCACGGCTGGAGGCTAATAAGGGAGCTCGTGCTCACGGGAATGAATCTCGACAAGTGGCCAAGCGGGCCTCGTACGCCGAACAAGAGACCTACGAGGTTTGGCAGTCGGCGATTTTCAAGGTCGGCGATGACTGTCGTCAGGACATGCTCGCTTTGCAGATGATTGCGGCATTCCGTAGCATCTTCTCCAGTGTCGGTCTCGATGTCTGGGTCTTCCCGTACCGAGTCACCTCCACAGCCCCTGGTTGCGGTGTCATCGACGTGTTGCCCAATTCGATTTCTCGGGATATGCTCGGGCGTGAGGCCGTGAATGGATTGTACGATTACTTTGTCTCTAAATATGGAGGTGAAGATTCGATCAGATTCCAGGAGGCACGCACCAACTTCGTGAAAAGTATGGCAGCGTATTCCGTCATCTCCTATTTGCTCCAGTTCAAGGACCGACACAACGGCAACATCATGATCGATGACGCTGGACATATTATCCACATTGATTTTGGTTTCTGTTTCGATATTGCCCCCGGTGGTGTTCGTTTCGAGCGAGCACCGTTCAAGTTGACTTCGGAAATGGTTGCTGTGATCAGTGGGACTCACGACCCAGCTCATCACCCCAGTGGCAATGCCGGCCTTGGTTTGCCTGGCAGCCATTCTTTCAATCCAACTGCCACTCAGCCTTACCGATGGTTTGAGTCAATGGTTGTCAAGGCCTTCCTAGCCTCGCGACCATACTGCACCAAGCTTTCCCACATTGTTTCCCTGATGCTGGATAGCGGTCTGCCTTGCTTCAAGCCCGAGACCCTTAAGAACTTCCGCGATCGATTTGCCTTGGACAAGAACGAGAGGGATGCAGCTGAACACATGCGAGACTTGGTACGGAAGTCTTACATGAGTCGATCTACTAAGGGATATGATCAATTCCAATTGATGACCAATGGTATTCCCTACTGATTGCATTTCAAGTGCTTTCAATGTTGGGAGTTGTTCTAAATACATTTCTTTTCTTATCATCTGTTTTTATTCTAATAAATTTTCATCAAACCGAATGTTGTTCAAAGTGATGTTTCTTCACTTTGTTTTTCAATCTGCAACATATTTGAACAATTTTTTTTTTTTAGTTCTTAGAACCCCCAGACTCCCAAGGTTCTACTTACTTTCATTCTCCATCAAATCTTCGCCGCTTCCAGAATATGTTGCCTCTCTCATCCAAGCCAATTAGATACTTAGGGTATATTATCATTTCTCAGATTTCCACTTTATTTGAAGCATAAGTGATTGATTGACGTCACGACTTCGTGCCCGCCACCAGCTTTCCGTGTTTCAAGAGAAGAAAAATGACGAAATGGGCTTCGGGTGGCACGAGCTAAAAGAAGCTAAAAGAAGCTAAAAGCTGTTAAAGAATTTCAATTACTGGGATTCAAAGGAATAGTTGTTGATTGCAAGTATAACGTAGGAGTCAACAGTATTACCAGTATAGTAGCATGTCAATGTATGGACACCAAACTTGCCCTAAAACAAAATCAACTCAAGTCCTTTCCCAATCAACTTCAGACCAATGGATTCAATCCATGATGACTTCTTCCCAGGATAGATCGGACGTGGCAACATGAATCATAAGAGCCACCTGGAAAAGAACGTACCTTTAAATAAGTTTCTCTACCCTACTTCTCCGAAAAACATATTCTTTTCCTGAACAATTCCAACTCTCCAATCCACAGGAACTATTAACTTCTTAATGTGGATGGGTATTTCCTGTTCATAGTAACATTGGTTCTTCATCCTCAAAGCTCACTTTCCTTCCAATGAAGGTTCCTTTCTTCAACAAACAACCGAGGCCGGAGAGCGATTCTCCACCCTCCACGGACATATCGGGGGAATCGATTGACCCTGAGAAACGACGAAGTAGCTCGTTTGACGAGTCGCGCGTGCCATGGGTAACATGGCGCTCACTAGTCCTCGGAGCCTTTGTCTCCATCGGCGGTGTCATTTTCGGCTATGACACGGGTCAGATCTCTGGATTTCTGGAGATGAAGAACTACAAGCAGCGGTTCGGACAACAGAAGAGTGATGGAACCTTGTATTTCAGCAACGTGAGATCAGGTTTGATTGTGTCCATGGTAAGTCAAGAGCATTGCAATCCGACCAGGGCCTTCCTTCGAGGTCAGCCAGATCTAATAAATTTTAATGATTTTTTTCCCCCCTTCCCGGGTCGATAGCTGTCTATTGGAACACTTTTTGGAGCTCTCATGGCCGGCCCCCTAGCCGATCGAATTGGTCGTAAATGGTCAATTTTTTCATGGTGCATTATCTTGCACGTCGGACTCATCATCCAGATCTCTTCACCATATGGGAAATGGTATCAGATGATGATGGGACGTTTCGTCACTGGGTTCGGTGTAGGATCATTATCCTTGCTAGTCCCCATGTATCAGGGTGAGATCGCACCCAGACACATTCGCGGTGCTATGGTCTGGTAAGTTTCGAATCTTCACGTAGCAATATTGCTTCATTTTGCTCTGGAGTTGTTGAGACTAACCCCACAATTCCCAGTTCGTACCAATTGTTCGTCACGTTAGGTATTTTCGTGGCATATTGCATTGATTTCGGTACCGAAAGCATGGATAGCACGGCCTCTTGGCGAATTCCATTGGGTATTACATTCTTCTGGGGTCTGCTGTTAGGACTTGGTATCCTCTTGTTTCCCGAGAGCCCACGATATGATTATCGACATGGGCGTGTGGCCGTTGCGAAAACAACCATGGCCAAGTTGTATGGAGTGCCTGAGAACCACCGGGTCATTGTGCACGAAATCCTCGAAATCCAGGGTCAACTGGAGACGGAGAAGGGGACTAGGGGTGGGATGTATGGTTGGGTTGAGATGATGCAAGCCCCACGGATGCCGTATCGGATCGCTCTCGGTATGGTTCTTCAGGCCTTGCAGCAGCTGACGGGTGCCAACTACTTCTTCTACTATGTAAGTGTGGTTCTCTTTGAGTCAGAAGCTAAACTCCAGAACGTTTGAAGGCTGATGTATTTATCCCAGGGAACGACCATCTTTAACGGAGCCGGGATTAGTAACACCTATGTTACCCAGATGATCTTGGGAGGTGTGAACTTCGGTACCACGTTTGGAGGTTTGTATGTCATCGAGCACTTTGGCCGCCGCAAGTCACTCATCACTGGTGGCATCTGGATGTTCATCTGTTTCATGGTGTTTGCATCAGTGGGACATTTCTCCCTTGACGTGAAGAACCCAGCCAACACCCCCGGTGCAGGCAAGGCGATGGTTGTATTTGCCTGTCTATTTATCACCGGGTTTGCCATGACCTGGGGTCCGATGGTATGGGCCATCGTCGCGGAGTTGTACCCGTCGCGGTATCGAGCCAAGGCGATGGCGTTGGCCACGGCATCAAACTGGATGTGGAACTTTTTGATTGGATTCTTCACACCATTCATCACGGGCGACATTGACTTCGCTTATGGATATGTCTTTGCTGGATGTCTCTTTTTCGCAGTGTTGGTTGTTTACTTCTTCGTCCTTGAGGGCAAAGACAAAACATTGGAGGAGATGGACATGATGTATGTGATGCGAGTGCCACCATGGCAGAGCAGCAAGTGGACTCCTCCAGCGCCAGAACATCAGCTCACGACCAATCAACTTATGGATCGACGGGTGGCGGAACGGTTTGATCTTGAAGAAGACTCGGAGGCCAACAAAAAGCAAGCTGAGACGCCAGGCCATATGCATGCAGAGGATCCTACTGTTGCAGACACAATAGCAGGCCCTTCTGCAGCTTAGACTTATACAGGAGAGTTGTATAGAAAGATGCAAAGGGGAAGGAACAAGAAAGCACGTGAGACGGGTGTATCAAAGATTGATGTTCATGCCCAAACGTGTGTGAAGGTAAAAATTACTGATTCCAAAAGGGACTGAAGTCTACAAATAGATAGAATTATATGATGAGAATAGATAATGGCTTAAAATTTGCATTCGATCCTTGTATCATCAATTTGGGCCACATCATAATGCCAGCATCCTCAGAACCAGCTCGAGGTCACAGTGGGGGAAAAAAACAAAGTCAAGAAAAGGAAAAGAAGAAAGATAGGAAACGCGCCCATGCCCAAGACATATCAACGAAGAAGAAAAATACTATGATCAAAGTGTACCAATGGGGGGAAACATATTTTGCCTTCCGTTACCCAGGACGCAAGAGAAACATGGACGAGTTTTTGATATAAACTCCATGCAACAAGTGAAGCTAAAAACACATGTGTTAAAGGGTACAACCAGACAAATTCACCATAAGAAGATGCGATGGGGAAGAAAGAGGAGAGAGAAAAAAAAAGAAGGGGAAATGTAGAAGGGATGAAACTAAAGAAATCGAAAATTGAGAGTGTAAGAGAGCCATGGGCTTGTCTAGTCCATAAAGTCACCACGCAGGATCTTCTCCTGGAAGAAATCAGGCTTCTTTTGCTTGGGCTGCTTAGGGATTTCCCGAATAGGCTGCTCCATGGAGGCAATGGAGGCAGCACGCTGATGGTGCGACTGACGGGCCGACTGCGGGGAGACGGGGCCACCGAGGGAAGGGGCACGCTCGGCACGGGAGCGGAGGGCCTCGGACCAATTAAAGCCTTCGCCTACTCGGCGAGACACGTTAGATCTCTCATCCTGGGAAGAAGTGGCGGTACTTGCAGGGGAGCGGGCAGTTGGCCGCGCTGCCGGTAATGAACCAGGGGGTATTCTACCATTGCTTATACTGCCAGACCGAGCATCCCGTAGAGCCTGGGCTCCAAAGGAAACCCGCCGGGCGAATGGGGAGCTTGGGGAGCCTCCCTCTGGATCCTCTGCGACAACATCTTCGTTGGGGACACTCGAGCCCCATGAGCTGGATAGGCTACCCCGACGGAAGGACCTATTTCCGAAAGCGGACGTTTGGGTTGGTGAGCCGGAAAGGCCCAGCGTAGTGATCGACAGGCGTCGCTGGTTCGTCTGGGCGTTGGCAGCGTCCTTGGCAGATTGATTGTTCTGCTTCGAAAAGAGGTCGGTGAAGGGGAGACCGGATGCGATGGATCCTCGCCTGGGGCGGGAGTCAGATTCGGGGACGTTGATAGGAGAGGTAGAACGGTCGTTGGACATGATGAGGGGAGAGATAGAAGTAGAAGAAAGAGTAAAAGAAGTGAAGTAAGAGTCAAAAGCGTTCAGAATGAGAAGGGAAACTGGACGGACTTGCCGCCCTTCTCATTAGAGTAAGCTGGATGAAGAAAGTCGACCAGAAGGGAAATTCAACTCAAGTAGTGTTGATGGGTGTGAATGTGATGGAATGGTGGAATGGGGAAATGAGTGATGGGGTTGAAGAGAGAATGTGGAAAGAGGAAGATATTCCAATAATAAAAAAAGAGGGGATATTGTGTGTGTGTGTGTGTGTGTGTGTGTGTGTGTGTGTGTGTGTGTGTGTGTGTGTGTGTGTGTGTGTGTTAGGGAGAGTGTGTGGCACCACATGTAAATCGTCAGATCCCTTAAAAAGAGAAGACAAAGAGGGGGGGATAATCAGCTAATCAAGCTAAGCTTAGACTCATCACACTGTAATTATCTGGGGTAGCGCCACCTATGGTCGTATTCCGAGTGGAGTGGATTATGCTGATGATGTCGAACATTTGCAGTCTGATCGCTGATTGGTTGCCCATTTGACCGTGGGCCGCTTTTGGTCAAGCTTAGTTTGTCTTTCTGGTCTCTGATTGGCTGATGAATAAGCATTCCCCACTTCTTCTCGCCATATACGGTAATACCCTAGATCATATCCAAATTATGCTACATCATAAGTGGGATCACTTAAGAAGTTAATTATGGACAAAACTATCTAAAACTATATATATACACTAGTATATGTGCTCTATTTACATCATCACTGAAACCGTCTAGCCCATCTATACCATGTAATGATCGCTCCTTCAAAACCTACAAACGCCCCTAAGATCAAGGTAAGAGAACAGCAACAGAGATAAGATGAAAAGAAGTAAAAAGAGACAAATAGGAGAGCAATGCCATAGTAATCCTTATCTTGGGGCGTCCAAAAAGAATGAAGGCATTCATGGAATGTCCAAACCCTCAACAGAGATAAGGAAAGTCGAAGAGAAGGCAAGTAGAGAAGCGAATAAAGAAAGAAGAAAGAAGAAAAGAGAAAAGAGAAAAAAAAGACGTACATTATATATTACTCGTTTCCCATAGATTTTCCCCCAGTACATAATCCCTCCTTTTCACAAATATCCTTGCATATAGGTTGCACATGTGACGAGTAGAGTGTTATACTGGAAAGGTGTGAAAGGATATGAGGGGGAAAAGGGGGAGCAATTACTAGGGGGACATTCCCAGTGTACACTATCGTACAAAATCGAAATGTCACCACCCAAAATCCCCTGCCCCTCTTGCCCCTCCCCTTCTTTTAAGACTTTCCTCCCCTTCCATCACATGATCACATAATCGAAAAGCGTCATTGGACAGCTAGAATTCCACCGGAATAGAAACACGTCTGTGACGTTCAGGTTGGGTGGAAGAGTTGAATCAATTTTCGGCCGACGGTCGGTTCGATTTCGGTCCCGTCGCGTGCAATCTTCACTTCTCGGTTGGCATTCCACGGATTGCGTAGTCCGCGAGTCCGATGAAAGGGTACCCGTCCAGTCGAGAGCCATTGGATACGGAAGGGTTTGCCAAAGGTCTGTCCATCTGCTTCGGGCTCCTCCATTGGGAGCTCACTCTTCTCACTTCGCACTTCATCATATTCATCCTCCAGTGATTCCACTTCCCAGAAAATCGTGCCCCGGGCCGAGTCATCAATGATCCGACCTTTCGGAGCCGTGGCAGTAGCCAAAGTGGGCGTCACCTCCAATTCCTCCACATTGCTAGGGAGAGGTTCCGGACGAGCTGGCATCTCCAAAGCCAAGTCCTCGTCGTCGTTGATCGGTGAGAGCATGCGGGCATATCCAAAGTACTCACCAGACTTGTTGGCTGAGAAAATCAAGTATACATGCTCTGTGGTCTGAACAAATGAAAGAAAAGAAATAAAACCGAGATTAGTACATGATGGAACAAGAGGTCCGCCAAGATTAAGATAAGAACAGTCATAGTGACTCACCTTGAAGGCTTGATTCAGATTGGTTTCATTATGGCTTTGGGTTGCCCAGATCCCACTCTGTTTGCTCAATTCAAGATCCTCCACTGTCAAACTCTTAACAACAAAATAACGATCCGATGAACGGGTCCCATCGTCCAGAGGTGGGACGGTCCTGAACTCGCTGGCTCCCAAGACTTCCTCATCTGTAGGATCGGGATTCTCCTCGGACCGCCGAGGGGGCGGGCCCGTAGATCCCGACCCGGGAACCGTAAAGCCTTTCCGGAGTCGACAGACCAGACGAACCCCTTGAAACCGGGAGTCATGAAATCTTCCCAGGGCGGCAGCACAAGCCAATGCTGACTTATAATTCACAAAAGCACAGTTGCTCTTGGAGATCAGAAAAACACTTTCAATGTCGCTGGTCGCATCCTGGGAGAAGTGATCCTTGAGGTCCATGACATTGGCCCCGGGCGGAAGATTCCCCACCCAAAGCGCATTACCGGATTGTTTAGGCTTGCGTGGTGGGCCCCGTGGTGTGCTGGGGGTTGACATGGATTGGTCAAGGGATACCGGGTCTGTGAAGCACGCAATGCATCAGTGATCCAAGGTCCGCTGCCCAAAGATCAGCGGGCGAACATACCGGCGAGTAATGGCACATGTGCTAGTTTCGAGGGATTTGACCCGTCCACGATGGTCTTTGAAACATCATAATTCAATTCAGAAAGTCGTCTGTCTTCTTTTGGGGCGTGAACAGACAGTGGTCCTCGAGGACCCTGACGAGTGTGTGATCGTGATTGTACTGGACCGGTTAGGGAGGGTGTTCCATGTCCATATGGTGCTGGATAATGGTGAGCATAATAACCATTCCCATAGATGGGGGCCTGTCCGGTGCCCAGGTTCTGCATGGATGGGTTTGCGGCGTATGGCGAGTAGTGACCGCCCCCATGCGGAGCTGTTCCAGGGTGTTGAGGCAGGCCGTAGGGTGGGTACGCCGGGTTGAAATGCATGCCATATGGTACTCCTCCTGAGTTCTGTGCGTGGTAAGGGTTCATGGACTGCATTGGATAGATCATGCCCTGGGCGGGTGCGGGCGGATATTGATTCGCGAGATGGGGTTCAAACGGGGACGGTTGCGACTGGTGGGTTGGTAGTGAATAGGCCATATGATTCATCATCATGGCCGATGAGTTTTCATATATTCCAGGTCCCATATAACCCGTACTGGGATATGGGCTTGTCTGTGCTGGTCTCGTGGGTTGACCGGCATTATCGATATCTAGATGATTCGATTTGGTCAGCCTTTGTTTGCCCTCTCCAAAGAAATGGTTGTCATAACAATGTATAGAAAAAAAAAGAATAGATAAAGGACTGTATGGAGAAAGAAAACTTACCAGATGATGATAGTGATTTCGAGGCATTCGGCTCTGGGGCCAGGGTGGTCCCTTCTGCCCCCCCAGATGAGCTGACCTTGTCTGTAGGAACATCGCCCATGGGGTCCGGTAGTAGACTGGGGTTAAATGGGATGAGAAAAGGAGAAAAATGAAAATGAAAAGCTCCTAATGAACGGGATGTATTTAGCTGTGAAACATTATCTATTCCAATTTCTTTTTTTTTTTTTTTTTTCACTCAAACCAACCTTTCAAGTGTTCTCCCAAGACTGCCTTAAAAAAATGTGAGACCGCTTGGGTCTATGTTTCCCCCCCACGGAGACGGGTATGGCTCTTTATTAGTATATGCAATATGCGATATACCAAACAGCAACCAACGCTGTCAATGTCCCTGCTTGATGCGCTTGTCAGGATCAAAAGTCGATCACTATAACCAGAAAAGGGGAGTTGGTGAGAAAAGCCAGTAGCAAAACAAATCTCAAGGTGGTTGATCATCAAAAAAAGGAAAGGAAGCAAAAAAGAAACAACTCTTCAAAAGAAAAGAAGAAAGAAGAAAGAAAAGGATTGGGGTATAATGAATTGGGAAGGAGGGGGAAGACACAATTGCATGGCTGAGTGCATTGCCCGCGCCTAAGCAGGGCTAGACAACGCCGACTTCCCGAGAGAAAAAGTCATTAGGGCAATGTCACCGTACGTGGCTCATGTTTTGACGCAGGGAAAGTTGGTAAGGGACAAAAGGTATAAACAAGGAAGAACAAGGAAGTACAAGGAATATATGGAATCAGATTGGGGGGAGGCAAATGAGCCAAAAGAGAAAGGATGTGTGGGGGATCATGTTTCAAGTTCCCTTTTCTTTTCGTACTCTTGAGAACCTTCTGGGGAGCAATACCCTTTTCAACCCCTTAAAAAAATATAAGGATCAAGCCAAAAGCCCGAGGTTGAAAAGAAAGTATTGTACGATATCATGTAGGGCTAGACCGACATGGATATCATAGATCATGGGGAAATTACCTCCGCCAATGGAATGGTTCGCTCATATTTGCGTACTCTATAGGGCTGGGAAGAAAGAAGAAACATTCCACACAGAATTGAGGCTTGGGCGGAACGAATTGACACGAAAACGTACCTTTGATGTCCAATTTAGTCCTTGAGGTTTACCCCAAGGCTAAAAAAGAATAGAAGATAATAGAATATAACCGAAAAAAAAAAAAAGAATAAAGAGAATAAAGAAAAGAGCAAAGAGCAAAGGAGAAAGGCCGCTTCAACGAGAGTCCGTGCAAAGATGTGTCTGTACTCCCCACAGTCTTTTTTTTTTGGACTATGGGAAATCGACAGTTTGACGGATTAACCCCGAAGCGAACTTAAGGATGCCCAATGCAGGAAAAGCCGAGACGAGGGGGGATCAAGTGTGGCTTAAATGAAGTAAACTCGCACACTAAAATAAGAACTGAAAGGTGCACGGGGACATGTCAATCCCATATACTTGGGATTTTGACTCTTGTGGAGACAATGGGAGGCAAAGATCTTTTATGGAGAGAATTCAGGACCCAAAAAAAAAAAAAAAAAAAACAGGACCAAAGAGAAAGAAAGAATAAAAAGAGGTTTAACGAAGCAGCTGACGAACAACCCCAACGAGGGCTCTGGATACAAGAAAACAGTGGCGTATGAAGTGGAAAAAGAGGCTTGGACGCCCAAACAACAACACTTGGCTTTGTGGCTTGACGGGACCAGGAGAGGTTGCGAATTAACGGAATTTTGATTTTTTTTTCTTTTTCAGTTTCTTTTCTTCTTTTTTTTTTATTGACCAAAAAAGGTCGATTCTTCAAGAAATCGGGACCGATTGGGAATGATCAGAGCAGGGACGAAGCGGGTCGAGGGGGGGGGTTAATGCACTGGTTCCCGGTGGGCCCTGAGGATTTCTGTGGCGGCCCCCCCTCCGTTGAGCATACCGGCTCGGACCTTTGGACCTTTGAACCTTTGGATTGGCCTGGAGACTTCTTCAGAAATGGAGTAGACTCCCGGCCAGACGACGATCTTTCGCGTCTCAAGCTCCCCTGCAGTGACAAATGCTTGTCATCTCAGTGGAGCTTAAGAACCAAGGATAAGGGACGGTCGATTTTCCCAAAATAAATGCTTGAGAGAATCGGGAATTACCTAGGAAAGATCGGGATGTGTAGATTGGAGGGGGTTTTTTTAACAGGAAAAGAAAAGAGAAGTGAAAAAAAAAGACAAGACTTGAGGCTGTTGGCTCTCGGGGCCCACGGAATCTGAATCACGACAGCCGGGTAATCCTGCCCACATGGCGTACGGCGTACACGAATTTGTCAGTGTGGCTTAATACTAAAGAAAAACCGTGGCAAACCGGACGAGACGGATGTATTTTACCCCCATTGAACCCAGATTGTGGAACTGCATATCATAGGACATTACAGTAAGTTCCGAAGCCTTAATTTGGGGATCATTTGGCGGGTTTTCATGGCCGCATGGTCCCGTAGGAGAGATTCACTCGATTTGCCACTGTCAGGGGGGATTTTGGGTTGATGTGGGTTATGGGAAGGAAAGAGAAAGAATACACAAAAGAAGCAGGAAGTAAACATTTGAAAGGAAAAACAGAAACTAAAACATATAAATTACAAAGGTTATACTGTATATTACAGATAAGAGTACTTAAAAGAACTTCGAGTCAGTCAAAAGAGGGGGAATGGAAAGAAATCATCAATTGATCGGAAATATTACCATGTATAATATAATATTTATACATCCTATATACATATAATCCATACTATACATACGGCGCCGAGACCGTAATGGGAAAGTGTGGGAAAGGTGAGTTGGGTACACTCCCACTACACTCCCACTAGACTCGATCATCATCCCACCAATCCCGGAGAAGAGGATGGATCCCTGTCCCAAACCTCGTCAAAAACAACAAAATTTCGTTGGTGGCGTTGACACGGATGATACCGGTTTGGGGTTAGGAAGAATATTGAATTTGAGCTATCAATTTTTTGATGTCTCTTGACCCTTTTAAAGAACCGGGTCTAGAATGGTCTTATTGTTCTTCGATGCTGTACATTAGTGTACAATGGACACTTTTTGATTCTTTTATTCTTTTATTCTTTATTATTTAGTGTTTATTATTTTCGAAAATGTAGGGTTTGTTGCCTTATGCAAGGGTTGGCCTTCCCGAAAGTGACCCAGGGCACGAGGTCGATCAGACCACTCTGTCGGTAAACGATTAACGGGAATTCCGCTGCAATGGGAATTATACCTTGACCTCGGGAAGATTTTGATGGCAGAGGTGGGAGAAGAGGGTCCCTTTGGAACACGATGGGGTTAAGAATTTCCCCCCACTACAGACGGGAATTTTTGAAAGAGAGAAGTAACCAGAATCTTGGGAATAGAAGTGAGTACTTTGGGAAAATAAAAGACGATTATGTATGCACAGTCTATACATATACTATAAAGCGAAACATATACAGAATATCCTTGTACTCTGTACTTGAATAATTTTGAAAGAATTGACAGACAAGAACGCCCCACATCTGGACGTTGATCGGCATGAGATGCCAGCCAATCATCATCTATCATAATCGGCCACACCGCAATCCAAGGTTCTGCCATTTTCCTCATTTTCCTTATATGTAGGAACATACATACAGTACAAAATTCCTATGACTTATGTGGTGGCAACTTGCATACCATCCCACCTTTCCAACCATTACCAATTTTCACGTCTGAAATAGAACTTTATAAGGTATATTTGGAAATACGCTTTCAACGATAAAAAAAAATACAAAAGTGTCTGTAAGTTATATAGAAAGAAAATACATAATTTACAACTGACACTGTCACTGTAACCTCCACAATCCATACACTAGTGATTCCCAATTTCCTTATTCGATAATGTCAAACACTAACACCCCCACGAGTAACCATGTTCAAATGTTTCAATGGAGCCAATTGAGTTGGAAGATTCCCACGTAATAAGTATACTACCACATAGACAGAGCATGAACTGTTGCTTTAACCTGGTTTTTTTTTTGGACTGTGTATTATAAGGGATCTAAAGATTCAATGTTTGAATAATCTTCCAAGTACAGCCAGAAAGGTAGTATACAGTATGTATGTAGTATATATGTGCCTATCCCAATTTGGTCGGTGGTACTTTTGTCACTTTATACTTGCACTTGACGAAAGAGCGGTATGTACCGCGGAGAATTATAGAAAACTCCACGTACAATGTAACTGGTCGACCATGGCGGATATAGAATCCAGATGTCCGGAGAAGGGGTATTCCTCTCCCGAATTATATTGTATAACAACGTATTTACTCTTCTATGTAGTAGCCAATTTTTTTTTTTTTAATTTTTAATTTTTTTTTCAAAAAAAAAGAAGGTAATAAAACTACGGTGGCTTCAAGTCGAACCATTGACTTCAAGCAGCTGGTACGGACAGAAGTACTCCGTCCTAGTTTTTACTATGGGAATGTACTTACGCAACCTCAGGCGCCACATGGGGTTATTCATGACGTCATGCTATGAACATCGGCTTTTTCTTTCTCCACGTTCCTTACCACAACATCCAATCAACTTTTACCATTTCCTAACTATCAACATTTCCCAATCGCTCCAAATGTGATTTCCCAAATGAGAAGCATCTCTGTGCACATGTGGGTCACCCTTCAACGCCGCTGATGTATTGGGTTATTCAGATCAGTTCCAAAGTATGACATCCTAGTCCTGCATATGACACCGCACTGGGTACCAACACGCCTCCCCAAGAAGTCTTTCAAGCCTACACCTACGGAGTACTCCGTATTGTGTTCCAGTATTCCAATTTTTGCATCCGATGCTTCAATCAATCACATTCACCGCATCCACAGTTTTCCAATTGAATTCCCCACTTAGCTCTTGGGTCTTGGGGTCCGAGGGGAGGGGAAGAACGGAACTTTCCAATTAGAACTCGATGATCTGATGAGATCGGCCTAAAATTTGCTGCAAGGCTGGTACTGACGGAGTCGAAGGGAGGCGATAGTCTCACATCCCTGTGACTCAGATCCGGAATTGCAATTTCCAGATGGTATCCGCAAGAGAGGCGTGTGGACAAAAGCCAACAGGTCCATCGAATCCGAGATCAATGAGTTTAACACGGGCTCAATGGCCGATCTGTCACGCATGGCGCTATGGTAGCGTGGCAGTGAACGCCAGGTGGACTAGCTCATTTCCTAAAAGAGGAATGAGCTGCTTGGCCGGTGGGATCTGCAAGGGCCAAAAAGAGAAAACCTGCTGAGACTCTTCTTGTCAAAAAAGGTCACATCACATTGTATACATTAGATTGGAGTATATGGCCCAGTGACAACCGTTGCTTTCCGGTATGTACATGCATATGTACATGCTGCCTCCCTAGGACCCTTGTTCCCCAAAATATGATCTCAATATGATATGGCATGTCCCCAGATCCTGTTTTGTGGTTGCTGGGTTGCTGTTAATGTCCATATCACTGCATGTTGCATGTCTCGGCCGTTTTTCTAAACGCCACCTGACCCACGGCATTACTGAAAGAAGGCAGGCATAGTCACCTAATGGGGCAGATGGAATGAGTCAAGGGGAGCAGATCGCCACTTCCAGGCAACGAAATATTTGCTGCGGCTGTCTATACGTGTCGCTAGCTTGATGCGTTGGGCACTCGGAAGAGGCGCCGGGCATGTACACCTGTCTCCCTATACCCCAATGGCTACTAATCTGGGTGCTTAGCAAACCAGGTCATCAGGTCAAAAAGGGCTAATTTCACATGTGCAGGTGACTACTTGGGGAGTGTAAGACGCAGGAGGCATTGGAGTAAACATTGAAGTCCAGATTTACACTACAATATGTAATAATATGCATACCTAAGTAGCAATTACACAAAAGGTCCCGTATCCAGGAGATGGCTCTTCGAGGTCACAAGCTCTATAGCATTAGATGAAACAAATACCTATTAGAGTAGTATACTCATCCATATTCACCAAGCGAGGAACTTCGTAAATCAATCAACCAAATCATTATATGTGACCATTGATAATCATTCTTTCTCACAGAAGGGGGGCATCCCAAGGTGGTATGTACAGCCGCAAAAGAAAGCAAATTCGGAACAAGAAAGCCACCAAACCAGTCGACAGATTACACTTGAATGGGACCGAGACGCCAAATGAAAAAAGGTCAAGTTGAGAATGAGGGGAAGTAAGGCATCGCTAGGGTATTAGTACATAACGGAGAACCCCCTCTATACAATTCCTGGTCCCAAAGAGATGGTGACATGGACAGAGAGAGGGTGGTTTCAGATGCAAAATATGCACCCATGCAAGAAATCAATAGCCCTATAAAGGGGAAGAGGAGGTGGGAGTCAAGAGGAGAAAACCCAGAATCGAAACCAAAACCACAATAGGAATTTTCCAAAGACAAGATTCCAACAACTGAATCTGATATGAATAAAAGTAAAAAAGAAGCACATGACTATTCGGTGGGAAAAGGATGGAAAAGTGGCCGTGGAAGATTTCCAAAGGCCAAACAAAAGAGGAAGAGAAGAAGCGAAAAAGAAAATACCAAAGTCATACACAGAAAAGGAATCATCAGAAGGGAGGGGTCATGTGAGTCTCATTACGATGGATATAATTAGGAATTATTGACGCGGTACCCTGGATGCCGAGGACATTATCGGTCAATTCCAAGGGATGCCACCTTCCCTGCGAATCGAGCGCCGGCGCTTCCTCGCTTGGAAAGCTTGTCTTTCTCCTTCGTGTCGGCAGAATTAAGCACCTGGGATGCGGACGAAGCAGCACTGTCTCTGCTTGAGCCCCGAATGGTGGGTAGGGACCCGAGGGTATCACTTGCAGCAGCCTTGGTGGCAGGAGTTGGCGCACTGAATGCAGAATTCCGTGTAGTCCGTTGACTGAGATAGAGCTGCGCAGCGGGAGAAAGGGGGATGGAAGGAGGTTGTGGGGGGATCTCCGCACCGTTCTGAACCAGCAGTTCGGCAACGGGGAAAGGAATGGCCTTGGCGTTAGACCGGGCGGAGAGGCTGGTGGGAGTGGATCCAGGCGAAGCAGGGTCGGCGGCAGCAAGAGCCAAGAATACAGCGTGTGTGTTGCGGGAGCGATCTGGAACGTTTACATTGGCTCGAAGTGCTAACCCGTACAGAACACCTTGGATGTCATTCTGCTTGATCGAGGCGAGAAGGGTTTCATTGGGGGTTGCAAACCGGGACCGGGGAGATGGTAGTTGCTCGACATAAGTTCGATCAACATATTTAGCGGTGATGAACTTGAGACGCTGCTCCCGCGTGGAGCCCGCGGTCGGTTTGAGCGAATGGTCCAGCATACTTTCCCAGATCATGTTGCTAACACGGTTGCCCACCTGCAGAAGAATCTCGACAATGTCATTTGAGAAGGAATGCACATCGAGGGTCAATGATCGGATCTTGGAGATGTGTGTTCCTAAAGATCGGTGAATGCCACTGCACTCGATACACAGCACAATTCCGAGGTTGATTGACACCCATTCAACTTTAGAGGAAGATCCACAATCAGCACACCAATTGTTCCCCTCGTCTGCATCGCGCACAGCCTGTAGTAGTCGTGACGGGTTCTCTTCATAATTGTTGCTGTCATTGCGAACGTAGCTAGGTCGTGCTCCAACTGTTGTACGACGCGTCACACCAGCCCCAGAAGAACTGCTCGAATACGAGTGATGACCAGATACGGACGAACTTTTACCCGTCAACACAGACCCAATGTCACGGCCGGTTGATGCCTCGTTCTTTGATGAGACTTGGGGTGCCGGTGGCATTCCTCTACCTTCCACTGCACTCTGGAGTGCATTATTGATAGAGCGAATCCAATTCCCCATGTCATCCTCCGAAGTAGCCTGGTAGACTCGCTTGAATTGTGGGGTTATAACTTCGAAGCAGAATCGTCGCTCAGCATTTCGAGCTTCGCGAACCGAGGCCATTCGAAGATCAATAGGCTCCATATGGAGGTCAAGCTTTTGCTTCCAGTTACTGTACTCTGAAAGTTTTCCTTGGTCTAACACGATCCAGAACCTAAGGCGGGGTTAAAAAAAGAACCTGTTAGCATAGTTTTACTACTGATGACAGGGCGTGTGTCACTTACTTGTGCCAGGCCTGCTTGTTGATACCCTTTGGGTCAATATGTGACCCTGGACGGGAAAGAGCCCATAGCAATCCTTCTTTTCGTTGCTGGCCAGCAGCACGATCAGATCCGAGCGAATCACGCTCTTCAAGATCCCGAATGCCTTTGAAACGATTCTGGCTCGGTGTGCTAGTATTGGGACCAGCGCCAGTTGTAGGCACAGAGCCACCACCAGCTTGGGAGCTGACAGACCCGGCGTTGGCCTGGGATGAGACTGACGAAGTGTTGCTGATGACGCCACGGAGCTGGGAGCTCGTGCTGTCGGCCCGGCCCAGTTCAGTCTCCGCAGAACCGGCCCCGTTGGCAGTTCCACAGGATATGTTTGAGACACTGGTGCCACCAGTCACGGCATCAGGTTCAAGGTACGGGTTACTGTTCTTTTCCAGGGCTCTGCGCTTCTCCTCGCGCTCGGTTCGCTTAAACTGGAACTCTTTGTCGGCTTGATTCACTTCGTAGATAAGTGCATCCAGCTGCGGGACCATTTCCTCGATTCTCTTGGCCGCTGCCAAGAAATTCTTGGCTTGGAAGTCCGCGTACTTGGTGAGGTGCGAGAGCACTTCTTGATCCTTGCGACCTCCATGTAGATCCTGCATGAAGGAAGAATAATCAAACCGTTTAAGCTCAAAGTTTCTCCGCTTGACCTGGTATTTCGAGTCACTCTCGGCGCGCTTCTTTTCCTTGAGTGAGTCCTGCCGCTGGCCAAGATATCGGCTGACATAGGCATAGTAGTCACGACTCTCCTCATCAAAGTCTTTTTTCTTCGATTCGGCTTGTTTAATATCATTATGATAGACCTTTATAAGTGGTTCGATGACAAGTTTTTGTAACTGAAGCGTGTTCAGTTGCTCGTAGGTCAAAATCTGACGAGCGATTCTTTCAAAATAATGGTCTAAAGCAGGCTGAATAGCATTGCCATTGGCAGTTGATGCATCACCCAGGGACCCCAGAAAGGCTTCCATGGCTTCATTGCAGGATGCCTGAGCCTGTTGAGCTGCCTCGGCCTTCTTGAGCACCTTCTTCGTTTTCGCGCGCATGTTGCCAGTTTTCTGCTCCAGGGCTTTCATTGTCGCTCGAAACAGCGGGCCATCTTCAACAAGACTCATATCATCACCAGGTCGGGAATGTGGCAGATCGACTTTCACAGGGGGTGGGGGTGGGGGCTGTGTCGGGGGAGGGGGGGCAGGCGCCCCATCTGCCGTCTCGGGTGGAGTGATCGAAGGAATACCTTGATGAGAGATATCCGGGTCGCTGAAATGAGACACCGTGGACTGGGTGGAAGGAACACGGCTGCGCGGAGGTACCGGTAACTCGAGGTTGGGCGACATTATCCGGGGACTCGGGAGCAACCGCACCGAGTTGTGCACCCAGAAGGAGAAGTGAGCAAGAGTATTCAAGCGGTTAGTCCTCTGGTCATAATCCAACAGGCTACAGCTGTTTCGCCAACCGCCTCCTTTGTCTTCTGTTCCCTTAGGGGGCTTCCATGTCCAGGACCACTCAAATGATACCGAAGGGGTGCCCTCTGTCGAAAAGTCTCCGATAAGTTGCACGTTAGAGTTGTTTTGTAGATTGGGATTTGCGTGAAACTCCCGTGTGATGAGGTTATCGAGTTCTTTGGAGTTCGACGCATGGGCAAAGGTCAGTCCATTTAGGACGGTGTCGCTCACTTCCGGGAGTGAGGTCGAGACACCATTGACGGTGGATCCGGTGGCGTTGCTTGTTTGTGTTTGACGAAGGATAAAGGTAAAGTTGAAGATCAGTTCCTCATCGTTTGCAAGACGTAATAAGAAAGTGGGCGTGGGAGCCGTGGAAGGGACGTCAGGATCCTGTATTTTGGTGGAGCTGTTAGTTTGTGTCTGCACCTGCACCTGCGTCTGCGTCTGCGGAGCGCATGTTTGGTCGGAATCAATGAGACGATCGGGTTTCAAGTACCTGAATATATTCGACCGGAGCATCATCGCCTACATCCCGCTTGGCTACATATCTGACTGCCGGGAATGCGTTGGGGGATAAGGTCAACAGGCGACGCCTAGAGTTGCTTATGGTGATGGAAGCGATCGAGACTAGAACAAAGGATTTCATCAGCGTCGCGATCCCACAGCACTTCTCTGGACCGGACAGGACTTTGACATACATCGATTCTGGTCCTTGAAGAACAGATTCCCCGCCTCGTCGAGACGGCTGCCGACATTGCCCATGATGGCGCAGTCACCACAAAAATTAGACCACGGCGCGAGAAGGGATCTGGACAAGCACCGGGCCAATCGGCCATCGACAAGGTGCGCTGCAGTCGGATGGCCCTTAGAAAGAACAAAGCAAGCAATGAAAGATATCCGTCATCCAGGTTAAGAAAAGAGAGAGAAAAAGGTGTATTTTTTTGGGAGAAAGAAGAGGGGGGCGGTGGAGTCGAAGCTTGGGATCGGGTTGATCGCGTTCGATGAAGGAGGGGGTGGATATGTATGGCTCGGAGATCGAACAACAGTGGAGTTTCTTGTTGTTTCGGAGTTTTCGTTTCTTCTTACCCCCTTTTTTTGGGGGCCCTTTATCTGGGTTTTATTGTCGGTTTTTGGAAGGGGTATAAGTAAATTGTAGTTCAATAACCAAGGCTATTCTTTTTTTTTTTCTTTTTTTTTTCTTTGATCACTTGAGTGGTCTTTTGCCCCCTTAGAGTAAGAGCACGGGTGAGAAAGAGGGGATGACAAGTCTGTGGTTTCAGCCCCAATATTGGAGATATCAGAGAGAACAGATTATTGAAAGCCAAGTTATTGTAATAAAGAAGAGAGATATATAACATTTGAAACATACATATTTATTATACTCACAGTGGCTACTAGTAGATCCTTGGAAACCACAAGGCAGCTTGGATATACATAGCCCTAGACATTCTTAGGCTGCCAGTCATGTGCAATACATAGATGTATATCTTTAGTATTACTTAGTCCATTCTAGGTAAATCCACACATACTAGTATGTATTGGATACTTATAAGAAAAATAGATCATCCTGGAAAGTCAAAGACAAACCGCATTACGAGCTTTAAACATAATCACGAATTAATGTACATCCCATTACACCTAATAAGCGTATCACCCCATCGTGAACATCATTAAATTACTCGGTTCCAGCCCGAGGCGAGTGAAGAAAATTAACGGAGCAAAAAGAAAAGAAAATGAGAGAAAGAGAAGAACAAAAGAGATATGAGCCCATCAAGACGAGATGGAAAAAAAAACCTCTTAGGCAACCGCATTGATCTTGGAAGTGCGGGTGCCGGAGTGCATCTCACTCGTAGATGCAGCTCGCTCGCGACTGGAGTAACGGTGCTTAGGACGAGCGGCATGCCCATCAGCCTCAACCCACTTCATCATTTGGCCTTTCATATCGCGCATCTCATGCACCCTTCGAGAAATGTTCCCTCGCCGAGGGGCCTGACCGCTGCGTTCATTGAGCTCATCCTCATCGGAACTGGAGATAGAGAGGTCGGAAACACTACTCTGCTGGAGATAGGTGACGAGTTGACCCTGGGATTTTTTGACTTCCCGTTGCTCATTCTTCATCTGGTTCATTCGCTCGGCATCCGCTTGACAATCCAGAGTGGAAACGTTCAAACCCGGAAAGTTGGACATGATAAACTCCCTCAGAAGCGGGAGTTTTTCGGAATTAGGTCGATACGTTCCGCTGTCATTATCGATGAAGAGTTCGTAGTCCGATGGTTCTGTTGATGTCTCCCGCAACTCTTCAGGCATCTCGTTCTCCTCATCCTCTTCCACGGGGAAGTCACCGCCGGTAGTCTCCGTGTGGGACGGCGGGGATTGGCGGCGATGACGGTGAATGATCCGGCGCACGAAGAATTCTCCCGAGTAAGCAATGTATATCGAAACATCACTATGCATCGTATGCTTGCTTAGTAGGTCGATTCCAAACTCCTTGCCAGTCTCGGTGAATCGAAATTTCCCGTCCAACGTGATCACGTAGGTGAAGATCCGCCCACTCTGACCCCAGCTAGTGAATTCCAGGAACTTCTGCGCGAACTCGGAACAAGGTTCGGGAAATGCGCCATCCAGAGTACTACGATCGAAATTGTAGATGCGCTGATGTTGATGATGGAGAGCCTTGTGTAGGATTCGGCCCCGGAGACTTCGCGCTTGAAACATGCCTGCCACAAATGGCCTGAATTCAACATAGCGATGATACAAATCCGCCGGGACAGGACCGCGAAGTTGCATCTGAATGGCTTGGAAGCTATTGAAGGGTTGTTTGTCAATAAGGCTTCACACATCATAAATACACCAAGAAAAAAAAGGCATTCTTGGCGAGAGCAACGTACTTGTAACGACTGATAGGCTTGCCATTCCCATCAAGAGCCTTGACGTGATCCTTTGTCCCTGTAAGTCTTCCAATGAGAGGCGAAAAGTGCTTGAACCAATAATTCGGGCCAAGGGTATACATTTGACCACCTTCCGTCCCTGGTGTTCGGCCTAAACACTCGATACTCATGATCAAGAAAGACTCCTTGTGATGACGGGTGGCAAAGGCGGAGACATTGGTAAAGACATAGACTCGTTTGCTGCCGAAACGCTTTTTGACCTTGAATGATTGCTCTTTGAATCCTTTCCAACCTTCCAAAGCGGGCACCTCAATGAATGCAATTCCCAGTTTGTCATCATGATCCGCCGGATCTTCGTCCATCAGGTGGGCCTTGAGTAAAAACCCCGATGCCGGCACATTTGCGACGATCCATTCGCTGTTCCATATGGGATTCATATTTTTACGTACGGTTGGTGTTCGAAAACTCGTCATGGGATCCTGCTTATGACGCCGGGGCAAATCCACCTGCAGTTGTGCATCGACATAGGGGTCGGAGGAGAAACTGCCGAAATCTGCGACGGGGAGATCAACACCACGGTGAAAGGTAAACTTGACGGTATAGCCCGGTGGCGCATGTGGTATCGGAGTCGCATCGTATCCTCCAGCGGGCTTTGAGTGTTCATCGTTCATAGTCAGCCGAGATTGTAGCTTGTCGGCTTTCTCGACCAGCTTAGGGGCGTATTTGTCGACCGGATGGGAGGCCATGATTGCGATGGGGGGGGAAGGAAAGCTAAATGAATTTAAGCCCAAGTGAAAAACAAAAAAAGGTTCATCATCCGATATATGATAAACTACTGGCAATAATGATAAAGCAGTAATAATAAGGAGTAGAAGATATGGGGGGTGGGGGGGTTAATAGTGGGGGAGAAAGTACCCAAAGGTCAAATTTGATTGATTCCAAGGAAGTTTGGTGGAGTGAAAAATGCCGAGGAAGGCCAAGACTGGGCCAAGATTCAGCCTTACCAGGCAACAGCCAAACTACTTATAACATACTTGTACGAGAATTCCGTTTATCTATGGATTATGATCTCATAAATCTAAGTAAATAAGAGCGCCACAGAGTCATTTGTTCTGATCGCCTAAGAATAGATTTGTAGATCTGATTGAGAGAAAATGGTCCAGAATGTCTTTTTTAGTGGGGGTTGAACAAAAACTTCTAACATTGAATGTTTCTCTATTTTATACAGTTAACCAAAAGACCAAGGGAAGACCAAGCATGAAAAGAAGAAAACCAAGGGAGGGAAAATACAAGATACAAGAAACAAGAAACTGTACGCAAACTGGGGGAATGATGTAGAAAAAAAAAAAAAAAAAAAAAAAAAAAGGTCCAAGCAAAAAGAGGTTCGTGAAGGGACATATCGTGTAAAGTGGAGAAAAACCATGCGCGTACTCCTTTGGTGACGTCGGGGCCAATCTCCGAGATTTTGATGGTGGCGGATCGGGAAATCGGGAATCACTAAGAACCCCGAAAGAGGAATTGCATGTCTTCAGGGGTCAGTTTCTCAAGAGCCTGATCTTGATCCTTATTGATAGTGCCTCGAATGAGGTTGGCCTTTTTCTCTTGCAATTGAACAATTCGAGACTCGACCGAGTCTTCAATGCTGAGCCGAGTGATCACACAGGGCCGCTGTTGACCAATGCGATGACTTCGATCGGCACTTTGCCATTCTGCTGCAGGGTTCCACCATCTGTACGCAATGTCAGCAAAAAGATCTACATCTGACCAACCCCTCCCCAAAGAACCCCAAGAAGGATACGGAATAAAAACTTACGGATCAACTATGAACACTCGGGATGCTTCCGTTAAATTAAGGGCAACACCACCGGCTTTCAGAGAAACCAGAAACACTTCCACCTCAGGGTTTGTCATGAAGTGCTCAATTGACCTCTGTCTTTGTGCGGGGGTCATCGTTCCATCCAGCATGACCGTGTTGAATCCTGCATGACGTAGACGCCACTCCACAAGCTGCAACATGGATGTGAATTGTGAGAAGATAATCGACTTTGGGGTATGACTCTTGTTCCGTTGTTGGTAAAGTTCATACACCAGAGTTTCAATCTTAGTTGAGGAGGTCCAATCTTCCATGCGGATACGATTGATGATCGAGTTTTTCTTCACCGTCTCTTCCGCCTGTTCGATGGTCGGTTGCTCGAGATCGATGGAAAGAGCAATATGACACTGTGGACAATCCACCGTCGAACTCTCATCGAAGGAGTGGATGTAATCCCTCACACATTTACGACAGAATTCATGTCGACAACGAGATCGGATAGCGTCTTCAGCGGGTTCATCACACACTCGACATACAAGAATGTTGAACCCAGGCTCAACATGTTTCTTGAGAATGAGGTCGGGATGATTGGCCACCTGGCGCATCTGCATGATCAAACCAAAAATATTCGCATAATTATTTAGCATGACACCTTGACTGACATATGTGTCGAACTTCCGAGTCGAGTTGGTCATGATACTACGCGAGAAATCATGTTCAATCTCGCCAAAGAATTCATTGCGGATGATGATCCTGCAAAAGACCCTTGTTTAGCTTCGAAATTTAAAGGCATGGGGATATGGATCACTGCTTACCTCTTCGGCGGGAGCTCCATTGACGACGTATGCTCTTGTTTCATCCGGCGCAACATAATTTGGTCAGTAATGAGGCGAAGCTTCGTCAACCCTGACTTTCGCTCCTCTTTTGTTTTTCCCTCCGTGACTATCAAATATCTGAATTAGTCTTTGCTCCGGCATAGAAGTCGCACCGAACGAAGATGTAAACTTACTTGGATTGAGAATTTCCTTGTTGAAAATCGAGATGTGATTGAAGCCCCTACAAGAAGAATGTTAAAAATTGGAGATATCGCACTGGGCTTCTTCTCCGAGTACATACGTGTGGTTGCATTCTGTACAACGGCCTTGCTTGTTTGCAGTCCACTGAAGCTGTGAACAATCACATTGCTTACAGAAATAGCAAGCAAATGGGCGGACTTGAAGAAAACGGAGCAGGGAGAAAAACTCGCCAATGCGATTCTGCACCGGAGTGCCAGACAGACACCATTTGTAGGTGGCTTGCAGGGCAAAGCAGGCCTTGGCAACACCAGTCGTACGTTGCTAAATTCCAGTGTTAGAATATCAATAACTAGTAGGAATGGAAGATGACAATAATAGTTTTACCTTGATGCTATGCGCTTCATCCAGCACAAGCCGGTGGTAATGAATTGCATGAATGACGCCTTTTAACTGTGAGCATGTGGATACTTTGGAGGCATCCATATGGTATAAACTTACTGTCCTCTTTGACAACTCCACCGATACGAGCCCAGCCCTTCTCTTGCTTTCGAAACATGGACTCCAGACTCGAGTCTTAAGGGGATATTAGCCAAAGAACCACGAGAATGTGCACATATAAGAGACGAACGTACAAGAGATCATAATCACGTCGTATTTTCGAATATCCGATACGGTGAGCTTTTTGACCTTGGAGTCTGAGCCATGGTAAACGAGGACTTTTAATTTGCCATCGGTGTATTCCTGGTGAGAGTGGTGAGCTGAAGTGAGCCAGAGAGGTTAAGAGCATCAATCCAAACCTTGATTTCAGATACCCACTGCATCAAAGCGACTGGGGGTACAAGGACGAGGGTCGGATTAGGTTGCGGAAAATCGGACATGATCAGAGAAACCGCCTGGATTGTCTTTCCCATTCCCATCTCATCGCCCAAAAGACCACCTTTGTACGCGGTCTTTTCCTGCTCCATCATCCAGTTCAAACCCTCTAACTGAAATGGTTTCAGTTTACGAGTGATCGACTCTGGTTGCTTTGCTTGCTTTGGGGCAATTTTGGGCTCAGCCTTGAGATCATCCCACATGGTCTTAATAATTGGATGCTGCTTCTCCAACTTCTTCCGATCGGCTATTTTCTAGAAAGATGTCAGCTAAATTTAGCCTGCAAGCCAGCTTGAAAGGTACGGACTTACACGTCGAAGTTTCCGTTGCTCTTCCCAGGTAGGTGGTAGCGATCCATCATCCTCGTCATTACGCGGGAAGCCGAAAGGAACGATGGATGGTCTTGTCCGCGAATATGGCGCCCGGCTTGCCGGTACAGTATCAAGCTCTTCATCCACGTCACTTTCAATCGCATCTGAAATACCGCTTTCACTGTAGTCAAGTTCTTCGGAGGAATAATCATTCAGTTCTGGTAAGCTTTCCAGATCTGACATATCATATGCCTTTTCATTGGTCTTAACTTGCACGTTTGCACGAGTAGCCCTTGGGGCAAGTTTCTGTCTTTTAGTGGGCTGCGGCTGGTCGTATTCTTCCTCTTGAAGAGCACGAGCCAGCGCTGCATCCAGTTGGAAACGATCCATGGTCTTGATGGCCTCTGGTACCATCTCGTCAACCGACCTTTTGGTTCCCCTCTGAGTTGCACGGGACGCTCTAGTTACGCGCAGCTGCTGCGCACGAGCTGATGCATTGACCCGTGCCCGAGGTTTAGTGAAATCTGTTGCACTCACGCTGGTGGCGGGGGTGTTGTAACCGGTCACTCCGTCAGCTGAGAGAACACCCAGAGAGCTCCGAGAGGAATCCATTGGGGATTCATGCTTTTTGATAGGGACCACCACCTCAATACTTGCTGATGGATATTGGTCCATGGCAGTGTCGATATCAAGGGCATCGGAACCCTCATCTTCGGAATCTTTGATGACGCGACCACCTGATTTGGAATGAGAAGACCCGCTCACTTGCAGGGGCTCCACCGTCGATGGATTATTCAATGACGTAGAATCAAGGGGTCCAGCTTCAGAGTCCAGAGCAATGCTTCTTCGGGTTCTCATGGTGTAAACAGTGAATGAGCGTGCTTTAATGATAAAGGATGCGGAGTGAACGGATGGCCGGGATGAAGATTGCGGGGGATCGACGATATCAGGGGTTTATTTGGGATCGGACTGCATAAAATGAACTTGAAGGGAGTCAAATTAGCGAATTTGTAGGTGAATAGGTAGAAGCGAATAGATACCAAGTTGAGTTGAGGGCCTAGACCGTATCACCAAGTCAAACCCCAGTCGCGTGAGACGAAGGTCCTTCGCCGAGAGACAGATGAAACAATAAACAAGGCCGAGGGTAAGTATGTAACGCAAAAAAACACTTTGATAACGAATGTCAGGAAATAAAGAGGCGAAAGGGTAGTGAGAAAGGGGGGGGGGGGGGGCAAAGAAAAGAGAGAAGTGAGAGTAAGAGATCGGAGTTGGATCGATCGTGCCTGAACCAGGAAAACTTTTCATTTGGTCGGATCACTGATCTTTTTTTTTCGCCATTACCAAACTTTCAATCCGAAATTGAATTTGGAATCAGTTTGACTCATTCACTTTTATCTTCAAACTGGTTCCTTCTTCTTCCGTGACTTTGTTGAATCGTGATCCTGCTATACTTATCGGGGCTTTCGATAAGAGGCTCGCGTTAAGTGCAACGCGAAATTGCCACGAACCCTGTGACCTGCAGCATCCATCAACAATCCGCTCGCTTTTTTGCCACCTATCTTTGAATTCATCTCCTGCAAAATGTACGTTTATTCTTGCCTGTCATCATTTCCAGCTAAACTGACATCCAGCACAGGGCTGGTAGACGGGCAAGAGGCTCAGGCAGTATCCGGGGCCCGTATGACTTCATCCTTCCTAGTCTGGGGTATCGCATTATACTAACACCACTGTTGTAGACAATCCGCTTTAACAGACTTCCTTGCCGTATGTTGACCTTTACATTTTTAATGAAAATCTATCACTGACCAAAAAAAAAATCAATAGTCAAATAACATTTCCGCCGCGCAAATCCGAGATGATTATGACCGCCGAGCTGCGGAGGCTGCGCGTCAGGCGGCCGAAGAAGAAGCCGAACAAGCCGAACAAGCCGAAGACGCAGACTATCAGAATGAATTATCGCCAGAAGCACCACAGCCAGAGTCCCCCGAAGAGAAAACCCGAAAGCGGAAGCGAATGCAAGCCATCGAGAAGATTAAAACGAGCAAGGAATTTGCCCGTCGCAAAGCTCGACGCGCCGGGGAGCCCGATGACGACGACGATATTCTGGCAGATGAAATGATAAAGGAGAAACATCGACCGAATCCAGGCCAGCTGGCGAATTGTGAGGTCTGCGGCAAGCGCTTCACAGTCACTTCCTACAGCAAGGCGGGTCCAGATGGGGGCCTTCTATGCGCCACTTGCTCTAAAAAGCAGATTGATGGGGACAAAAAAGCCCCAGTTAAAAAGCGAATTGCGGGAATCGGTCGTCGTAAGAACCAAAGCAAGCTCCTGGATGGGTTTGCTACCCCCGGCTCTCGAAGCTTGCTAGAGACGTGTATCAAAGTAGGTTTCTAGAAATTCTTCATGATACAAAAAGTTTCGGATCACTAACTTGCTTTCTTTTCCAGAAAGTTGCTGATAATATCGATGATGTGGAAGAATTTGGAGACCTTCCTCCGCTCGTGATGCATCGACTTAGCCAAATTTTGTCGCGGAATCGTGCCGTGACGCAGAGGACTCTGGATCTTTTCTTGCGGCCCGAGCACAAAGAGCTGAATATCTATGACTGCGCTAGTAAGTGTTGTTCCCTAACTGCATTGACTTCAACAGTCTACATTTGCATTACATGATCAGCGATCTAATCTCCAAGCAGAACTACAAACCGACGATTTCCATAAAATCCTGGCTACCATGCCGGCTTTGACTCGACTAAATCTTAGATTTGTCACTGCCATGAAAGATCCAGTTTTTGAATACTTGATGGACCGTGACACGAAGATCCAGGATCTGCATTTGAATTCGCCAAATCTCGTCACTGATACTTGCTGGCGCCAATTATTCACCAAAATTGGCCCGCAGCTACAAAGCCTGAAGCTGTGGAACCTCGATTCTGCCTTTGATGACGAAACCGCCGAGGTTATGAGCAAGAACTGCATTAATCTTCGGCGTTTGAAGTTAAAATATCTTGACAAACTTGGAGACAAGACGATTGAGGCAATTTCGACCATGAAGACTTTGCAGCATTTGTCGCTACATCTCACTCGGGAAACGAAACCTGAGCCTCTACTGCAGGCGATTGCTCACCTCGGGCCTAATTTGTACTCTCTTTCTCTGGAAAGTTTTCAGCTTGCAGATGACAGGCTAGTCCAACACATCCACGAGCACTGCCGAGAACTTTCCAAGCTCCGGATCGCTGACAATGCAATTATCACCGACAAGGCCATGGCTGACCTTTTTCGTGGCTGGTCCAATCCGGGCTTGAGATTTGTAGACTTTAGTGGTCTCCGGGACGTGGATATGGCTAACCCTCATGGCCCTTCTGAGGCCGTAGGTCTTGCCTCTGGTGGATTCATTGCCCTAATGGAGCACTCGGGCTTAAAACTCCAAAATTTGAAAGTCACCTCATGCCGTCATATATCACACGCCGCATATGAGGAAGTCTTCGCCGAAAACAAGCGATACCCTGAACTCAAGTCCCTTGACCTCGCTTTCAATGCCCCTGTTGATGACTACATCATACAGTGTATTTTCAGATGTTGCCCCGCTCTCAAGAAAATTGTCGTCTTTGGTTGTCTCAAAATTCGAGATCTACGGGTGCCTAAAGGCGTGGCAGTTATTGGCACGCTAGGTGCCAAGTTAACAGTCGATGGGGTTGCTCAGAAAGAGATCGTCTAATCGCCCGAGCCTTTAATTCATCCCAGGTAGGATATTATTATATGGGACAGCCTGGGATGTGAATCGCTTTATCATGATCCCGAGTTAGTGGCAAGTTAAGACAAGATGGACCGCCCAGTATGTGAGAGAAGGGAAGGAAACATCGGACCAAGAGATTATGACTTGCGACTATATTTTTATAGTATCTAGCATTAAAGTAATAAGATCGTTATTCATTGTTATTCATCGAAACTTATCCACATAAACACACCCTATATATCTAAAACGCCAAAATATCACCCATGATATACACATTCTATAACTATGTATCAACAAGCTATTAGTAGGCACCCATGCGCTTGCCAATCTCACTCTCCCAGCCACGCGATTTTTCAAATCCATTTGAAGCAGTTTGATAATCAATCATGGCCTGGCGAACCTCTTCTTGGCTGTTGAGCACAAAGGGACCATACTGAACCACCTTCTGATCCAGCGGTTGACCAGAGACGATCAGGAAGCGGGCCTCCTGGTCAGCATTATCAGGGACAGAGGCCTCAATAAAGTCACCAGCCTGCTCGAACTCCACATTGTGGAACTCCTTCACCTTCTTGGTGGAATCATTAGATCCAAAAATGGTAGTACCAGACAAAGTGTAAACAAAAGTGTTCCAACCCTGAGGCAGCGTTTGAGAGATACGACCACCAGGGCGGACCGTAACATCCAAGATCCAGACAGGGGTGTACGCCAGATCCCGGACGGAATCAACGCCATGAGACTGGCCCGAGATAACCTTAATGGTGACGCGGCCATCATCGGCGTTGGCGATGGGGATCTCTGTAGAGCGCAGATCGCGGTAGCGGGGCTCGCACATCTTCAGTTTCTGGGGCAAGTCAACCCACAGCTGCATGCCGACGTTGGGGCTGCCGTCGGGGTTCTCGTGGGGCATTTCGGCATGCATGATGCCACGGCCGGCAGTCATGAACTGTAGATCTCCGGGTCCGATAGTACCCTTGTTCCCATCGAAATCTTCATGATCGACACCACCAGAGAGCAGATAGGTGATTGTCTCTTGGCCGCGGTGGGGGTGGTCGGGGAAGCCGGCGCCCTTGCCAATGGTGAAGTGATCCAACATGAGGAAAGGGCTGAAGTTTCGCAACTTGGGGGTGCCAATTGAGCGGCGGACGCGCGCACCTGCACCCTCCGATTGCTCAATGGCAAGGAAAACTTGACGGATTGCACGAGGGGTAGACATGCTGGTGATTGGTAGGATGACGGGGGTGAATGATTCTATGTCGATAGGAGAAGTAGAAGGTACGACGGTATTGCTGTTGGTTTTTTCAAACAAGTGTGACAAGCTTTCTGGTGCCTTTTGGTGCAAGTATGCGACAAGGGAGTCTTGGATTGAGGGATGATAGGCAAAGATAGCTGCTGTGATGCAAATCAGAAGAGAAATAATAAACTTCATGGATATGGAGGCTTTTTAAATATGTCTGCTTGATAGAATCGAAGTTTCGAGCAGAGCGCAGATTTGTAGAACTATAAATGTCAAAAGTCAGCGTTAGTCAATGCTTCATAAATGCTGCAAAAGCAGCTTAACGGATGCTTTGCAAGACATCAGTCAGCCATTTGACATGAATCCACAAATCCCGCATTGCGCATTACCAAGAGGGCAGTCAGCATACGCTAAACTACTTTGGGTTAGACTAACAGAGCCAAATCAGGACTAGTGTCGACACCATAAACCCAAGGCGTAAAACTCCGATATCACATAACCAGATCACGTGCTTAATGGGTATTTGGTCACCTGTTCAATGTTGAGCGTAGATCAGTTTTCCAAGGAGTTCGATAGATATAGATAGACACACGATCAATAGACTGTTATGAAAAATTCAATTAGAAGAGGTTAAAGATATCTAAAGAGTACTATATAAGGATGAGATCAGTGATGTACTAGGTATCGACACAATTAAATAGAGAACTTGAGCATACTAATACAGAAAATACAATCTATGTAACTATAGTATCATCATTAGATTTAAATTCATGCCGCTGTAGACAAATTTTTTATTCAATTAGAAAACGATTCATAGCAGCTATTAGCCATCGAAAATTGTTAAGAGGTGGACCTTGATTTGATATACGAGTAAGTAAATAACTAGTACTAAGTCTACGGGCGCATTGCCATCGCTATCAGATAAGGCCACGGAGCAGCTCCCGCTCTCCGCCCGTACTCACTCTCCCAACGCGCTGGAACGCCGATTGAATGAGCTCACCATCTATTGCTTAGCGCCTTTGATCTTGGAAAATACTGTCCTCTCTGATTTTCTCATGGCATCTGATTCTTTCTTCTACTGACGCCAAATCCCGATTTATCTTGGCAGGAACAAACAGAACCAACTTGTCTTTTCCACCACCACCCCAGATTCATAGAAACATGCGACAATCAAGATTGATTCTGACCCCATGCCTTGTGCTATCATGTGCTGTATCTGGGGCATGGGCGCGCAAGCGATCATTCAATATATACGATGATATTCTGGCATATCCGCAGGTACACTGAGCTTCAAATCACACAATCTAGTATTCTTTTGAAGCTAACCTTGATGTTTCCTTATAGTTCCAAGTGCAATATCCAGATGAATACATTCTCCATTCCCAAGCTGAAGACCTACTTCGTATACAACTCGAATCGGAGGTGGATGGATCACAGCATGCCCAGAATGACCCTCAAATCTACACAGGCAAGGACCACGCTGATGATGCCACTCGAGAAGGCGAAAAGCCACAAACGCCAATATTCACCTACGAAGAAATGATCTTGGATGACCGAAGGCTTCTTTGCCAAATACCGCAAGTGGAGCAAGATCAGGCCAACTCAACAGCCGGCCAAAAGCCAAGCGAAGCAGACGAGCAAAAGGAACTTGCACGCGCAACAGATCGGGGACTTGAGCTTCTACGGGAGATGGAAGGCAAATGCATGTACTATGTCTCTGGTTGGTGGTCATACTCTTTTTGCTACCAGCAGAAGATCAAGCAGTTTCATGCATTGCCAGCCGGCCGTGGAGCGCCCTCCTACCCACCCGTGGAGGACCCTCATACGCATTCCTTTATTTTGGGGCAATTCCCCGCTGACAAGAAGAATAAAAAAGAAGAAAAGGCCGGTCAACAGGCGGCGCCTAGAACTGATATCGCAGAGCTACACGCCAAAGGTGGCTCACGGTACCTCGTGCAGCACCTACAGGGTGGCACCAAGTGCGACCTGACAGGCCGCGAGCGCCAGGTGGAGGTACAATTCCACTGTCACCCACAGTCAACGGACCAAATCGGCTGGATCAAAGAGCTCACTACCTGCTCTTACCTGATGGTCATCTACACCCCCCGTCTCTGCGATGATGTTGCCTTTATGTCACCCCAGCAGGACGAGGTCCACAACATTGAATGTCGTGAGATCCTCATGCCCGAGGATGTTCCTGGATGGGAGGATGCCAAACAATGGTACCTGGCCCAGCGATTAGTTGAAGAAGCAACAACTCAATCGGAGATTCAGATTGTGGGTGGAATTGTGGTTGGAGGTCGCCAGCTTGTTGGGATGGACGGCAAGGAGATTGAAAAGGGCCGCGTGGCTTCAGCTGGCGAGGAACACGTCGAGGTGGTTGCAAAGAGAGAGAATGGCAAGGTAAAGCAACTGTCTAAGCAGGCATTAAAGAAATACGACCTTGACTTGGAAAAACTTGAGGAGCTAAAACAAAAGCTTGAGGAGATCTCTCATGGCAGTGACTGGATACTTGAGGCCGTGGAGGTTAACGGTGCTATCACATTCAAAGGCCATCTGGATGGAATTGACGAGGAAACCGACTCAGACGCAACAGCTGAGAAGCATCAGAGCAAAAAGGGAAAAGAACAAACAGCCCCGGCCCAAGATGCATCATCCCATGAGCCGAAGAAGCCTAAGATGAAAGAACCCACATCTGGAGATGAAGTGGAAAGCGCTGATTCAGAGCCTGAGGATTCAGAAGGTAGCCAGGAAACCTTCAAAGACGAGCTATGAGAAGGATCTGAAGTTCATGTATAGTCAAAGGGATTTATTATGAATGGGGTTTCCGCTCTCGGTCTCTCTCTCTCTCTCTCTCTCTCTCTCTTTTTTTGTCTCTCTTGTTTAGCATTTGCGAGAATACACAGTCAATACCCGATGCATACTACTACAAACAAAATTTACCCATTCCATTTTGAAATTGTCAACCAATCAAGCAAAGATTCATTAAGTGAAGAAGAAAAACATAACGTCAGGAACAGCCGGTTAGTTTCATGCCCAAAGACGTCAGATGCCCCATAATGCCGGGCCCCGAGTGGGGGTCGTACTAAAGGAGGCCTCGGGCTAGACGGCCCAAGTAAGGGGTATCAACGTTAAGTCATAAGAGTAGGAGATATAAAAAAGGATGACTCGTGACTTCGAATGACTTTGACTGAACGAGATCATATAATATTTATTCAACAGTGGAAAATGAAATCAGTCATGAATAGATGGAGAGGGGCAGCGGTTCTAAATTAGAAAGGTGGACATTGACCTACGTAAGGAACGTGACTGTGAACTCCTAGGGATCGTCTAGGCCCACCTTTCCCTCCCTCCCTGATCCAACCCTCCCAACCCTCCTCACACTTCCCTGTGGCTCGGTCCATTATTTTGCCGCGTGACCCTGTCTAATATCTATTTCTGGCCGAATTGACTTCCTCGCCCACGGGCTTCATTACTCTTGCCAGGGCTGACCCAGAAACGGCCAGCGTCATCGCCCGACCTCGCCGAACCCCCCGACAACACCACCCCCGAAGCCACAATTCGAGCCGGCACTATTTCTTACATACTGCCTCTCGTGGCACCTAGTCGCTTCGTCGTTATCAGATCCTGCTGAGCCGACTTGTAAACGTCTTGCCAGCATGGGTTTCCTCGGCGTCTACTCAGCTGTGTATGATTACGAGCCTCAGGGAGAGGGTGAACTCCAGATACGAGAGGGCGACCTGCTTTACATCTTGGAAAAGGGTGCAGACGACGACTGGTGGAAGGCAAAGAAGAAAGCCGAGGAAGAAGATGAGGATGAGCCAGAGGGTCTAGTCCCATACAACTACGTGGAAGAGGTAAGTACCCGTGTCAATCGCAAGTTACAGCGAGCCTTTCATGGAACGTTGGGTAGCGCGATTACACGCGCTCAACCTCTACATAATCAATGGATTAGTTCATTATACTTACACTGATTTGACGAATAGGCGCAACCGGTACACCATGCCAAGGGTCTCTTTGACTACACCCGGCAGACGGACGAAGAGGTCTCTTTCTCGGAAGATGCAGAACTATCGGTGTATGACATTTCAGATCCCGATTGGACTTTAGTCGGCATCAACGGGGATTATGGGTTTGCGCCGGCAAACTACATTGAAATTCTTGAAGATATCGCTCCCACCACTGCAGCTATTCCACCGCCGCCTCCGCCCCAAGCCGAACCCGAAGCACCATCCCTTCCCCGACGGCCGACACAGCCTGCGCAAGAAGAGTATGAAGCTGAATCACCTTCTCCTTCTCCCATCAATACAGTACACAATCCGGCTGCTGCGGCGATCGCGGACATTATACATAAACAACATGCCCCTGTCAGCGCACACCCGGAGCCTTCTCGAGAAGTGTCGCCCCCTCCCCCTCATCTCCCAACTCGGCCTTCGTACGATCAGGAAGTAGGTGAAGATGAATCGCCTCCGCCTATCTTGCCTAGGAGACCCCCATCGGAACAGATTACTCCACAAATGAACTCATATTCACCTGAACCTTCCCCAGCTCCCCCACGCCCCAAGGCTGCAGCTCCCCCAATGGGTCGTGAAAAATCTCATGTCAAAGAATCGCCTCCCTATAACCGGGCTGGTGAGCTGACGCCGAGATCACCCTCCGGCTATCACATCTACAACATTAATGAGATGGTGGAGGTCATGGGCAAGCGGAAGAAGATGCCAACAACATTAGGTATCAACATGGTCACAGGCATTATCTTCATTTCTCCGGAAGGTGATGACCGCCAGCAGGATTGGACCGCTGAAAAACTCACACACTATTCAATTGAAGGCAAGCACGTATTCGTTGATCTTGTTCGGCCTAGCAAGAGCGTTGATTTCCACGCTGGAGCCAAAGATACTGCCCAAGAAATCGTTGCAGCACTTGGCGAGATTGCCGGTGCTTATCGTGCTGAGGGCCTACGAGAGGTTCTCGCTGCTGGAGAGGGTGGTGGTGGTCAGAAGACCGGTCAAATTTTGTATGACTTCAAGGCCCAAGGCTCCGACGAAGTGACGGTCAAGGTGGATGATGAAGTTATTGTCCTCGATGACACCAAGTCGGAAGAGTGGTGGATGGTAAGGCGATTGAAGAATGGCAAGGAGGGAGTGGTTCCCAGCAGCTATGTTGAAATCACCGGCTTTGTGCCCCTCCTCCCACCCGGACCTGACTTGGGTATGTCAAACGTGGAAAAGAACCGATTGGAAGAGGCTAGGTTAGCCAAAGCTTCAGCCGGAAAGTCGAGGAAGGATTCAATGGATTCGGCCGATCGCTCCAAGCGTGACAGCAAATCCAAGTCCAAACCCGATCCCAGCAAGGTGAGAAGGTGGACGGATCGCTCAAAGGCATTCACAGTCGATGCGCAGTTTATCGGGCTACAAGATGGCAAGATTCATCTTCACAAGATCAACGGCATCAAGATTGCGGTTCCCGTTGCGAAAATGTCTGTTGAGGATCTAGAGTACGTGGAAGCCGCAGCCAATGTGTCTCTGGATGAGGATAAGCCACTATCGAGTATCCGAAACCGTGCTTCTTCCGACGCTAAGAAAACCGGTAACGCGGGTGCATCTGTTCAACGCCCCGAGTATGATTGGTTTGACTTTTTCTTGAAGGCTGGCGTTGGTCATCACCAATGTGAACGGTATGCGCAGAACTTCCTCAAAGACTCAATGGATGAGTCTGTTCTCTCTGACATTTCACCCGAGACTCTTCGCTCTCTTGGACTGAAAGAAGGCGATATCCTACGAGTCATGCGTCACCTTGACACCACGCTGGGTCGTACCGGTAGCAAATCCAAGTCCCGCAATGTCAGTTTCGGTGGCGAGGAAGTTATTGGTAATGGCGAAGATGGCCAGGGCGGACTTTTCGCTGGGCCAGGTGGTACTTTGCGAAACAATACTCGCAAGGGAAGGCCGACACCGGCTGTTCAGGCTGGTGACGTTGTAGATCCGAAAGCATTCGAGCAAGCTGATGCTTCAAAACCGAATGAAGAGCGAGCTGCAACTCCCCCGACACCCGAGGAAGAGAAGCCTGCTGCGCGTGGCTTCGATGATGATGCTTGGGAAGTCAAGCACCCCAAACAGCGTAGTGGCTCTGCTGCTACTTCAAGCCCACCCCCGAGCACCCCGGCTGCAGTTCCTCAGCCTCCCGTTCAGAAACAGGTCACGGGAGCCATGGCCGACTTGACCTTGCTTCAGACTCCTCTCCAGCCCACACCGGCACAGCCCGCATCCGCGCCGGTATCAAGCATTCCTGCTTTGCAACCACAACAAACTGCTGTACAGTCACCTCCTGTGCAGCAACCCCAGAACACGGGTGCTACGCCTGGATTTTTCAACCAAATAGCGCAGATGGGCCAGCAGGCCAGACAGCGCCCCCAGCCTCCACAGAACTTGAACCAAAATTCACTTCTACCCCCTCCTCCGCAGCGTCCACTCTCTGCCCCTCAGAACTTCTCGCAGCAACAGGGTTCTTTTGGGCCTCCTCCATTGCAACCTCAATTGACCGGCGTTCCCCTAGCAGGCCCTCCAGTTGCACCTCCCGGTCAAAGCCTAGCGGAGTTGAATCAGCAACGCTTCCAGCCCCAGATGCATCCACAAGCTACAGGATTTATGGGAGAAAATCAGTACCAGAATGGTGTTATGATCCCCCAACCTACTGGCTTCACCCCCCAATCGCAATTTGGTATCCAGCAGCAGCAGCAATTTAATGGCCAGTCAGTGCCAATGCAGTCAGGATTTCAGGGAATGGCCCCCCAGCCTACCGGCTATGGTGGATATGCGCAGCCCCAGCAGCCAATGCAGACCGGCATCAACTCCATGCTCCCCCCGGCACTACAGCCTCAACAAACCGGAATGAACGGCTACGGCAACACATCTTACAACCAGCAGCCTCCTCCTCCTGTGCCACCAATTCCTCAGCAACCAACAGCCACCCCTCTGTCACCTCAAAAGACTGGACCTCCACCTTCTGTCAGGTTCGGTGTGAAACCGGATGCCGCCAAGAAACTTGCTCCCCAGCCAACTGGACTCAGGGCGAACCTTTCCCAAGCTAGTAAGTGCATAAAAAAAAAATTTTCCCTCTTCAAGTCAAAAAGTCCCAATAGCTAACTTCAATCAGCGCCCCACAATCCCTTCGGCTTCTAGTTTCGCCCACGTAACTTAGGCACCCTTGGTTAGCATATATAACCACCGTCTTCTGTGGAAACTTGGCATCCCTTCCTGTGTCTGTTGCAGAAAGCCCTCAGATCTGCTGGATCAGCTGGAGCCGGGGCTTTACATACATCAGCTTGTCAATTTCGAAACTTGTATTTTTGACATTGACATGGCGTACATATCATGACTTTCCCGCCAGTCCGGTCCAGTACTGCAGGACTTATCGAAAATGCCATGAAGCTTGGTTCCATTGCAAACTCATCCACTTTAGCGAGCTATTGTTGATTCCTATATGTCTCCTTTTCTCAAGCACCTTGGCATCGTCATATCTCATGCTTCCCTCTTCCCCCCTCGTCACATAATTTCGCCGATTGATGGTAATGCTTATTGTCTTTGAACGTCTCCATTCACTTTCCATTTCCTTTTGTTACTCGAACGGCCTTTGCGGTTTTCTTTACTTGCTTTACGACTTGCTGTCTCATGCAAATAATCATGTTGAGCGGCATCTCTGATGGCTTCTTTTCTTAAATTCAGTTGCCCCTGGACGATGTATGGTACATAGAAGATAATGTGCCTTTGAACCTTGGAAATCAAACATTAGTACGCATATAAACAGGAAGATGGGAAGAATCGTTCATATTTGAGAGTAGTATGGATTAGAAGATGCACAATGATACAGGGGTAACATAGAGGACCTTGAAATGGAATCGAGTTTGGGTATATAATACTAGACAGATTAACACGAGTCTGATATACACAGCTTGATAGAGATGTTTGTCCAGGTGTCCAGAAAAAAAAAGGGTTATAAAAAAAAAGTCATGGCATCATATGTCATCGCTCCAAAGGACAGCCCAGGCGTCAATAAATAACCCTTATTTGCAACTGCAGAGTGGATGGACGAAAGTAGAAAAGAAAAATGAGAAGACAACAGAAAACCAAGAGAATCAAGGCTCTTCCCAGAGACCAAAAACTGGGAGGTCTTCGGCCATGTATAACAAACCATTCTCAGGAAACATCACGTCAGATAATGGGGAAGGGCCACCAGAGGCCGGGGGTTGTCCAGTTGGAATGGTACCACCCGGAGAGCAACCGACCGGAATACCCGAGGTGGTTAGAGCAGATATAGCGGCATCATAGGATAGCGCAGTTGCTCCATCTGCTCCGTTATAAAGAGAATCCCAAACATCGCCTCCGAGCTGGGGAGTGGTCCCGGATGGTGGTTGTGGGTTGATAAAAGACGAGGGTGTTCTACCAGCAAGTTTGCCAGGTGAAATTGGAGAAGGTACAGCAGGAGACTGCTGATTCTCGGGGTGATTCAGGGGAACATCATGGGCCGAGCCCGATGTGAGAGATGGAGAATTGTTGGCACCGCCGACCTGACCAAATAGCTGGTCAACTTGCCTGCTTCGATGGTCCATCCATTGACGGTTGCGTCGCTGGATGTACTCGCCCACGGCACCGCGAAGGTACTTTATAATATGGCTGAAACGACATGCATGTGGATCATGAGGAACAAATAGGCCAAGAAAGCGCTCGGCTTTGATCATGCCCTCTTCAAGGGGCAGGAGATTATCATAGTCCGCAAAGAATGCTGCACCAAGAACAACGGCCGAATTGAAGACGGAGTTTATTAAAAATGGCAGACGGCGTGGTAGCGATACCGATGCGAACCGGCCCAAGTCATCCACCACATCCAAGCCTCGAAGTGCAGAATAAACGCATGCATCTGCAAACAGAGCAATGCGAGAACTGCCGGTCCTTCCATCCGATGCAGATGGATCGGCTTTGTTTTTCACATACTGAGCCACGCGATAAACGAGAAATGGTCGTGTGAGGAGGATGATCGACCAATAATATGAACCAAATACGTGAGCTGCTGCTAAACTGTCCTGCATCGTTTTATTATCAAGACGTTCTGTTTGATCCTTCAGAAACGCTGGCAGCGTTCGGACCCAAGCACGGTGCTGGTTCGAGATGGATTCCGCAACATTGATCGAGATAACTTGTTTCATGTAAACATCCGTAAGGATTCGTTCGAAAATTCGACATAAGGAGGTAACCGCTAATGAAAGTTGCTTATCTGGAGTCAGATTTCCTTGTGGCTCTCCGGAAGCAAGAGCATCTTCGCGTATATCGTAATCATAATCCGATGTTGCAGGAGGGCGGCCCAACGAAGCGCTGAGGAACAAATCCATCATACGGAGGCTCTTCCAGACTCGTTCTCTGGCTCGTCGCTCGCGGCCACAAAAGAGCGCATTTGCATCTTTTCGGTGAATTCCAACCGCATAAGCGGCCCGTAAGGCGATTCCCAGGTTCATAAATGCGCCATTGCGTCTGCATGCACCTAGCATGTACATCGAAACCAGGATATAGGACTGAATAGTATGGATGCTGGGCGTCTCTTGGAATGCGGAAAAGGCTAGTTGGCGGCCACTGCTAAAGTAACGCTCCGCCTCGGTTTGGTTGGTGTCGGAAACCTGGGCCCCAATAGCGAGCACAAGGTAGAAAATGGAGCTGACGGTGTCTTCGTCTCCTGATGGATTTTCTACCCAACTGGCTAACCGGGGATGAAACTCTTCAAGATCGACCAAATCTAGTAACGGACTTGTCGCAAGAACATATTGCCGAGCAAGTCTGTGCGCTTCTTCGTTGCTAGGCGGATCGGTGAGAGGGCCCGGCTGAGTGGTTGGGTTATTCTGAAAGGCTTCCAGCATCGAGTGTCGCGAATTATCCTCGGTGAATTCGCAGCGACCGATAGATGACGATACCACTCGGCGAACACTTTGTAAAAAGGACAGACTTGCGGAGTCTCCAATGTACATGAACTTGCCCTGGCCGTCACGAAGAAGACGCGCTACCTTGGGAACGGGAGCCGTCCCATCTTTTTCGTCTCGGACTTGTTGCTCCAAATTCATGCCCTTATCTTCCAAGGAGTTCAAAAGGCGATCCATAGCCGTTTCTCGCTGTGGGGAGGGGATTATCCGTTCACTGAGTAACATGGTCGAATCTTTGGGGTCGGGCTTGAGGAGGCGCGCGGGGCGATCTGAAAAGTGGCATTCTGATTGCTTGTGCCGTTGCACACAGATTGTGCAGGGTTGCTCGCCGTTGCATTTCTGCTTTCGTCGCTTACAGCTGTCGCATGCTCGGCGACACCGTAGCCGGGCACCTGGTGTTGTGCTTGCGCGAGGCATTCTGGTCACACCGTCGCGGCTTGTCCGGCTTTAGAGGTTCAATAGTGGCGGGTTGATCGTGGTCATCGAAGCGCAAGTATTATTTTTTGAAATTTAGGATGCAGTTGCGTTAGAGATGAAGAAAATTCTTTGCTCACGACATGGTGATAGATCTTATTGAGGCATAGATCCGTGTCAAGGTTGCGGGTTTTTGGAATCACTTTCCCCGGACTTCGTGATTATCATTATCCTTACTAAGCCGCATCATTTGCTTGCAAGCTTGAAAAGCTTGGCATTGATAGAACGAACCCGCACCTTTTGACGAGATGTACTAGATCACAATTGGATTATGTGGCTAGATGAGACGGTATTGCTGGGGAAGAAGAATATAAATTTGAAAAGATATACACATTTCCCAATATAGAAATGCGGGTTCCTTTATTTTTCACTCTTTTTTTTCAGTACCCTGGACCATGAAGCCTACAACACATATCAATTGATCCTTTTTCTTGGAGATCTTTTCACATGTCCTTCATGAGCGCATGCTGATACTCGAACAGAATATCCAAGCACCACATAAACCTATGTTGAATTACTCCGGGCGAAAGGAAACCACTTTGCCCCAAGTGTCTGCAGTTCCCCAAATTCCTGCCCGTAGACATTCCAGCTGCACAATCTGGCTGTGATCCACAAAAAGATTGACATCAATTCCAAACTCTCGAATATACCAATTGAAGACTTGAGGATCAGCAGCTTCAAACATGACTCTCTCGGATGGCAAAGACTTGATAATCTGGGAGACCACATCCGTCCTCCACGTCTCCACATTCTCAGTGATGCCCTCCGACTCAATCATCAGACGCTCCACTCCAACGTCAAGAAACTTGTGGCCCATATCGACAAGTTTCCCGGGATCAGAAGTTCCCACACTGAACCCCGGGGTGTCGCCTCCGGCTCCAAATTGGATTCCCAGTTCTGGCTTGGGCTTCAGCTTGTATGAATGGACTTTATCGACGAGGCGAAGCCAGTCGTCCCCAGGAATAGATAGGAAACCAGCAGACAACTCAAGAACATCGAATCTTAATATTCTTGTCAGTTCTTTCTTGGTATTTGACTATTTGATTTGCGTCTTAGCTTTTTCTTCTTCTTTGCTTTTCTTAACGTACCCGAGGTCCTTGCATTTCTTGAGGTATCGATCGAATACCGTGTTCACATCGGGGTGTGTGAGGAGGTGTTCCGCCCAGCCGCCCTGTTTTGATAGCAATCTAGATTGGATCTGACGAACAAGGCTATATCAGATGTTCGGGTAACATACCGTTGAAACATAGACGCCGTTATCATGGGCCATGTCAATCAGTTCTCGCAGGGGCTTCTCCTCGTGCAGTGAGAAAGACCCTAATACCAGCTCAGCATCCCCCTTTGCATGATATGTGCAGAGTGAAATAACTGACCTCCAGCAAACTTCAACCCATCCACATGATTACCCATACTATACATCCAAACGATTGGTTTGGTTAGCATGGGAGTGGTCGATAAGGTATCACACCACGGGAGTCGAATTTACGTTTCCAACACGTCTGCGAGGTAGCGCTTCCCCATTGCCTATATTCAGCTTTGGTCAGCACAGAAACGAAAAAGAGATCAAGTATTGAAGGAAACAAGTGGGCGATAGATAGCGGGTTCATCGTACTGAGTAGTAAGGACCCCGGATCTCTGTCACGCCTTTTGATCTGGGCTTAGAAGGCCTGGGGTTTGATCTGGCGAAGCCAAAGCCATTCTGCTTATCCTGCAGAAGAGTCACCCCTTGTGCCGTTTGCTTTGTCGACACGCATTTGGGCTGGGCATTGGCCACTTTCATGAATCGAGATGTACATGTATTATTCAGCAGCTTCTTGGAGCCAGTAGCTATGGGCGTTTTTCGTAGCATTATTATTTTATTGATTGCGGAGGTAGTGGTTCAGAGGTCAGAATTAGAATATGGTTACTATGGATTTCAATACTGATATGAGGGTTGACGTCAAGTATACTTCACATTGTGCACATGTGCCTCAGAATGACATCAAATTCACATCTTACCATCAATTGATAAAATATCGAATGCTTAGTTCTGTATATAACACTTTCTTGCTGGGTAAACATATTTATTCAATAATTTACATGGTAAGATCCGCTGTACCAGTGCAATATAAGAATTCCAGATGTCCCTGGACCGTCGGCTTTTGGCATTCAAGTCGGATGATTCTTACCGGATCCACTTCACATTTATGTATTATGAACGCCGGATCGGCTTTGAACGATTTCCGGTTCCGCAGAGTCAAGATCGAGAGAAAAGCCAGATCTTTGTTAAAGAACAAATTAAAAAAAAGCCCGAAATTTACGAGCGGATTTCGGATGCACCGGGAAAGATCTTGGCATCTTGGCCAATTTTCAAGGCAATTCACCGCTGAATCCCCACTCCAGACTGGATCGACGGGCCACAGGGCTGATCTCTGAAGGATATGCCAGTATCGGATTGGATATTTTGACTGGCAAAGAGAGACATGTATACATGACAAGGGATCAGTGCTATATGCAAGTTTCAATGTTTCCTCCTCGCTCTATACGCATACGACGCAGACGACCAAAAGATGGAATCCACGCGCGACACAAGGACAAAAATGGATCAGGAACCCTACTTTTCAAAAACCCATACTAACTGTATTAGGAACTATAGGGAGCCAACTTCGGTTGGTTCGCCTTCCGTCAAATCCGAGACCGAGAGTCTCCATCCGTGCCTGCTTTTTATACGGATTTTGGGGTTTTTATTATGCAAAGAAAACACAAAATGGATTGGCAAGGTAAACATTGGCCGCCAAAGACAAAAGACAACATGCCTAATGTATCTTTCTTGGTCTTTATACCATTATTCTCTCCCTCTTCTCTCTATCCCTAAGTCTCATCTTTAGGGTCTTTTTCTTGTATCTTATCTTCTTTTCTTTCCCCAAGAATTGTATATTGATTCTCTTGCTCTCTCTGTGGCCCGGTTCTTTCTTATATACTTTATTTCCCCCGGAAACTCTCCGGGGTGGTTTCCCAATCGGAGATTCACTATGGGCGTTGGCGCGGTCTTAGAACCGCTCGTGGTCATCGTCCTACTATTTGGTGGCACCTGGATCAATCGACGGAGAAGTCCTTCTGTCTCTCCAAGTCACACCCGTCGCAAGTCATCCGGTCTTGTACGATCTGACTCCCCTGATTCTCTCGAGTCCGGATACGCCAGCGCAACTCCCAAGGATGGACTCTTAAGCCCGCGTTCTGATTCCCCGTCCCTGCAGCTATCCGACGAGCGATGGCGGACACGACAGATCGGTATACTACGTTTATCCTTTTGTGTGACATCTCCGAATACGACTATCTTTCATGATCGACTATTGAGTCGACTGCTGAGAAAGCTACCATTTTTGGCAGAGTGCTGGTATTGGGCATTGGTATATTGGGTAGGTCACCAGATGGAGAAGGACACAAACACAAACAAGAAGAGAAAAACAGACAACAACAAAATAACTTCAACTGACATTAAGATGATAATAGACATATCAGCTTGGTCGAGCTTTTACCGCCGTGACTCTCCAGGAAGGCACTGTCGATGTTGCCCGTCATCATGCCTTGCAGCTGGTTCGATTGGAGAAAAAGCTAGGCATATTCTGGGAACTTGAGGTTCAGAAATATTTCCTTCGTCACCCCTTGGCCATGGCTTGGATCAACTGGATATACTCCTTTATTCATATCCCCGGCACCATCGCCTTCCTGGTATGGCTATATTACTACACCATCACACGAAACCGCGTCGATGAGCCCCAGCCAGGCAAACCTCGAGGCATGGCGAGCGGATCACCAGCCGGCCCTCTTCTCTACCAGGCTCGACGACGGACACTAGCAGTGTGCAATTTATTAGCGTTTGTCATTTTTACCTTGTGGCCATGCATGCCACCGCGATTGCTCAGTGACCCGACTGTCGAGGGCACCGATGCAGAGCTGGGCCGCATCTATGGCTTCGTCGATACCGTTCACGGTGCTGACGGAGTGGGAAGTGTATGGACCGAGAACCGCTTCTGTAACCAATATGGTGAGTTGACTTTTGGAAACTCTTTGAAAGTTTGTGGAGAAAGCTCCCGTTTTCTAACTTTCTGAAACAGCGGCCATGCCATCCTTGCATTTTGGATATTCTCTCATGATTGGGCTCACGATAATGACCATCCCCCTTCCCTCACATCATCGACGGACCCTTCCACTCCGGTTTGCACGCGGCATCGGCTTTCAGCTACCCTCCTACCAACGGCTTGCCTGTCTGGTGCTTGGATTCCTGTACCCCTTCATCATTCTGGTTGCCATTGTGGCCACTGCCAATCATTTTATCCTAGATGCGATCGCAGGAGCGTTGGTCTGCGCTTTAGGGTGGCGGTTCAACGGAGGGTTGTTGAACCTGTTGCCTGTGGAGGACTACTTCCTCTGGGTTGTACGAATTCACAAGCCCGAGCCCTCCGAGATGAGGATCATCGATAACTGGAATGATTGGTCCGGCGATGAGGGTGATTCAAGACATGCCATATATTCTTCGTGAGAACATACCGGCGCCGTCATAGCTTTTTTTTTTTTTTTGGTTCCGTTAGATTGAACAATGATACCCCTTTCCCTAATGTCCCTGGCAGACCCTCCAGGATCTCCTTACTTGTGATAATGTATATAGTATAGAACTTATTCTTATTATATTGTTAATTCTCAAGAAACAACAGACCTATTAGTTGTATCTAAAAATGCCAGGCAGGTACACCCCGATGTCGCCAAGCGAATGTAATAAATGGAGTGATGTAGACAGGAAGCACTTGGATTGGAACCTTAGTAAGAAAGGACAGGAGTCAAGTATATGCAGTCTTATTCTTTTGTATGTTCCTATTCAAATGTTTAACATTTTTGATTGATTTACGGTTCTTTCATCAACATCCATGGGTTAGCGGAATGAGCCTTCAATGGGCATATAGATAAAAAACATGGAGGTTTGATGATGGCTGTTTAGCTCTACTATTCGATTACAACCTGGTAGAAATAGATCGGTTCGAATTCTCAGATGCAGTTTTGAGAACTTTGCTTTTGGGTTATTCTGGTCAGGCTGACTTATGGAGTATGGATAGTATCGATATCTCGGAGTAACCGTATCGGAACTTCTCTCTAACAAGAATACGATATACGATCTCCAAGACTGCCAACCTTGGAATTGTTGTAGCTTCCAGCTTTCAACTTTGAACTCTCTGGGCTTGACAATATGTTGACCTCTTTCAAGGTTATCTGAGTGAAGAAAGACAGTAGGTGTTGATTACCGCATGAGCTCTAGATATCTAACAGCCGATATAGGCAAGAATTCAAGATTGCATCTACACAGGTCGAGACAAGAGAGATCAGATACAATACTTAAGAGCTCCCACTTGGACCGCCTTGCAGCTCCAGGTATGGTGTTGGCAGTCTCTTGGTGAATGAGATGCAAAAAGCATTGAAACAACGCTGTGCTATTTGTGTATGAGTGCAACCGCCACAACCAACACCGCCTATTTTCTCTGTCTTCAAAAGTCAATCGCAGTTTCCATTCCATACTAAATCTTTCCACTCCGAGCACCATTGCAAAAGTAAATTCGAGTTGAGTTGGGTAAGAATTGTGGTTGACGAGAGCTAGGAGCTTCATCAAGAAAAGTTGTGGCGTCATTGGTGGTTTTCTCCGTTTCGACCCCAACGCGTCTCTTCCCGCGCTCCCCTGCGCGACGGTTCCTTCTCCACATCTCCCACCTCCTCTCCTCAGCCATTCCCCTCTCCCACCATCGCCTCTTTTATTTGGATTCATAAACAGCCACTTTGCTTCTTGCGATCATGGCCGAAGAGAATCCCGTTACCTCGCCTGGGGTTGCTGAGCAGCCCGAGCACGCTCCTACTGCCGACAAGCCCACTGACAAGGAGTTGGACGCTGCTACTACCTCGGACACCAAGCCTTCCGGTAAGTCTGAATCGCGTGCTTTTCTACCAATTATCACCCAAGCTTCTCCCACAGGCCGTTGACGGTCGGGGGGATTTGGTGAGTTCTATGTTTGTGCGACCAAGATCCGCTGATCCGTTCTTCCTCCCTCCAGAGAATGCGAACAACACCGATGAAAAGGAGACCGAAGGCCAGACAGACAAGTCCGATGCCGTCGATGATGCGACCAAGGCCCAGGAGGAGGCCGAGTCTGCATCGGCCGATGCTGAGGCTGAGGCCCAGCCCAACGGAACTCCTGCATCAGTGAAGAAGTCTGCCAAGGACCGGCGCCGCTCTAGCGGTGTTGGTGAGAAGAAGCTTAACCGCAAGAAGTCCCAGACCCGTATCACTCACCTCGACGCGAAGCCTGGCCAATACTACCTGGCGCGCCTCCGCAGCTATGCGCCATGGCCGGCCGTCATCTGTGACGAAGAAATGCTTCCCCAGTCACTTTTGGACACTCGCCCCGTCACTGCCATGCAAGCTGATGGCACTTACCGCGCTGATTACGCTGAAGAGGGCCGACGCGCTCATGAGCGCACTTTCCCCGTCATGTTCTTCGAGACCAACGAATTGTAAGCTAATCGCATTGAGAGCTCCTCCCTCAGTTGACGCATTTTCATTTCCTGCGTTACGTGGATGACTGCTGACTACGATTGATAGTGCCTGGATTACAAACACCAACTTGACTCCCCTCGACCCAGCAGAATGCAAAGATATCTCCGAAAAGAACAAGACGAAGCAGCTGATTGGCGCTTTCAAGGTCGCCTCAGAGGGCCATGACCTTGAGCACTTCAAGAGCCTCCTGAACGATCATCAGGCTGCCTTGCAGCAAGAAATTGAGGATGAAGAGCGTGAGGAGGAAGAGAAGGCTAAGGCCAAGGCTGACAAGGAGGCCGAGAAAGCCAACAAGAAGAACAAGCGCAAGAGTAAGGGTGCTGAGACTGATGTAGAGATGGAGGATGTGGAGGCTGCCAAGCCATCGAAGGCCACTAAGAAGCGCAAGAAGGATGAGACCGACGTCGAAGAAGACAAGGTGAGTTCCCCCCCCAGGATGCGCCTGCGATGCGCCTATCTGCAGTTGGCTAATCCCACCATTCTTTTTTTTACAGCCTGCTAAGACCCCCAAGACTGCAACCAAGATCAAGCTGAGCACCCCCAAGGCTCCCAAGACTCCTGTCGAGGACAAGAAAAAGGCGCCCGCCCCTAAGACTAAGAAGGCCGCCCCAAAGAAGGGCAAGGCGGCTGCTAGCGACGAGGAGCCTGTCGAGGCTAAGGAGCCCGAGAAACAGATTGACCCCGAGGAGTTAAAAAAGAAGAAGGAGAAGGAGGGTATGTCGAGGTCCCCTTTCATGGCTTGAGATGTTTGTATTCGATGCTGATTTTACCTTTTTTTTCTTTTTTTAGTCCTGTTCTTACGCCACAAGCTCCAGAAAGGGTTCATCTCCCGCGATAACCCTCCTCAAGGGAACGAAATGGACGCCATGGCCACCTACTTCGATAAGCTCGAGAAACACGCCGATTTAGAGGTTGCGATTATTCGCTCGACTAAGATCAACAAGGTTCTTAAGATGATTGTCAAGCTTAATACAATCCCCCGCGATGAAGAGTTCAACTTCCGCTCACGCGCTATGAATCTTCTGTCCAGCTGGAAGACTGTGCTGGAAGGTGATCTCCCGATTTTGACCGACAAGGAGGACAAACCCGCCTCGAACGGCGCCTCCAAGGATGACGAGGCCCTGGAGACCCCAGCCGAAGATGACAAGGAAGATAGCAAGGCCGATGATACCCCCATGCCTGATGCAGAGTCCGACAAGCCGGAGCCTCAGCCAGAGGCCTCCAAGGAGGAATCCGACGAGAAGGCCGAGTAAGCGTGTTCCAGGCGACCACGTGTCTTGATTTTGTTTGTTTTATGTCATTACTCCATGAACAGGTCCAGGTGCTTCTGCTTTTCTAACGGTTTCTTTGTGCGCATTGTGTCCTTGTTCTCTCTTGATAATCCACCCATTGTTTGCCGTGTAGGATTCAGGATCAAAGGTTTAGTCTAGGAATGCGTTTCCTTCTTGTTCTTGTTCTTGTTTCTTTCTTTATTCTTTATTCTTTTTTATCTCAGTTAAGAAACCCAAAATGCGCTTTTTTCTGATTTTGTTTTATCATCTTCTCTTTATCTATCCTCTTCGTTCCTCTTCTTCTCTTCTCTGTACATGGACGCAGATTCGATCACAGGCGTCGGATTGCAACTCGTTTGCTAAAACCTTGGGTCCTTGAGTCCTTCTGTTTTGCGTCAAGGTTTCAGGCCCTGAGATATTCTAGTGCAAAATGGAAGGCGTTGTTTACTGAATCTGACATGTAGTCTTACCTAGTAGGTATATCTCTACCTGCTCCGAGATCGGCAACTTCTAGGTGTTCTTCCAGTCATATTGCATTTCCTTCAAGCGGTCTTGACGCGTCGACATAAGCACTAGCACCTTGGCTCTGCTCATTCCTAAATATAGCACACATGTGCATCATCTTGAAATGTTGATCTTGAAGACGATATTAATCAACACTATGGAGCTAATATCTAATAATCCAACCAGTGTTTCTATCATGGCACATGCATAACAACAAGCACTGAGGATTGTACTTTTCAAGAAGTAATGGATTATTGACCAATTCTGTCTATGTATGTCCGCAGTCCATTTGTTGCGGGTCCAGTCTAATAATTAAAAGTCAAGGTTATATCAGACCCAAAACCAACCTTGGAAAGAAAACAGTATGTGTAGTATGTAGTAGGCGTAGCCACCTAATGAGACCCCCAGATGCGCCCTCGAATGCACAAAGATGGAAGATATATACTTGAAGACATCTTCAGGGTGCCGATGGTACCCCAATGATTGAAGAATCTGCCGGGGGGGGGGGGGGGGGGGAAACGCCGCGGAAATATTGAATATTACTTAGAATCGTTGCCAACGATGCTCTCATCAATGGCCACAAGGACAAGGGCGCAAATATCATCGACCTTGCCGCCGCGGTAATAGTCGCCTGGGTAATAGCGTTGAGCCTCCTTGGCGAAAGGACCATCACGGCGGAAGTCAACACTGGCAACCTTGGCCTCACCAGCGATGGAAGCCGCCAGAAGTGATTGAAGGGTGAGTGGAGATTCCGGGTGAGATGACAAGTCTTTGTCTTTTCCCTTTGAGCCGTGATGGGCCTTCGATGGCCCTGACGGAGGAGGGAATGCAGAGGCAAGACCACCCGGTGTTGTAAGCTCACGAAGGTTATCTGAAACGCCAATGCCATAGTCCGCGGTAGCCGTCCAAGCTCCCGTCAACAGCATACGACTCGACACAAGTTTGAGAATATCCTGGTTGTTGAGATTATCGAAGACGCCGTCTGTAGCGAGAATAAGCACATCGCCATGCTGAACTTGGACATTGGTGACAGATGCATCACGAGGGAAATCTTCTAGGTAAGCCCCGCCAAAAGTGGAGGCTTGCGCACGCATTTTGGCCGGGATAAGGCTCAGTTGGTAGGGTGTGTTAAAGCCATGTGTTTGAGGCGTAGAGTAATGGTGCACGGCAGCAAGACGAAGCAAAACCGAGCCTGAATCACCCAGGTTCGCCAACTCAACACGTCCATCGGGCAAGGCAACACCTACTGAGGCAGTACTTCCTCCGGCTTTGATATGTGGGTCGGCGACTACTTGGTCATAGCCTGACTGCAGCAATTGCTTGGGTCGCAGTTTATCCGCAGTCTGGTCCCAAGCCAATGCTGTGTCGGCCATATAGCCACATATGCCGTGAGAAAAATCCGCCGGGTCAACGCGAGACTCAGTCCAGCCACCGACACCATCTGCGACAGCGAAAGCTACTGCCTCCGCCTCATCCGGACCTTGTTCACCTTGTCGGTGAGTGCCGATGCGGCTCACAAAGAAAGCATCCTCCCCGCTGTCCGGACGGCTTCGTCGCCGGATTGCCTGGTTTTTGTCTGTGGAGACTCCTATGGCGTCTGAAACGCTGGGGTCGAAATTATAAGCATTTTTGAGGGGGTGGAAGCGGCGTCCTTTACCGGACGACGACACGGCAACCCGATAGGAGATGCGGGAGGGGGGAGGAGCGGAGCGGCGGTTGGGGGTGGAGTGAAAGGATTTTCGGGATTCTCGGTTCAAGGCATGGTGAGGGAAAAGTGACCATGCAGGACGAGTTCGTAAAGAAGAAAAGAAGATGGATTGGGGGGCGCTGGAGTGAGCGGAGATGGAGATAAGTCCGTCACGAACAAGGGTTTGGAGGCTGCAGGTGGAACTGCAGACTCGACACGAAAGACTTGGCGAGACCATCGCGACAAGATCTCAATCCCCACAGAATCAAGAGATCACAGGAACATTCCTAGATTTAATAAGAAAGGAAGAGAAACTTGGAATTCTTAAAAATCGACGCGGATAAGACCGAACCCGCTTGATCTTATCGTGACCGCCTTAAAAGATCAGATTATCTTATACATCAGCGCTTCAGTGCTGGCATCTGGGTATGAATATTCCAGCAATATATATATACTCAATGCCCCTGATCACAGGTGAGTTTTATCAAGACATACATGGCATCAGTGGTGAAAACGGTGCTTATTCCATTCAATTCCCTTGGACACTGAATTTTATACATGCCGCTTTGCACATGTGTACGCTTCAAACATTCGGATGTATGCAAGCGTAAAAACAGCGCTCATTCATACTGTACTATGTACATACATGTCCACGATTATATACATGTGAAGGGTTTAAATTAAGGCACGACAAGAAATGGATAAATCAGAGAGACACCAATAGTCTCAATTCCTCAATATTCGAATTAATTCAAGTAATTAAGCGCGTTGAAGAAAGCTACAGTCTTTGGCGGAGACGAAAGCACGGATAAATCTCTATCGGCTTATCAGTTCTGCCACCGCAACTTCCAACACCTCTCGCTCTCTAAACTATTGGCCGTTTCCCCTCTTGAGCGCATCTCTTCTTTTCGGGTTCTCAAAGAAGCAATAAGCTTCTGTGTACTCAAAATGATACACCCGTCTCGGCAAGCATATGTCGAGGAGGCAGAGGTAAGCAAGCTTCCCCTCCTCATTAATACCCCAAAGCTATTCAAGCTCCTGGCGCAATCCACGACCTCTTGCCCAAATCCTGAGCAAGGGGAAAGTCTATACAGACGCGGGAATGTGTTTGCATCTGCTTTGCAAGTAAAGCTGACGGATAATGACACGTTTAGGACACGGATATGGGAATCGACCTCGCAAACATTCGTAAGTGTGATCTGCAATTCCTTTTCACGGTCTCCGCTAACCGCGCAAACAGCCACTGACCAAGACTATGATATTCCTGCTACTGGTGCGGGCATTCCCGCCGAGAGGGCGTCCGCCATTTATTCCCAATTCGAGCGCAAACGAAGAGCGGCCGCGATGGCTGTACCGACAGACGACACCCGGGTGCGCGCACGGTTACGAGAACTCGGGGAGCCCATTACACTGTTCGGCGAGGGACCAGCGGACCGAAGAGACAGATTACGCGAACTCTTGACCGACTTGCAAGAAAAACAAGGCGGCGAGGCCGATGTTGATATGGAAGAAGCCGAGGAGGAAGGAGAGCAACAAGAAGAATTTTATACAGAGGGTACGAATGAGTTACTGGAGGCCCGCAAAGCCATTGCCCGGTTTTCCTTACCGAAAGCAAAGGCCCGTGTTGCACGGCTCAAGGATGAATCGACCATTCCACTCCGAACCCACGTGAAGTACCGCAAAGAGGTCAAAGAACAATTAAAAGCGTTTGATCTGTATGGGTCTCAGATCGCAGGTGACCGACCTATCAGTATCTGTCGTTTTGCGCCAGATGGCCAGACCGTTGCGGCCGGAAACTGGAGCGGAGGAATCAAGCTGCTCACAGTCCCCAACCTGGAGGAGAAGGCAAATCTCAAGGGACACACAGACCGAATTGGTGGTCTTTCATGGTATCCCGGTGCTACTCTACCCGAATCCAATGTCTCACCGTCTTCAGTAAATTTGATGTCCGGAGGAGGAGAAGGTGACATTCACTTGTGGGCACTCGATCAAGAAAAACCCGTGGCAACATTGTCCGGTCATTCTGGCCGCGTTTGCCGAACAGAATTCCACCCATCAGGGCGCTATGCAGCGTCAGCCTCATTTGATACCACTTGGCGCTTATGGGATGTGGAAACAACGACCGAGCTTCTGTTGCAAGAAGGTCATTCCCGAGAGGTCTATGCTGTATCCTTTAACAGTGATGGTTCTCTCCTGGCTAGCGGTGGATTGGACAGTATTGGCCGCATTTGGGATGTCCGAGTAGGCCAGACCGTCATGATACTTGAAGGTCACATCCGTGAGATCTATGGAATGGACTGGGGTGTGGATGGTTATCGGGTACTCTCGGGATCTGCAGATGGATGGGTCAAATGCTGGGATCTGCGGCAAGTGCGCAGCACAGGCGGAATTGGTGCACACAAGAGTGTTGTATCCGATCTCCGATGGTATAAGGGAAATGAACCAACTTCTCACTTGAATGGTGACATGGAAGTCGACGGAGCTTCACCAAAAACAGGCGAGACCACTAGTACAATTGAGCCTAAAAAGGCTGGCACATTCTTTGTGTCCAGTGGATTCGACAAGAATGTGAATGTCTTCAGCGCTGATGACTGGTCACTGGTCAAGACACTGAGTGGACATGCAGGCAACGTTCTCAGCACAGATATCAGTAGCGATGCTAAATGGATTGCTAGCTGTGGTCACGACCGTACAGTGAAGCTCTGGGGTACCGAATAAGGTGCACCAGGTTCTCAAATAAGAGGTTACCTACCTTTCACTTCTGGCTGTCTACGGGGCGCCATTAGTATTTTGCTCACTGTCTGCATATGGTATATCTGCGATATCGCCATGCTATCTGTTCTCATAATTCCAAGTTTATCATGACAAAAATGTTAGGGACAAATCCAATGTATAATATCACGTGTGGAAATGAATGCGGGGGATGACGTAAGGCCTAGTTTCCCGCGCAATCTTCTCCGAAATCCGAACTTTTGACTCGCGAACCTTTTTATCTCCGACATAAAAAAAAAACAATCCCCATAATGGCGTTACGGTCAACAAGTTTGGCCAGGCAAATATGCCGCCCAGTAATGACCCGGTCCATCACGATTTCAACGCGGATCGGCTTGAGCAGCAGGGATTCACGCGATACGTGCATAGCTCGCCAGTCCCCACAAGCGCGCACATCGGTCCTCGGACAGTCAATGTTGACTAGGAGATCGCCCGTATCGGCTTGTCGATACGCATCTACCAAATCATCCACAGAAACATTCGGAACCGGTGATACAGGCATCACCGGCGCACCTGACATCACAAATCACTATACCATCTTCCCTCGCTCGATTCCCACCGGCCCACCACCAGCGTCATCCTTTGATATCTCCCTTGGCGATCTTCGTCGCGAGTTTTTACAATTACAGAACCTGGTACATCCCGACAAGTACCCATCCGGAGATGTTAAGCAACACGCGGAGGCGATATCGGCGCGCATTAACGAGGCCTACCGCACTCTTCTAGACCCGCTCCAACGGGCACAATACATTCTTCGCGAGTGGCACGGTATCGACGTTCTTGCCGAAGATGGCGCGTCTAAACATGCACTTGACCCTGAGACTTTGATGGAAGTTATGGAGGTGCAAGAGACGATTGAAGAAGTCGGTGCTTCACCAGAGGCAGAGGCAGAAATCAATGTGCTGAAGGAAGAAAACGACCAGCGCATTGAGGCGTGCGTGGAATCTCTAGGCGGTGCAATTGACCGGGGAGATATCGATACCGCGAGAAAGGAATGTGTTCGCTTGCGATTCTGGTACAGTGTGGGTGAGGGGCTACGGGAGTGGGAGCCTGGCAGCACGGAGATTAGGCTCATGCATAGCAGCTAATTCAGAAGAGAGGGAGAGAAAGAGAGAAAGAGAACGACTTCAACTTGTATCATTAACTTCGCTGGCTATCAACTCCAGGTCTCCGAACACATGTATCTACTATATCCATACTAGATTTGAGAGAGATTTACCAACTCCCCATTCTGATGATAATTCAGCTCTTATTATTGCGAATTGCAATGTGTCATACAACATCATACCTTTTGCTTGTAGACAAGAATCTCATGTCCCAACATTTTGCCTTTGAGGGTGTGACCGATCGAAAGCAATCCGAGAATCACTAAAGTTTGAGATTGAAAGGCTGTTAGAGATTCAAGAGTGACGATTCCAATCGATTTTGAGAATCCAGATCCCCAAAGCCATTGGATCACGGGGGTTGACAATACTTAGAGCGGACGGGACTCGATAACTCCTTCAGGAAACGATAAACGATAAACAGTCACAATTTCATCCGCATGCTAAGGTTCAACTCCCCAACCAATAACAACAGCCCAATGTATCCCCCAGAAAAGATTGGGCGGAAATGCTGACTTGAGATTATAAAGTCATGTCTTCGTCACCAACAAACATCATCGTGTCTCCAACTTAAGTCCGATTATCCCATCATGTCTGAACTTGCGCGAACCCTACCGGCATCGTGGTATTGCAATAAGCCCCTCTATCAGATGGAGCGGCGTGCCGTCTTTCTCAAGGTACAAGATTTCGACCTTCCATGGCCATCCTTGAAGACAAAACTAATAACGAGTCTATATAGTCATGGTATTTACTTGGCCCGGTCACGAGATTCCAGGAAGTAGGCGAGCATGTGGACTATGAGATTGCACAGCAGTCGATCTATGCAATCCGTACTGGAGGAGATTCTCTCAACCCAGGCTCCGATGAGCTGAAGGTATTCTGTGCAAAGACGGTATATCAGAAGAAACCCTTAGAATTCTGTCTACTAGAAAAGCCGATTAACGATCGCAGGACAAAGAGCTGCGCTGCCATGTCACCCCTACCGGACTCCTTTTCTCAACGATTTCAGATGATGCACCCAGCTTCCATGAGTTCTTCCCTGAATTAGAGGACTTACTAGAGAAAGTCGACTTCACTAGGCTCCCATATCGTCGCAGCATCCGGTACGAAGGTCGATTCAACTGGAAGACCATGTAAGTACATTTTCACGAACTATAGCATGGACTCAACTCTTATAATTGTATAGGGTGGATGGATACCAAGAGTGCCTGCACTGCCAGTACACTCATCCATCGTTCTCGGTATTCTATCCGCCTACTTTCTACGCAGTGCACAACAAGCACAACTTCTCCCAGCACATCGCCGACCCCAAGAAGCCCGACGATGGTCTATTCCTCTACTTCTTCCCCAACTGCACCCTCAACGTGTACGGTGGCGGCATGTCCTCGTTCCGTGTTTGTCCTACGGCAGATCCCCACGTAACCCGCATGGAATTTGATTACTACCACCTAGCATCTGGAGAGAAATTTGAAGAATACTTCAAATTCGTTCGGCAGGTCGCCATGGAAGATTTTGAGCTATGCGAGAAGGCTCAGGAGAATCTGGCCAAGGGCGTGTACCACGAGGGTATCCTGAATCCGATTCAAGAGAATGGGGTGTCCTGTGAGTATACTGTTCCATTTACCAAATTGTGAGGCATGGAGCCCATACCTGACCTCCGCGCACAGACTACCAGAGACGCGTCTTTGACATGGTCGTCGAACAACATCAAGCGGATCGAAAGATTCAAAGTGAGGAATCAGCGCCAGAAGAGCGGGCAGCACCAGCTAGCGTTGAGACAGCAGCGTAGAATGAATATTTTCGCCATTATGCAAGTCTATCACCTAATTCACGCAGTTAAATGCAAGTCTAGACTTACAAGAGCCTAAGTAAATTGTGTTGTACAAATTGATTTAAAAATCCAAGGTTACTGTGTGTCATCACCAGTGTGGGGGAAAATTAGCCGTACGACTGCAGCTGCTAAATAAGGACTCGCCACGTCAGTAGATACGCTTGATAGTCATGCACCATCGAGCGCCATCCTACACCGGTACTTCCAGCACATGCGCACCTTCAGCACAGAGCAAACCCCCCGAGAGCTGGGAAATTCTGACCAGATCGGGTAAAACCCCTGCAAGGGGGGGGTGCATGTAGCCCCGTCGCCAGAAGCGTATAATGTGGGGATCGTTGCACTTGGGCCCTTCATGGACTTGTGGTATATGAGGTCAAGATGCCGACAAGCAGAAAAAAGAGTTCAAAGGGATTAAGCAGAGGCATCTGGATCAATCAGATTCATCTGACTTCATTCTTATTTTCCCACAGCATTTCATGATGGACTTCGTTCATGCATCTCTCTTATCTCCGGGCTCCATCTTGGTGGCGGTCGTGACTGTTGTCTTCCTACTTATCCGAGCATGGCCACTTCCCCCCAAAAAAGACAAGCTTGCAACTCTTGCCACCTCCGATCATGTCCCGAGTCGTCATGTATCAGTCTCCAAAGAGCCCGATGTCCCAGAAGGCTGGTATCGTAGCCAGGAAGTCTTCGAGCTAGAACGCCGTGCACTATTCAGCAAAGTGACTACAACACCTGAAACTCTGAACATGTAACAAGATGACTAACTTTTCATACTAGTCTTGGGTTTATCTTGCTCATACTGCCCAATTCATCAAGCCAGGAGCCTACCAGTCTTTTGACCTAGCGGGCTTCCCCGTCTTCTTGATCAGAGGCAAGGACAACAAGATCCGTGCATTCCACAATGTATGTCGCCATCGCGCGTACACGATCACCAGAAAAGAAACCGGGGCATCCACCGTTCTCGGATGCAGGTATCATGGATGGAGCTACGACACCCTCGGGCAATTGGTGAAAGCACCCCAATTCGAAGATATTCCTGGATTTGAAAAGTCCGAGAATAGTCTCTTTGAGATTCACACGCACACCACGGAGCAAGGCTGGGTTTTTGTTAATCTCGATGCTGGAGAGCCTGCTCCTAGGAATGAGTCTACTTTTGGTGCTCTGAATGACTTTGCACGCGGTGCTAAATTGAGAATGAAGTCTGAGTGGATTGCTGGACAAACATTGACAGGGACCTTTAATTGGAAACTTGGGGGTATGTCATGACTCGTCCGTAAACATGCTCGTCTGTTTTACTTTTCACTAACACTCACGGGTCAATTAATAGCGAGTGCGCGTCAGTTTGATGTTGTTGCTGCACGGCTTGAGCAAAAAATCTCCGAGGCTATGAAGCCATCTATTGCGACTCGTATAGTACGGGCTTTCATACAGAATAACAACAAAGCGGACTGCTCTGTATTCCCTGGCACATTCTTATATTCATTTGAAAAAGCCGATCTATGGCTATCCCTGACATTCCTCCCTTCGTCAGAGACAAGTACCCGAGTCCGATACGACCTATTTGCTCCAGCCTCGAAGGCCGGCATGGATGAAAACAGCCTCGCCAATGCTGCTGGGGAGGTCATTCAAAATGCCATCAATGCCATTGAAGCTCAATATCAATCTACTATCGAGGAGCCAGTTGAGAACTCAACAACCACTCACGAGATCCTAAAACAACTCCAAGAGCACCAGAAGCTGGAGAGGGTCAGCGGTGGTCTGGTTCGCCCGGCGATGCGCCAGCCAAAGGGCAGTGCACTTTTCCAGCAGGCCGAGCAGCGTAAGTTTATTTTCAACAGTTGTATAACTATGTGTTCTGACATTATACAGTGTGTAAGGAGCTGGACTGCTCCGGTCCTGGGTCACAGGCTGGCTCTGGAAGCTCGTCAAGCCGGCTGGACTGGTGAATCTTGGTTGCAGGTTTCCCTCGACACTTGATCTTCTCTGATTGGCCGATTTTCTATATCAAATATTTGACGAGGGGCGTCTATTACAATAAGAAAGTCGTGTAGTATGCATATGAATCTATCTAATATCAATCATCCTTGGAGATGCTGATCTCTATAACCTTTACTTATTCAATGCTATCATAATGTCTCTTAAATTTACTAGTTACAGACTGCTCGTTTGAAGCGCAGTTATAATGACAACTTGTTCAAGGCTATTTTCGGGCTCTTGGACATTATCCTCTTCACTGATATTACCATTTCTCTTTGACAGGGATAGAGAGAAACAAAAAGCACACATAACAGTTATTATTTCGACAATCAAGAAGTCAGTGAAAGTATATAAAGATAGCTGAGAAGAAGAGAGTGAATAGAAGCAATAGAACAAGACAAATTAATATCGAGGCTAGCTGAGTATGACTGAGGAACTATAAGAAGTATAATAGAAGTACTAGATAAAGCAGGGAAAGAGGCACCTGTAGTGAAAGTCGTTAAGGGCTCCCTTATATTTAATAATTTGAGGAAGAATTCCATCCTGGCACCCACGTAGTCTAACTGGTTCCACCCTTCGGGACCTCAGCCAGCTCTGGATTTGCGGCCCCCACTTCAGGTACACTGGGCCCATCCACGATGGGGATACTGAGTAGTACGGCGAGCCTAACAGTCGAAGCCTAAGTTGATCCTGGCCTGAGTGGGACAGCGAGAAAGTGCGCCGCGGACCTACTACAAAGTATCTGCCCTCTTTTTTTTCTCTTTTTATATTTTTGAACTTATTTTATTTTTATCTATTTTATTTGTTTTGGTATTGATTTTTGAAGTTCGGAGAGGAGTTCTTAGTATGAAGCCGTGATGCATCGATGGCGGGAGCGAGTGACTTCTTTCTTGGGAAATCTTTACGTATTTGTGGTTTTTACCTCGCTGGAAGTCCCTGGTTCGATTCCTGGGGGTTTTGTTTCTTTTTTATACCATAGTTCTAGTAATAAATTATTCTTTTATGCCTCTTTCTCCCCTCCCTTAGTAGGTCCCCCCTCTTGTCTCTTCCACAGTCCAGGACCAGAAGATAATGTTGATTAAATATTTGAATTTATTCATACTACTTGTCCAGTTCTCGGATGTTCTTATTTGAATTTTCTGGTTTTGATTGTATTTTCTCTTTTTTTTTTTTTTTTTTTTAGATCAATAGAGGTATTTACTATAAAATGAAAAATGTCCAAAATATGGTCAGGTACAACTAGCTAGTAAGATGTATTTTAAAAAGTATTGTTTTGAAAAAATGAAACAAAAAGAGAAATCAGCAACAACAATCCTCCAGCTCTTCAGCTCCAGAGCACAAAGACACAATCACTCTAAGGCCTTGATGAACCCATCTCGGGCCCTTTCAGAAGCAGCCAGAAGGTTCTTGCCAGCCTGCAAAAGGTCTTTCTCGAGGCTTCGCTCAGCCTTAATCATCTGCTTCAGTTGCTCCTTATGCTCATCCTGCATCTTTTCTATCTCTTCGATCTTTTTGCGGAACTCACTCTGGGCCTCTTTAAGATTCTCAGCTTCAATCACCCGCCTGACCATAAGGCCATGCCCCGGAAGTTCTTCAAAGGCCTTGTAAGCCTTCACAAGGGAGCAAGACAATTGAAAGCGGGCCTCGAACTTGGCTTCTAGATTTTTAACCTCTTGCTTAAGAGAGATTGTGGTGTTGTAATCGCGTTCCTGGGCATCCAGTAGGTCTTTCATGCATTTTAATTGACCTTCCTTGGCCTCCGTCTCGCTTTGTGTCTGTTCGACTCCATTGTTGTGATTTGACGAGCTTGGGTCTCGGGATCTGGGTGTGGCCCTCTTGTTAGGCATGCTGGACGGCTCAACATTCTCATCTGGGCGTGACCGCTTCTTGGGTGTGCTCTTTTGGTCTCGAATCTGAGCACCTTGAGCTGGTAGGCCACTCGGAGGTACTAAGGATGGAGGCACAAGTCTGTCCAAGCGGGTCTCGTCGCCCATATCGAAGATCTGCTCTGGATCATGCTGGCTGGGCCAAGTAAGACCCAAATCAATGAGCTTATCTTTCTCCCTCCCGATCCAGTTCATCCATAGATCCTGCAGTTTCTTCTTGCCACCGGGTAAGGGCTTTGGTTGTGTACTGCTTAAATAGTTCCTCCACATCGGCATAACCGCATCGAGACATTCATCGGATAGAAATCTGACTCCCTCTGAAGATGTTGCCAGAGCGATAGGGAAGAACTGAGGCCTAATGCAACCCTGCCAGTGACCACCATTGTTGTAAAAAATTGATGGGTGCTCCCTTGCACGGAAGGACTTGGACTTGTTCACGATCAAAAGTCGGATTTTGACATCTGAGATCTGTGGCATAGTGATTGAGCTGGATCTTTTTGACCTTGCCATGTTTGGGTATTCACTATTGAGTTCAATGATCAGAACTTGAACGAATATCTTGTACTGGGAAGTCCGGGTGTAGAGGCGTTTGAAGCCGGGGGAAATACGGGAGAGAGACCTTGAAGTAGGAAAGGCTGGAAATCTCACCAAAAACAGTTAGCGAAATCGGAGTGACGAACCCGGGAGCGGAGAAGAGGAGAAGTCAAGAAAAAGATGAGCCGATATGGATTGAATTCACGCGGGGTGAAAGAGAAGTAAGGAGAAAAACCCAGTGGATACGTGTGCCGGGGAAAGAGAAAAGGAGAAAGAAGCAAGTACTAGTAGATGTGATAAGTGTGAGATATGCGTGTTTTCTCTATTTACATATCAAATCCGACCTTAAGGTGTGTAAAGCGGTCTAGATTAACAAAATCTCAAGATATTCAGTAGCTTACATTAGCTTATCGTTCTAGCAGTCAACTACCATTCTTTGACGATCTTTTGATAGAACTTCCAAGCTGTAAATATCATCTATATTGAGTATGCTATTATACACCAACAGTATGATGTGGATTACCAGCTAATACCAAATGCACTTGATTGAAGGTTGAGTTGAAGATTGGGCGGATGCGTACTATCAAAATCTGGTGATTGAAGCTAATGCATCTAAAGAATTCTTACACGTCAAACAACCTGTCATGTGTACAAACGCGTAGAAAACCCCACAATCATGGACGCGTTGTGGATCCGATCTGGGGTCATTGATCACGTGGATGATAGTCAGGTGATATACATCATAGCCACGTGACTACTACTTATGTTCATAATTAATCATCGATAAATAATTGGCCAATGATTGGTCGGATATAAAATCTAGCTTGGGAGGCCCCACCGTAATAAGCATAAGTGGATTAAAGACTACAGTTGAAAGTAAGATTAATCCCCGGGATTCTAGACCTCCAGTAGCCTTTTTCGCTATAAATCACATGCTTTGAATTATACAATTCCAACCCGGGACCCGTTGACGATTTCATCAGACGCCTACGTATGCCAATGTCTATAATCTTAGGCTGGTGTAACCAAAAAAAAAAGTGCGGGAGCTAAAAATATGGAAATGATGCAGATCTGCAGTGCAGATTCATAAATCCATCATAAATTTCATAACTCCCCCGGTCAGTTTTGAGTGACGGGTAGGACGGGAAGACGGGTAAGGCGATGGGAGCTTAGACGGTCCACAGCAATATACAGTCCCACCAGTGACAGCTCGTCTTAGTCACGGACCAAGCGCTCTAAAGCAAGTCATAAGTCTGCAGCGGAGACTTTACCCCAACGTTTGCGGGCCTTTTTTTGGATGGTGGTGTGGTCAGTCTCGGGGTTAATTCCCTATTCAATGTTTTATTATAGTGCCAACAAGCTCTAGATGACAGCTTGCATTCCTATTCGTAAGCGTCCAAATTCCTGACGAGTCTGGCTATCAAATTCTCCACTCCTTGTTGTTGATTAATATAGATGTTTCAGAGTCCAGTGGGCTCCGGGGGAGAAACAGGCTCTTGCCTGTTATCTTCAACCCCTCTTTCCTCCATCCTATGCAGACCTTGCATGATGCGGGGACTTGAAGATGTCTGTCTTCCAGCCGGGTCCAATGACTAGCTCCCAAGGTTTCTGTGTGAAGAATTTTAGCCGGGACTGTGACTGTACCCCAACGGCAGACAGTATAAGTATCCTATTCTTTGCTATCCTGCTCTGCCGTCGGACAGTCACTCAAGACAATCTCAAGACATTTTCATAAAACAAAATCCCGTTCTGCTCGAGGACTAGCCCTATTAGGATTTTTGTCATGGCTGTCATTCCAGGCATGGCCAAGTACGCGCCCACTTTGCCTTTCCGCTCAGGCATTACACTTCTAGCATCTGTTCTTCTACTGGTAGGCATCAAATCTAACCCGCTAGTCAAACCAACCCACTTACTCGTTTCATACCCTACCTCAGATCCCCATCTATGTCATTGGCCTCATCATCTACAATGTCTACTTCCACCCTCTGGCCAAGTACCCAGGGCCCAAGTCCATGGCAGCAACACGCATCCCCAACATGCGTATGGTTGCAGCGGGCGAGGCCCATAGATTAATACCCCAATTGCACGAAAAATACGGACCCGTCGTCCGAGTTGCCCCCAATGAACTCTCCTTTACAACAAGCGGCGAAGCCTGGAAGCCAATCTACGGCACTCGCCCAGGGCATAGCCAAAAGCCAAAAAATTACCTCTTTTACCAAGAGCCCATTGGCAATGTCCCAAACATTATCAACTCCAACGATGCAGACCACACCCGCTTCCGTCGCTCGCTATCCCATGCATTCTCTGACAGTTCTCTGCGGGGCCAGGAGCCCATCATCAAAGGCTATGTTAACCTGTTCATTCAACGACTGCATGAAATCACAAAGGGCGGGTCTACACCCGTTGATATTGTCTCGTGGTACAACTTCACCACGTTCGATGTCATCGGAGACCTAGCCTTTGGCGAGCCCTTTAACTGTCTTGAAAACTCAGATTATCACCCATGGGTGAGCATGATCTTTGCAGGCGTCAAAGCTGGAGCTTTGATCGGGTTAATCCGCCGTGTGCCCTACTTGGAGCATCTGAAGAAATATCTCGCGCCCCGGAAACTACTAGCTGCGAAGATGGATCATGAAAAATTGACAATGGAAAAGGTTCAAGTTCGGATGGGAAAATCCAATGAAAGACCTGATTTTTTTGCGAACATTCTTACGCAAAAAGACCCTGCGAAAGCTTTCAGTGAAGGCGAGCTCTACTCAAATGCGAGTCTGTTGATCATTGCTGGCTCAGAAACCACTGCTACTTTGCTTGCGGGGGTGACCTATCTGCTGTTAAGAAGCCCCCATGCTCTGACCAAGCTCAACGAAGAAGTCAGGGGGGCTTTCAAGTCGGACGAAGACGCTACTCTGGAGGCTTGTAATCAGCTGTCTTATCTGCAAGCTTGTCTAACTGAGGCCCTTCGAATGTACCCTCCAGTCCCCGTTGGCTTACCTCGTGTTATTGATAGCCAGGGTGACATGATTGACGGTAACTGGGTACCAGGAGGCGTAAGTATATCGCCTTTTCATTGTTTGCTTTATGACACTAACACAAAGACATACACAGATAACTGTTTCTGTCTCCCATATAGCCACATATAACTCCGAGGGGAACTTCAAGGACGCAAAGCAATTCATGCCAGAGCGTCATCTCGATGATCCTCGGTTCGCTTCTGACAACAAGGATTCAATGCAACCTTTCAGCTTCGGTCCAAGAAACTGTATTGGTCGCAAGTACGTTTCTCTTCCCTATCGTATTCCTCTTTTGATGTTCAAAGGCATCCTGCTAATGATTTTGATCTTTACAGTCTTGCTTATGTTGAAATGCGCATGATTCTTGCTAGAATGATTATCAACTTCGATATGGAGCTGGCCGAGCCTCATTTGGATTGGATGGACCAGAAGACGTATAACTTGTGGGAGAAACCACCATTGATGTTGAATCTCATCCCGAGGGATCTGGCTATATCGGAGAAGGCTTGATCATGGAATCCAGGTCACCATGTGAGATCTGGCTAGTGCCAGTCTATCGGTATTCTCTTTGTCTCTTCAGCGCATGGCGGGCAATTAAGAAGTAGAAATGATTCAATTCTTGTATTCAGGCCCGGCTGAAAAATACTACTTAACATTCTTCAAATGTTTATTATGTAGGATTTGAGCATAGAGTAGGAATTTGGAGGTTCAATGTTGTAAAAAATAGAATTTTCGAGCCGGTGTAAACCGGGGACTTTTGTTCATGAACGTGTAGAACGGCGATAATCGCAAGCCCAATGAAAAAAGGGACAATGCTGTAACAGGAGGATTAAACCGACAAAAAGATCGCCTGCATTCATGATCCAGATTTAGAAGAGAAAAAAGAGAGAGGATAGAATCACAAGGAAAAAAAAGAATAAACGCCGCCCGGCCTAGACTTATAGGGGGATGCTTTGCCAACCCTTCGATGGGGCTGATTAGTGTATGTATGGAATGCGATGCTGAAAAAGAAAAATTGAAAGACTTGAAAAGTTGTGTCGTGACGTCGTATTTGCGAGTTCCCCGTGCCCATATTTGGCTAATTGCCGTTTGGCTCGTCTTCGTCAGACTTGGAGTTTGCATCATCGTCATCGTCACTCGCCCAGCCTTCCGCTTCAAGAGCACGACCACGAATACCGAAACTCATCAGGAAGCCGATGAAAGAGACGGCTCCAAATACGCCAAAAGCCACAGCTTCACCCTTTGGCTGGATCTTGGCTGTCAAGGTGAAAAGGCCTCCGGAGAGGAAGGGACCCACAGCACGCCCAGCCGCAGAGAGAGTCTGTGCAAGACCATTGAGTGCACCTAGGACAGCATGATTTGGTGCTGAATTGGTAACCAACAATAGAGCACTAGTCAGTCCACCTACGGAGGCGACAGTCTTGACTAGAAGCACCAAGCATAACTCCACGGCCATTAGCACGGATTGGCGCGTAAGTCCCTCACTGGATTTGCTCTTGTACCCGATGAAAGGCATCAGTAGGAAAGAAATCACAAAGCCGAAAAGACCAGCGCGGTATGACCACCGATTGCCCATCTTGTCACGGAGACGGTTGAAGACGCAGATCTGGAAAATGATGGTCACGATACCGGCAAAGCCTTGAGACAGGCCAATCTCAGAGGGTGTGAGTTTGCGTCCGGCTGGTGGTTTGGCTTGTGCGAAAATTGGAAACAGTGAGTTGAATGACACATTGCACAAGGCAAAGATCAAGTACGTCAAGAGCAGTAGAACGGTATCGCGGGTGAAAATTTCATTCCAGGTCAGCTCCTCGTGTTGTTCGAGGCGACTCGATACCTCTGAAGCCGAATCCAAGTCACTGTCGTGATCATCGATTTCCTCTGCGTGGTGGGTGTTGGAGCTGGAGACCCGAGTGTAAGTTGGGTGTCGCGAGAGGCCAGTAAACTGCCATAGCCATGAAAAAAGACTGCGGAACTTTTTGCCAAACTTGGGTAAAGTGTCTGCATCTTCTAAGCTTTCTTGCATGAAAAACGCAGTCAACCCGAAATCCACAAAAAGGATAAAAGCAGAGACCAGATTGGGAGCAAGGTAAGGATATGGGTTTTCTTTGCCGGTGAACGGGTTGCGCTCGAAGACTAGTAAGCCTCCTAGGAGAGGGCCCGTAATACCTCCGATTCCATATAAAACGGGGAGGTAGGTGAAGGCTTGCGACTGGTTGCTGCGGTCTGTAATTTCTCCCAGGCATGTTGAGACCAGGGCTTGATTTCCATTGACCAGGCCCATCAGGGCCTGTACGGCAATTGCTTGACCTAGAGTCTTGCAGAAACCAAACGCGACAAAGCACAATGCGGTAAGCAAAGTGCCAAGGAGGATCACTGGTTTGCGCCCAATACGATCGGACAACGAGCCCCAGAAATAGTTGGTCGCGAATTGCGCTAACGCAAATGCGGATGCAATTGTTCCGACGTATACACCCACCTGGCTAGGTTCTACCTCCGGGAAGCTCGAAGCCATGTCTGGGAGATAAGGACTGATTGAGTTCAGTGCAGTCTGTTCGGCTAAAGCGATCATCGCCAGTACTGCCATCTGCCTCTTAGGCAGAGGAGACTGGGCATTTTGTTGGCTCGAGGTATCAATGAGGCCGTGTGGAATGTCCCCCGACGATTCAGACTGGCCGGAGTTAGGCCGCCCACGCGACTTCGGCGGCGGGGTATCAAAGGTTTGGTAATGCTGCGTGGAGGAGCGACGGTTCAGGAGGCGACGATCCGGGGCTGACATTTTGAAGTCAAAGGTCAGGACCAGGTATCGAGGCTAGTCGGCGTATTTTCGCAGCCTATCCACAGGATTGGAAGAGGCTGGTGCACCGATCGTAGCCGCAATGCCGGGTTCGTGCAGGATTCGTATACACAGTCACCCAAAAGATAATTGGAGAATCAAGATATCGTCTAGGGTGATACAAATTATCAATAGAAGGATTCTCAGAGAACTTCCGGGGTAGAATCTGAGGAACTGCGTGTTGAATGGGAGCTATGCGTGAGGATGAAGCCGGGAAACGCATCGGGGAAGGAATTACATGATGTAAGCGGGCCTCGATGAGTAATCAGGTTCTGGCCAACGCAGATCATCTTGCATGCGCCGAGGCTAATGTATGTGAATACATTTTAATTGATGGGAATAAAGCGCTCATCTGATAACAGCTATCACATACCACATCTCGAGTATGTTCTGAGAAAAATCTGACGACTGCCAAAGGCTGAGAATGACTCCTTTTTTTCTGCAAAATCTTTGGATTTGAAGTGACCAATGAACGATACAATTGATACATTATATCACGTACTATGTGAATTCCAAGGTTTTTGAAGAATTGTACTAATATCTAACTGTTATGTTATATTTAAAATATACCAGTAAATTTATGGAACTATATGTGTTAAAATGAGTATAATGTACTACTTGCATAGGATATTTGTATACTCTGAAGTCATTTTGAAATTGGTTTTTCCGATTGGCTGCCCTTGCAGCGGTCGCCCCTTCCAAGGAAGAATGATAGAAACCCCCATATTAATAATAATAAAGTTGAAAATCGGGTGGTAACTGGTGGGTAACCCCAGAGAAAAAGGGATTTGCCCGCGAATGACTCTGTTATGACGCTTCATGTCTGCGCTAACTGGTCAATCTACTGGTAACCTTGATATTCAGGGTACGTCATCAGACTATTTAGGATAACTTAACTAAGTTGTTATAATTACTTGAAATCGGCAAAATAATTCTACTTCATTACATCGGTCAATATCGTTTCCTGATCCGACTATAATCACACGAACAAGACACAATTTCGCCCATTTGAGATTTTGTCGATTGAACATAATCATACACGAACTTTCGGAATCTATCAATCATGTCAGAGATGCTGCGCAAGGCCGAAGACCTTATCTATGGTCACCAGCATGAAACAAATGACACAGATCAAAGTGAGTCTCATGATTGAAACAGGGGAGGTGGATTCAATTATATGGTGAATTAATACAAGGATTGTACACATTTGGTGTTCTTTCCTTCGATATCCTAACACATTGAATCGAAAATGCAGCTCGCCACAACTCATCGCCACCTCCTGGTACCGTCTCCAGGGGTGTTCAAACATCGGGGACTATCATGACAGAAGGGCCCACGGGCGTCTATACCAGCGATGTTGCCAGCCAGATTGACGATCAGATCACTGGTGACTCTGACGATGAAGATCATGATGCGAAGAAGTCTATAGATTCAAAGCCAGCGAGGCCAACTAAGCAGGATACTTTGGTCGGTTGTTAACGACAGGTACCTACTACACGTGTCCACAAGGATTCGTAAGTTTGGGGAGACATAATTATGTCTAGCAGACTTGAGTGGATGCACATGTGTGGATATTACAACATTGAAATACTCAAACAATATTGATATCCGTGCAATTCAACCTCGAATCTACCTACAAAAAAGTAGGTCGCAAATTTTGACATTTTTCGATTCAATTTTGAATGGTTTCAATGCAAGTGAAACTACTACTTATCGCAGCCCTGGCGTGTTGTACTTAGCCTTCAACTTTGTTTGAATACCCATGTGGTTTGAAACATTCAAGATGTTACGGGTGTCTCCAGACTATGAGCAAAAATATATCTCCATGAGGCACTTTCAATGTTGCACAAAATCATAATACGTATTCATCATGTGAATTGGTAGATGGCCCTCCATAATTCCCAAACGAAGCACACAACTTTTAAATATGCAATTGATATCTTTCAATCACCATGCATGGATGGAGTGGGCTTGGAAAATAATGGGGGCGAGTGAAAGCCCTTCTGAAAAAAAGGGGATATGTATCCAAAGTTGGAAAACCAGACATCAACCATCCAAGTGGCCGAGCGGAAACTCAGCTATCTCATCTTCCTTGGTCTAGTGGTCATGATTTCCGCTTGTCATTAACACCGATAAGCGCGGGAGACCGGGGTTCGATTCCCCGAGGGAGAGATTTCTTTTTTGCTCTTTTGGTTTTTTCCCTCATCCATCGGACATCCATCGACTTGGAATATCCACTCACGCCTGATAGTGGGGACTAATGAATGGACGGTCCAATTTCAATTGTGGGTTTTTCTCAGTCAAGCCAGTCCCTATCACCGCTCAATTTTGTTCTTGTTTCATTCCATGTGAAAGATAGTAGTAGTGAGAAATTTCAATCGTGAAATTTTGCTCAAAATATAATAAACATCCAATGTTGTCCTCAAGGCTGTCAAGTCTAGTATGCATACTGTAGTATGCGTACTGTAGTATCAACTAATGCAAACTTCAACGTTACATACCAATACGAACCACGGGTATTAGTCCAGTATCAAGCTGGTATTATGACAGTTCAACCCATAGTGGATAGTCACTGGGTAGTCGTGGCGAGACTTCCGCAAACGGCAATGTGGGGCAAAAAAGTCTGCAAGATTTTGTAGCACTACCTTGAAGTATTTTCATACAAGACGGCCGGCTGGCCCAATGGCAAGGCGCTTGACTACGAATCAAGAGATTGCAGGTTCGATCCCTGCGTCGGTCAATTTTTTGGGACTTCAAGCATGATCATGCTTGAAATTTTTGTAGAAAACAACAACAGGCCTATGTAGATTGGTCGATTGACAGGAATCACAGGTTAAACCTTTATTAGTAATTATAAGGCAATGATGAAGAGATGCCTGTTTATAATATAACTCGAAATTGGCTTTCAGACTAAATATATGCCTCTTATACTACATAACGCCACAAATGTATAAATGTATTCGCATCATTATCTTTCTTTACTATCTGAAATACGCCCAGTCTATGAAATGTCAATGGCCGATGGAAAATCCAAGGTAGAAACAGCAACTGAAATTCGAATCGCTAAGACTTTGCATACGTTATAAAGACGTAGGGCCGGGTAGCTAGAGAGCTACAAGTCAACAGGGCAAAAAACAATGATGAGTGTGTAGGACGTAAAGAGAGAAGAGCTATTGCTTCAAGATACAGCAATACTGTACAACACCGAAGTTAACATTCGACTTGACCAGCCATTTCCTTTATAAGTCCCGCTTCTAAAATAGGTCATCAAGTAGGTTCACTTATCCAATGACGGGATACTCTAAGGGGAATATACCCCAGAAGGATTCGGAGATGAGCTGTTCGTTACATGGCACATGCATCAGGAGTTGGTATGGATGTCAATATTAACAAAGGGGTATATGGTGATACCAAGGATCGAGGCTGCTGGTATTGCCGCATGTAATAGAGATCCTTACCCACAGGAGATATCGACGCCCACATCACGGCTGGCAAAAAAACCATTTATGCCAAAGATTATTGATTTTTGGAATCACATGATCATGCCGGTCATCCCCGGCATGGGTGCTTCCCTCTTTGTTCTATATAGCAGGTTACGTCTCCCGTTCTTCCTTCCTTCTCTCTCTCTCTACAATCAATAACCCTTACTCATTCCTTTTTCTTGTTTCTCTCGCCTCTGCGAGGTTATGAGCCCTCCTTTTCTCACTTATTAACGCTGTAAATCAATAAGATTAAGCGAATTTAAGTAATATTCTCTTTCTCAGGGCCCTGTTTGATGTTTTTTTGACAGATCCAGGACCCCCAACCCCCATTACGAGGAAGAATAGCACTGATAACCTCAATATGTCGGCATTCAAGATAGACTTGGATTCGACAGACGGTCCATTCAGTGATGAAACCGGCAACAACTGGAATGAGGTCACAACCGTTGCTCGAACTGATCAAGCCTCAGGCTTGGCTACTACCAAGATGACCCTCAACCCCGTCAAGAATGCTCTGCGAAAAACAGAAGATTATTACACTTGGAAGAGAATCGTACAAACCTATCTCGAACTCCGAGGATTGGATGGTCTCATTGACTACAAGCTCCCAAGACCAGCCCAGAACAGCCCAAACTCACAAATGTGGTTTTATGGGTCAAAAGCAATCGGTGAGTGGCTCATCGCCAATATCAGCACCGACATTCACAACAGAATACAAGCAAGATGCACCCTCTTGTTCGCAGATGAAATTTGGAAGGCCATTTACGAGGAAATGCACAGATACAGCATTTATGAAGACATGAAACAAGTCGCCGCATTTGTCAACCTCAAACGTACCCATTACCCCACCGCAACTGCGTTCATCGACGACTACCGTGTCCGATACATGAGGCTTAAGGAGCGTGAACTGGAGGTCAAGCCATTCTTCGCAATGCTTACAATAATGAACGAAATCCACCAAATCGACGTCCGAGACTCAGTTCTTGAATCACTCAAAGAGAAGAATCTCAACGCACAGACGTTTACACACAATCTCTTCTGCACATATACGCAGGATCTGCGAGATCGTCTCTCAAGCAGAGAGTGAGAGGAATCTTGTATCTCTCGCCTCCGCGATTGATGCAACAAGTTTCGATTCGAATAAAAGGCAAGAAATTACTCCCTGCTTTTGAATAATTTCGCTCTACTGTTTTGTAACGAGAATAAACGAGAATGAATCATTTTGGAATGAATTTCGCCCCTGGACCCACCCAGGACTTTTTTTTGGATTCTAACCTCGGGCGTGTTACGTGTATGATGATTCCCAATCTAGTTCTAGGGAGTGTATTTTAGAAACCGGAATCTCTATAGTATATCTTTTCGCGGCGATTGAACCTAAAGTCAATCCGAGTCCCCAGCTGTAGCATTGTCTTTGGACTCACTTTGGGCCTCTCAGCCAATCAGGTGCTGCAAAAAAACACAGGATCGCGCGTAGTAGAGGGGTAGATATGAAATTTCAACACAAGAGCTGACTGATTGATACCTATCAAACTTATATGTACATGAATGATGGACCCCCACCTACATATTCATACCGAGCAAGTTGAAAGAGACAGATAAAAAAGGAATAAACATATAGAATGGAAGAAACATTGAAGAGGAATAGGTCTTACAATAGATAATCTTAGTTATGAAACTAATAGACGCCGGGTGATCGATCTGGTACCACAGCCAATATATGAAGGCAAATCTAGATCTTTCTCTTACCATACGTTCCTGACGGGGAACAAAAAGTCCAAAAAATTGACCGACGCAGGGATCGAACCTGCAATCTCTTGATTCGTAGTCAAGCGCCTTGCCATTGGGCCAGCCGGCCGTCTTGTATGAAAATGGTTGCAAAGTAGTGCTACAGAAGCTTGCAGACTTTTTTGCCCCACATTGCCGTTTGCGGAAGTCAGCCCTAACGATGGTCCACCTTACACCATAACCGTTACAGTACCCGAATAATACCCGCTGATACCTGTGAATTTTATTGTTCGTATGGTTCAATTTGTGACATTGGTAGCCCTAACTAGCCTTGCCTGAGGAGAGGATACCGGTTCATCATCATCGACACTATTGTTCTTCTGCAATAACGCCCGTATCTCAATTAAAAATTTGGATGAGATATCTGCAGATGAATAATGATTTATCTGAACATTTGCTGTGCGACCATATTGGTGCATATATCACACGTATAACTGAACACGAAACATTTTTCAATATATACGAAGTACATTCTCATGCCAAATACTAAGCCTCTGTCGAGTCCATTTATGTGGATTTGATCACAATTGAGCTTTTGATAGTTGTCTGCTCATGGAACTGTGACTTCATTTGGCATATTGGAATGTACAAAGCTAAAAAAGGCATACAAATAACGCGGTCATATTTAGCGTTTCACCAAAAAAAAAAAAAAAAAAAGACCTCGTGACCGGATTCGAGTTGTCTGCCCTCAACCAGTTGGACGTCTGCTGGGGACACATCGGGTGACTGAGGGGGTGTGAACTTCCAGATGTTGACTTGGTCAGGTGAGACAGTATACTGTCTAGAAGGCTGCGTGTGGGCGCATAGCCTTGAAAAAGGAGAGATAGAGAGACATCGGCGTGGGGGTCCACTTTCAAGTGTTCACTTGTAAAATATCCATTTCCCATTCAAGCAATTGTTCTGCATTGGATAAAGTGTCGGGATGATTGAGACCCAACGTTGTCTTCTGCTTTTCTATGCAGGTTTTCAGCAAGTTGATGGCTTCGGTGTCGCGGTGGCCCCAAAGTTTCCAAGTCCAAGCAAGGCATTGCATACTATTCAGAATTTCAGGATGATTCTCGCCAAGTATCCCCTTGCGAGACTCTAACACCTGGACAAAGAGCAGTTCTGCCTCTTCCCATCGACGTTGCTGGAAATACGCCATAGCTAGGTGTATCATGATCGTAATCGTGTCGAGATGATCGACGCCAAGTTTTGTCTTGCGAGTCTGCATGACGTGCAAGTAAAGCTGTTCTGCCTCCTTCCACCGGCGCTGACCTCGATATATGAAAGCAAGGTTGACCATGCACGTCAATGTATCAGAATGATCCAAGCCAAGCTTTGACTTATAGGCAACTATAACCTGCACAAAAAGCAGCTCGGCTTCCTCCCATCGGCTCTGACTCTGCTTAAAGTATATTGTTGCTAGATTGGACATACGCATAAAAGTATCGAGGTGATCCTTGCCAAGATTTGCCTTATTCGCCTCCAACAAGTGAGCCTCAAGCTGCTCAGCCTCATCATATCTGTTTTGGTTCCAATATATTGATGCGAGGAGACCCATACTAACCAAAGTGTCCGAATGATCGTCCCTGAGTTTTGTCTTTCTCATTTCCAGGACCTCAAATCCAAGCTTCTCAGCCTCATCATACTTATCTTGGTCCCGGTATATTGATGCTAAGCCAGCCATACTAGCCAAAGTGTCCAAATGATCGTGCCCGAGTTTTGTCTTGCGCATTTCCAGGACCTCAATCCCAAGCTTCTCAGCCTCGTCCCAACGGCCCTGGTTGGAATAAATACATGCTAAATCGTCCATGCATGTGAGTGTATCTGGATGATTTTCAACAAGCTTCCTCTTGCGAGTTTTCATCACTTGTACTTCGAGTGCTTCAGCTTCAGCAAACCGCCCCTGACTAGAAAATATCGATGCCAGATTGACCATACTTATCAGTGTACAGGGATGTTCTTCGCCGAGTTTTTCTTTCATTGTGCTTGTAGCTTGGAGTAAAAGCTGCTCGGCCTCATCCCACCGGTCCTGGCTCCAGTAAATAGAGACCAACTCGATACTTTCAAAAAGGGTATTTGGGTGATCCTTGCCTAGCCTTTTCTCCATCCTTTCTACTACATAGATCTGTAGCTCCTCGGCCTTCTTCCACCAGCCCTGAAGCCGGTATATTCTTGCTAGGCTGCTCATACTTTTTAGTATGTCAGGATGATCTAAGCTAAGCTTAGTCTTGCGGTTTTCCATAGCCTGCTTCTCAAGCTGCTCTGCCTCCTCCAATCGACCCTGATCTGTATATACAGAAGCGAGGTTGGTCATACTTGTCAGTGTGCTGGGATGGTACATGCCAAGTTTGACCTTGTAAGTCTCCATGACCTGTATTCCGAGTTGCTCCGCTTCCTTCCATCGACCCTGAGAGTGATATATCAACGCGAGGCTGTTCATGCTCCTTAGGGTATCAAGATGGTCTATACCAAGTTCGGCTTTGGAAAATTCCATAACTTGTATCTGAAGCTGTTCCGCTTCCTCCCATCGACCCTGAGAATGATATGTTGACGCAAGGTTGCTCATGGTCAGTAGGGTACCAATGTGGTCTATACCAAGTTCGGCTTTGGAAAATTCCATCACTTGTATCTGAAGCTGCTCTGCTTCCTTCCATCGACCCTGAGAGTAATATGTCGATGCAAGGTTGTTTATGCTGACCATCGTGATGAAGTGGTCCATATCAGGTTTGGTCTCGAGAGTCTCCATGACCTGAATCCCAAGCTTCTCTGCATCTTCCCATTGACAATCAAGCAAGTATGCCTTTGTTAATGTTAATGTGCTTTCAAGAGTACTGCGATCCTCAGCACCAAGCAGCTTGACTAGCTGTTTTCTTGACTTAGATGCCATATCGATTGCATCTGCGAGATGACCAACCTCTATTGCATACCATGCTCCTCGGTGAAGGATTCTGGTCCATTTTAGAATGAAATCTCGTGATTCCGGCCTCTGATGCAAACTCATTCGGACATGAGAAAAAAGGGATTGACACTTTTCCCAATTTTCGAATTTCCCTGAAGGAAACACCCGATGTAAAATACTTGTGAATGTCTCTCTCCATTTATTAATTTGACCATGGGTTTTCAACCATGCATGTGTTGTGAGTTGTACCAACCGATGCATTGTGAAGAAAGTATTATTCTCATGTATGAATGAGTAATTTTTCAGCGTCAAGATATCATCTTCAAAGTCAGGGCCATCGTCAGAATCAGATGACTCTTCGTCGCTTGAGCCATCGCAAGTTACTGAGTCAGAGATAGGATCCTTGATCCATGGCGGCCGGATCAGAGTGTCCGCTATCCCTTCTCGGTCGAACAAGCTCATAAGAGACAGCAAGTCTGCTGCAGATGGCTTGGTATGACGAATGTAATCAAATGATATTTGCCAGCTCACTAGAATTGAATTCTTTGCTTCGGGGACGCGGTTAAGATAGCTTGGTTCTTTCTTCAGAAGTTTGATCGCTTCACGATCACTCTCTTGGAATTCTTGTAGGTATTGCGTCACCGAATAGCGACATCCGCGCTCTCGAATAAAGCTAGCAGCCTGGACAATTGCAAGTGGCATAAAATCGAGCTCCTTGATAAGCTGCTGGCTGCTCAGGCTATCTTCGGATTGATCAAGATCTTCGGATTTGTCAAGAGTATTCCGAAGAAGCTCTAGTGCCTCAGACCTTTCCATTGGGTTGACATCGATTATGTCTTTGAAATGCACCATCTTTAGCGCAACCTCTCTGCTTCGACTTGTGATGATGATAGAGCCATTTTTGCTGATAGGAATGTACTCTATTAGCGCTTTTGTTGGGGTATGTATCGAGTCCTTCGACATGGATTCTTTTCCAATTGGAGAAGACAAGCAAAGGAACTTGTCGTCATCGGCATTATCAAGTATGCAAATCCATTTGTTTTTCTCATTCTGGAGCCAGGCCTCAACTAGGTCAAGAGTGCTAATCTTTGGATCCTGGCGACCCGGGAGTTTAAGTCGGTTTGCGATGGTCTGGATGCTTTCTTTAAATCGGGCCTCATTACTTGCATGGACCCAGAAAACCCATGTGGTTGGTGACTTGGATCGAACGTGATCCGAGTATTCGATAACAAGTTGCGATTTCCTTGAAGTTCTTAGCGAGAGGCCACACGATGTGAAATAGTACTCACCCGACACCGCCCAACCCTACTAGTGCAATCTTTGATCCTGGAACTGAGCTTCTTGCTTGAATTTGATCAAAAAGAGTGTGACGATGGACAAAGTGTGGATCCCGTGCGAATGGGACAGTTAGATAGCGGACTAGGTGGAGTCTCTGGTCGATCTGAAGACATGCGTTCATCAGTCACATAATCCAAAGTATGCAGTCTACCACCGATAAGACGTACGTGGATAGTTGTAGAACTTTGCCGTGATATTTCCTGGATTATCACGAATCTGAATTCCGTGATTCACTCCATCAAAGGAGGTGATTGACATATCAAGTTGATCACTCATAGTGAAAAACTTGAGCAGAAGAACCGTTTCTGACTCTCAGCTGAAGGGGAAATGAGGGGTTCATGACCGTTCATCGGTGCATGATCAGGTGACCCCTTCGCTCAGCCAGGTCTACGAGCTCAGGGCATTTCATTCATTTCATTGCCCATAGGTCGCTTGTCATGCAGCCAGCAAAGCTGATGGGTCTAGTGATTGGAGTCAATATAGCCTATGCCAAGCCTCGAGGTGTTCGACTGGCTGCAATAGTATCAACTGCTCATTGTCATGTAAACCCCGGGTTTGGGTCGCAGGTATGAAATTCAGCTCCAGGTTTATACGTGTGGTGTAATAACTCTCGTTTTGGATGAAGGCGGACTGGGCACGACCCCCTGGAAAGTGTCTTCAATTCATTACAAATGTCATTTTGATACAAGAAGAATTAACAAATCCATTTACTAACAAGATACAGCAGAGATTTTACATAAAAGTATCAATATTTGGGAATCAACACTGATCAAAAAAGACAGCGTAGAATAAATATGAGCAATATTTCTCCATCATCATTTCATCAACAGGTCAACAGCCCAAGGGACACTCAGTCCACGCAAATCGCCATAGTGCTGTCCCACGCCCAAAAAGACAATGGGAATACCAGTGGCATGAACCATGCTCACCAAGGTACCAACCATATCGCCGACAGTGTCACACTTGCTAATAATAAATCCATCCAAGTTCCGACCAGTTCCAAAGGCCTGGTTGAAGTTGCGAGCCTGCATAACACTGTCCGTTCCAACCAAAGCTTCACCAACCATGAAAATCTTGTCCGGGTTAGCGAACTTCGCGAATTTCTCCAGCGAAGACATGAGGCGCTGATCGTTGTGGCGTCGACCGGCGGTATCAATCAAGACCACGTCGAACTTCTGGCTAGCAGCATAGTCAACTGCGTCCTTGGCGACATTGGCAGCATCCTTGCCGTAACCCTTCTCGTAGAGCTCAACTTGACCGACGTTCTCGCGGGAACTGAGCTCGTTCAAGTTGCGGGCGTGGACGCGAAGTTGCTCCACTGCACCTGAACGGAAGGTGTCACAGGCAGCAATGAGGACGCGGTAGTTGTTTTGCAGGAGGAAAAAGCAAAGCTTGCTCAAGTTGGTCGATTTGCCAACGCCGTTGACACCAACGATGGACATGACATAGGGCCTAGGGGCTTGCTGTTTAGTGGTTGGGGCGGTCACGGCATTAATCTCGCGCAGCAAGTCCAAGGAAGATGTAGGAGTCAGAATATTGCGCAGAGACGCTTCCATGGCGATGCGCAAAGCGGCATCAACGCTCTGGAAGTTTGCGGTCTTCTTGTCGACCAATTCGCGCTCCACGCCTTCACAGAGACGAACAGCAGCTTCACGGGCCACGTTCTTCTTCAAAAGATGGTCTTCCATCGCCTTGAGCGGCTTCTCGAGATCGGCCTTTGTAAGAACCTTGCCACCGACAATGTTGCGGAACAAACCCCCAACGGCGTTGAAACCAGTACCAAGGAAGCCAGATGCCGCAGCGCCCTTGCTCTTCTCAGCATCGGCATTGTCCAGAATGTTATGGACCTCATCACCCAAGTCTTTGAGGATGAACTCGCCCTTGCCGGTTTTGCGACCCCAATCCTCCGGCGCAACAGCCTCTACAGCGGGAGCGGGAGCCTCCGTACCATCGGCCGGAGCAGAGTAGTCCAAAATTTCACCATCGTCTTCATCAGCGAATCCGCTGGCATCCCATTTACGCATCTTTTTAACAGAGCCCTTCACAGGCTTTGCTTTACGCGAGACCTCATCGCCAGACGAGGCATTGGGGGTAGTATTCGCAGCCTTGCGCGAACGGCGAGAACCTCGGCCGCCGGGTCCAGCTTTTCCAGTGATGATGTGGTTGGCGAGTGGAGTCGAAGATCTAGAAATATCAGGAGTTGCCGGTGGCGTGCCTTCATCAGAGGCAGCCCCAGCAAGCGCAGCTTGTTGCTGCGCTACAGGGTTGTCAGTTATGATTCCAAAATTCCGTTAGTCATTGTGTGCTCTTACCTTTCATAAGGCCAGGAACTGGCGGCGGTGGCGGCCCTCCATTGTCCGATGACACAAGCGGATCTTTCTTTTCGCCTGTCTCAACGGTATAGGCCTCTGCGGCACCGGCAGTATTGTCCTCGAGCTCCCGCACTTGCTGTTCGAAGTAAGGCTCGAATCGGTAGGTGGTGATTCTGGCGCGGTTGCCCTTGAGCTGGTCTTTGTAGACATCGATGAAAATGGTCGAGATATTTTCCAGGAGTTTATCAATCCATCCGAGGTGAAGTAGTGACTGGTAGACGGCCTGTGGAGAGCATGGTCAGTTTTGCGACATATATGATCGACATGCGACAAACGGATGAGACGTACGACAAAGATCAAATTGAACTCCTTGACTCGCTTCCATTTAAGCGTATATTTTTCCTTTTTGAATGTCGGAGAAACACCTGCAGCTGAGGTGCTTTGAGGGGCAACCTTCTCCTCAATAAAAACATCGTTGATCAGGCTGTTAATTACATGGGACCCCACGGGAGCGTAGGACTTGGACCACAGGACCACACCGGAGGTGGTTAGAATTTCAAAGGCTTCGAGCATTTTGGGTTCTCGTTCGTATGCAATAATTTAATAAGTGCGAAAAAGGGGGTATCTCTGGGAGAAAAGAAGGATGGTTGGAAGAAAAGGAAGTTGGTGGTGGCGGCTCGGGCAAAAGCGATGGTCGAGAGCTCGGAGACACAGCGGGATCTTCAGCCACGTATAAACACTTCCTCTCGAGCCTTTACTTCCAATTTCAACATCCAACACCCACTTCTCTCACCCTCCGGTCTCCGCCCCTTGACACAGTACACAGTCATCTGGCTCACCTGGTGCTTCGATTTCTCTTCTTACCTGTCACATCAGGAACATCATGTATCGGGGCTCCTTCGCACCGCCGCCCGCGCAGTCGCCGCCTCTTCACCACCCCGTCCCGCAGCATGTGTCGACCGTGCCCATGATGCGCTCACCACCCCCACCCACTTCTCAACAAACACCCAATGCCGGATATGGAGGTAACCCCTACCAGTCGTCGCCTGCTCAGGGTGGTAACCCAAACTACGCTGGTGGCCCCGGTGGCCCTGGTTTTGGTCAGTTCATGACCGACCCAACCGCCCAGATGGGGTTCCAGGTTGGCAAGAGTGCGATGATGGCAGGACAGGAGTATATGGAGAGTAATGTGAGCAATGACTGCAGATAGCAAGCTAGGCATTAAGTTTTTCTAACGTTGTTGCCGATAGTTCAATCGCTACGTTTCCATACCAGCCCTGAAGCACTACTTCAACGTCTCCAACTCCTACGTCCTGAATAAGCTCGTCTTGGTTCTATTTCCCTGGCGACACAAGCCCTGGTCTCGTCAGCAAGCCCGCATGCCAGCTTCTGCTGGCCCCGACGGCCAGATCACACAGCAACAATACTCATCCATGTTTCTGCCCCCGCGAGACGATCTTAACTCGCCCGACATGTACATCCCAGTCATGGCTTTGGTCACCTATATTCTTCTCTCCGTATTACTGGCTGGATTCCGAGGCAACTTCCATCCGGAGTTGTTGGGCTCGATTACCACCACAGCCATCGGTGTGATGCTTTTCGAGATTGTTTGCTTGAAGTTGGCCATGTACATCCTCAGCATCAACAATGAATCTCAGCTGCTGGATCTCGTGGCGTATTCGGGATATAAATTTGTCGGCATTATTGCTACGCTTGTCGCTTCAGAGATCCTGACACCTGGCCGAGGAACTGGAGGCTGGGTCGGTTGGACGGTCTTTGCGTACACCTTTTCGGCGAATGCGTTCTTCTTGGTAAGCTGGGCTGGAAATTCCCCTGCGGCACTTCAACTGTGATTTTTTTCTAACCTGCTCTGAATTAGCTCCGTTCGTTGAAGTACGTCTTACTGCCAGATTCGGCCGAATCTACTATGCAGACCGGCATGCACACTGTTGCTCGGGGACAGCGTACCCGCCGCACGCAGTTCTTGTTTGTCTACTCGTATATCATCCAGTTCGTCTTCATGTGGGTTCTCAGCCGTGAGGGCCCATCGGCGTTGGCATCGAAGACAAGCTCTTGATCAGTCCACAGTACTTTGGGGGGAGCTAGCTTTATTCTGGGCATAGACGGAAACGGGTTGGGGAAGAGGTATGGGAGATGTAGACAGGATGGAAGGGCTAATGAGTCACAGCCTGGTATCTTGGATCCATTCTATCCGGCCTCAATAGTCACGATATAGCACGACTTATTGTAATCAAAACTATCCATGCTCAAAACGAATTTCGCAAGGGATTGGTCTTACTATGCAGATTGCAATTTACAATGATGGATGTACGAGGTAAAAGAATGAGTGGTCATAGATAAAAAAGACATCATATTATATCTAATGCATGAGCTAAGGCGGCAATGATTCGAGACAAGTAGAAAGTCCTATTGATAGTCAGAAACAGGTCCAACCAAAGCATGGAACAAAAAAATAATGTAGCATGTGTAAGGTTCTCAGAGATCTTGGTAGTTATGGTAATATCATTGCCGAAGCATCAATTACTATCTAGGCGTGATAAAGTTTATAATCATTGAACCGGGGGGCGATGGATGGGGACATGGCAGAAAGAAGAGAAGAAAATTGGAGTGAGACATACCCTGTAGGAAATCAATATCGAATAGTTGAATTTGTGTTTTGAGTGTTGCAAAGGAAAGCCATGTTTATATCTAGGTCTTTTGAACAGTCAGCCAGATGTTCAATCAAATCAATTGGTGTATCACAATGGTTTGGGAAACAAGGAGTCAGAATATGTAAGAAATTAAATATCAATCCGACAGTGCCGCTTAAGGAACCCCGGCGAGGGTCCCACGGCACTGGGTCAATCGCAAATTACCGCATCATTCGAGATGGAGATTTTTATGTGTAAAGGAACAAGTCCGAACCGGTTGAAACATACCATTAGTGTTACTCTGTATCAAGCAGAGATGTTAGTCGTGTAGTGTTTGTCGGGTTGTAGTGATTTGCATGATTGGATTGATGAAGAGCACCATTTTGCTCTTGTTGGAGTAGATCATGAAGAACAATCCAAGTGATGTTAAGAAAAAAAAAGTTGAAGAAAAGCAACGCGTCGGATAAACAGAAAGTCCGAGGGGATCTGGATGGCTGACATAAGTGAACCCTAGGCCAGCCGCGAGTGGCCCGCTAAGCGAGAATTGTGTGGGCACATCCGAAATTCGCAGAGCCAACTTGGACTATCCGACTTTCTTCGACAACAACCCTCCGACTCATCCTAACCCGTCGACCGTGAGTGTGATCGCATGCACATCATTTAAAAAAGAAACCAACCGCTGAATTCGTTTAATTCTCCAGACAGCCTTCGCCATGGCCGATATCGATGTTAAGCTCGCTTCGTGGAAGTTGGTCGAGGTTGGCCGCCTTGTCCTGATCCGCAGCGGTCCCTTCGCTGGCAAGCTCGCCGCCATCGTTGAGATTGTCGACCACCGCCGTGTACGTTGAATGAAGAGAAAAACCCCCGAATCTGTCAACCGTCCAAGTCAACCCCCGAAGAGTTCCGCGAAATGAAACATACGACAATCAAGAAAGAAATCACCAAGAACGAAAAAAAACACTCTCGGGGGGAAGGCGAAGATGCGACAAATCAATTCTTTTGCGAATGGTGTTATTGACTGTCTTGTCTTTACAGGTGCTGGTTGACGGTCCCTCCGGTGAGGAGCAGAAGATCGTGCCCCGTCACGTTCTTGCCCTCGCTCACGCCTCCCTGACCCCCTTCTCCATCCCCAAGCTTCCCCGTGCTGCCGGTACCGGCCCCGTCAAGAAGCTTTGGGCTAAGAACGAGATCGATGCCAAGTGGACCCAGAGCAACTTCGCCCAGAAGACCGACCGCGTCCAGCGACGGAAGAACCTGACCGACTTCGAGCGCTTCAAGGTCCTGCGTCTCCGCAAGCAGGTACGTTTACGATGCTTCCAACACAAGAATGGACTAGGATTCGACATACATATACACCAACCCCGGATCCTGGTCGCATTCTACCATTCAACCCCACAGTTATTCTAACAGTTATTCTAGGCCCGCTACGAGGTCCAGAAGTCCTTCGCTAAGGTCCGGGCTGTCAAGGCATAGATGTTTTAACGACGGATTTTGGTGCATAGGATGAAGGAGGTGTCCTGGGATGGGTTTCCATAGCTGGCATTACCGCTAGCAAAATCGCTGTATGCATTAATCATCTACAGCAAAAATGATTCAAAAATCCTTGATGTCCCAGCAAGGCCCTTGCGTCTCATTGTTTTGCGTTCTAGGCCTGTTGGCTACTTTTTTTTTTTCTATAGAATCGGGATTTGTTTCCTGGACTGAAAAAGAATCAAGGAAGGCAAATTTGTGTAGAACCCAAAAATTCTGTGTATTCCATACGAAGGTTGTAAAAACTGTCACCCAAAGAAAGAAGACGAAGAAAAACAACGAAAGAAATGTATGATTTGAATAGATATTAAAAAAAGATGTGACGTTAGCAGTATATATAGCATATAACATAGTACTTTATATGCTATACCTACGATCTTGACTTGGCCATAGTTATAGGGCAATGTGTGGGAGTCCGGGGTGGGTGTAACCGCCTCGCTAACGATTTTCGGTCAGTCTTGCCGCACAGCTCACGGCCTCTTCGATCTTACGCCTAAACAAAATCCACCCCTTTCCACCACAGCTCTATTTCTGTGTTTCAGGTGCGTTGAATGGCTCTATATGCCTCGAAATCGAATTCCCACAACCCGAAATCGCCATTTCCCGCCCGTTGTGCGATTCGTGGGAGGGGTTGTTCGGTTCTCCCACTATACGCCCACCCTCCCACTTCTCACCACATTCCAACTCACTCGACACTTCAAACGAGCTTGCACTAACCTTGTCTATTTTGCTTTCGTCTTATAGACCCCTCCACACACATTCACAATGGCCGATCCCCGCGTTGAAGAGATTGTCGATGACGAGGTTCCCAACACCGTTGAGAGCGACTCCGAGTCCGACAACGAAGAGCCCACCATCCCCGGTGGTGCCTCCGTCACCATCCACTCCCGTGGTGAGAAGAAGGCTCGCAAGGCCATTGCCAAGCTCGGCTTGAAGCACGTTCCCGGCATCACCCGTGTTACCCTCCGCCGCCCCAAGAACGTACGTGCATCTGGTGTTCGTCATATTGGTTCCCCGAAAAGAGTGCTCTACCATGGCGCATTTCTCCGCCAATGATGATTGACAACCTATTCTATCAAAAATCCACGGGCGCAATAGACTAATTGGTTTCTTTACAGGTTCTCTTCGTTGTCAGCAACCCCGATGTCTACCGCTCCCCCAACAGCAACACCTGGATGTAAGTGACTGCTTATAAGAGCCAAAGCTCAACATGAATATAAATTTCAGGGGCGGGCAAAAATACTAATTTATATGTTTAGCATCTTCGGTGAGGCCAAGATTGAGGACTTGAACGCCCAGGCTCAGGCTTCCGCTGCCCAGCAGCTCGCTGCCGCTGAGGCTGCCGGTGAGCACGCTGGTCACGACCACGACCACGAGCACGATCACGACCACGACCACGGTGTTCTCGGTGCCCCCGTTGAGCCCAAGCAGGAGGTCGAGGAGGATGACGGTGAGGAGGTTGACGAGTCTGGTCTTGAGGGCAAGGATATCGACCTTGTCATGGCCCAGGCCAGTGTTTCCCGCAAGAAGGCCGTCAAGGCTCTGCGGGAGAACGACAATGATATTGTCAACTCCATCATGGCTCTCAGCATTTGATGAACTCCATTTAGCGTGAATAGGCCATGATATATCAATAGTGGCTTGGGTTTAACAGCCAGATATGTCTGTCGTGGCTTGCCCTAGTGTAAACAATTCGAACTCAAAAAAAAGAATTGAACCAGCCAACCACCTTCCTTCCAAAGTAAAATTCCAGGATTCTTGTCCAAAATTGTATAAAACTCTCGCATAAGCATATCTGAATTAATGCAGAATTCTTTCTTCAGCAGAGAGAGAGATCTAAGAGTGGTGTCATGAGTATATACAAAAGGTGGCCGATGCTCGGATGCCGGGTGGTCACGTGTTTCCCGCATCCAAACCTTTCCGAGTCAAACTCGCCTGTCCGGCACCTCCCTGCAAATCGAACTCTCCCCCCTCTTCCCTCCACCTCACCACCCCATATCCCCTCCCGTCACAATGGCAGCTGTACGTTCTCCTCCCTGCTGATCAGCGCAATACTCTTCCGCCATCCCGCCGCGATAGCAGCACCCGCTAACCCCCCTTACCCGAACAACAGCGCAGCGCCGCTCTCAAGGTCGACTGGACCAAGGTGTCCACCTCCCTCGGTCTGCGCGGCCAGACCGCCGCCTCCCTGCAGTCCTTCAAGAAGCGCAACGATGACGCCCGCCGCAAGGTCCAGCTTCTGTCCGAGCAGCCCCAGGCCATCGACTTCGCCCACTACCGCAAGACCCTCAAGAACCAGGCTATTGTCGACGAGCTCGAGAACCACTTCAAGACCTTCAAGCCCGCTTCCTACGATGTCAGCCGCCAGCTGAAGGCCATCGACGCCTTCGAGGCCCAGGCCGTCCAGAACGCCGAGCAGACCAAGGGCAAGGTTGAGGCCGAGCTCGTTAACCTGCAGAAGACCCTCCAGAACATCGAGACTGCCCGTCCCTTCGAGGACCTCACTGTCGTACGTATATCTGGCTTACAGTTATTTGCCAAGTATGGCTGCTCATCGCTCTCTTTGTTTAGGACGAGGTTGCTGCTGCTCAGCCCGAGATCGACGAGAAGACCGCTTCCCTCGTTTCCAAGGGCAAGTGGATGCCCCCGGGTTACAAGGTACGTACAACCCTGGTTACTAGTCTGCTTCTGAGTGGAATACTCATGAGTTTCTCATTATACAGGAGCGCTTCGGCGATCTGTCCGCTGTCTAAATGTTGGACATTATGTACCACTTCATTTATTCCCCGCCCCATCTCACTGCACAAGATTTTTGTTTGGTGTCAAGCATATGGCCTTTACGCCCGGGTTCGGTTAGATTCCTATCCATGGTGCGATGGGGTGGTTGGGATGTGTATAGAAACAATCCAATTCAAATGGTTTCTGCGTTCTCGTGAACAGAGGCTTTTTTCCTTTTGTCGTTCTCAAATTTTTGGAACTGGAATATTGTTGAGAATCTAAAATCGTAGCCATAATTGTATACCTATCTAGGTATCCAGTGCCTAGTATGTAAATTTCAGCCTGGTACGCTTAGACGGTATGTATCAGTAGGTACTATATATGGATATTAGGTAACGACTAAATACACATGCAGACTAAACACAGGTGGTGGTCGTTTTTAAGGCATTCAACATTTGAATCCACCTGGGCATATTCTTGGGGTCAACTGGTTTTGGTCAAATTTATGAAAGTATTCATATGCACATGTGTAAACATTCGAATGGAAACACATGCACCAATTCAATGTTGTATCTTGCTGGGATATATACACTTAACCCCTCGGGGGTTGTACATGTGTTGATGCAGTCCCAACATTAAACTATTTTATATATAATTCAAAAATAATTTCAGACTACTACATGAATTACCTTAAGTTTATACGTAACAAGTCATTGCAGATAGCAGTAATTGATGATAATTTCCAACCTTTCTTCCACTTGTAATTTTATTGTGAATGCATTTGAGTGTTCAGGTAAGACTTGTCTTTCCACCTCGAGCTCCACTTATATAGGGATATCATATTGCCGGGGTCCATTGTCAAGATATGCTTATCGCAACACACATTTTCAACGTGCTCTGCTAAAAACAACCTTGGAGATAATCGAATGCTCTGATTACCACCGATATCAACAGACCATAGCTTCTATTATCTCTTAATTGACCTTTAGGCGGTGCAATGCCAAGACCGGTTGATCATCCACAAGCCCCTCCAAGCTACAGCTATGGCTTCGTGTCTCTGTGCCCCGACGAACAGCAGACACACGCCGTAATCCCACCTTCAAACGTGCTCACTTTCTCATCCCGTGGACCTTCGTGATACTCATAACCAGACATGACCAACACCCCATTCTACATCTCAAATTCCCCCACCCCCGACTTTCTTGCGGACTCCTGAGGGGTCCCACGGGAGTCCCTGAACCGTGACAAAAACACCCCGCAAAACAACAACGAGCTCTCACTCAGGGCGAGAACTCACATATCCCCACATTCCAAGCCCTGAAAAATGTCAGCGCAAATGACTCAACTCGAAAAACCAGCCGATCTCCCACGTTCGCGCCTAGAAACTCTGCCCGTGGAGATCCTCGAATTGATCTTCCTCTTCAGCCTAGAGATCAACCTCCCACGTGCCTCCCCATATCTCAGTCGTGCCCTATCAAGTCCAATCCTCTTCACCTGGCTCATCCGCCTCGTCTTCAGCTCCACAAACCCCAGCTCGCGCCATGGATTCTTCACCTCAGAATTCCTACCCCCGCCTCTCGATTTCTGGGGTCTCTCGTTGGAACAACGGCAGCATCTACAGACGACCCTGCTCGCGTGCCGGTGGTGCACATTCCCACTGATGCGAAAATGCCAGCGCGAATACGTCGAACATGTCCTACGAAACAAATGCGCAAACCTCGTTTTCTCCCCAGAAGACCAGAAGACGTTGGAAAACCTGGGTCCAAGACTCGACAATCCGGAAATCGACAGGCAGCAGGGCGCGCACGAACGTCGTGGAAAAGGCGATCTAATTGTCAACGCCCAGCTGTCCGATCGTAACACCGAAACAAGCACCAGCACCAGCAACAGCACCATCAACAGCACCAAGACCGAAGATGAAAACGAATCTGCAAAAAGTAAGCAAAGGGTCGACCGCAAAGTCGCAATCTGGTTCCACCGCGGCGCGGTCCAGATCCGCGAACCAAACGAAGTTTACTATGAAAACGACCTCTTTCGCCTCCCGGCGTCCACACCCATGAGCCCCGGCCTAATCCCCGATAAACTGTTGCAATCACCATGGTCAGATTCGCAATTTGATTTTCTCCATCTCCTATCGTCGGATTTTTACATCGACGACGACATCTACCCGAACAACAGATCTTCAGAGATAACTACTCGCTTAATCCGTAAGCGGGAAATCGAGCCCCTTCGCAGACTGCTGCGGATGGAATTCCGCCTGGCCAATTGTCGGGTTCCGGAGTTATGGCGTGTGGAACATGCCCATTATCAATTGATCAGGCGAATTGCGATTGGAAGGCAAGATCCTTTGGTGCAGTTGGTCAAGGAGGAGCGGTGGAATGACCTGGTGAGGATTGGCAATACGGACCTGTATTGTTTTTTTTAAACCTAAGATGCTACAATGCCTACAATGTTGAGGATGATATGATACGATGACCAAAAGGTTGTGGCAGCATGTATGATGCTATTACGACTGTGATGATATGTTTAGCGTGTGATGCTGCGATGCGGATGAATATGTACCATATGCCTGAGTGGCTTTACCAATGTATGCTACGGATCAAGATGAGAAGGTTGTAATTGTTCGACATGGAAGATTGAAAAGTAGTTTAAGTAGTCAATGGTATTCAACTAAAAACCTCATTCATAGCGCCTGGGTATGAGATAATACAAGGGCAAATAAAAGGGGAATAAAAAAAAGAAGCAAGATAACCCAGATCGCAAGTTCCATCAAATCAAGAAATCGTAACTCATAGCCGCCGTGGCATTGTGATTCTGTTCACGTATTATGGGCGTGATCATTATCCATTTTCTTAGACGACTGCCCTGCGGCGACGTCTACCGCCTCCCCTTCCACATCCACCACAGGTAAGGCAGGAGATGATGGCGTCGAGGACGGTCACGACACCGTCGATAATAGCACGTAGGACGGCACCAATGGTATTAACAATAGCCATCAGGCAAGCTCCGATGGAGTGGAAGACAGCTTGGATCTATTGAGGGAAAGAATAAGAAGTTAGCGAGATAGATCGACGTGGAGAGACACCCCTTGAATTGAAGGGACAGGGATGTCCAAGTAAGTTCAGGCAAGGGATAGTGACGACATACACAAGAGACGATGCAACCCATTTTGAAAGATTCAAGTCGTGTATTTTCCGTAGAGGATAAGAGGTAGTGTGTATGTGTGGTGTGTAGTGGAAAGAAGTTTTGTTTTGTTTTAAGGTGGTTTAGGCTTCGAGGTAGAGGTAGGTGTTGAGCTAGAAGCAGTTGTGTGGAGAGAGGTATCACTGAAGGGACGCATGATGGAAGCAGGAGGCACGAGGATATTTATCTAGAGCCAGCGCCAGAGGCAGGTAGGCGCCAGAAAATACAAATTCCGGTTTGCAGCAGCGAGCAAATCACGACGATATCGATATCGTCAATGGAGCCAGAGATACGTAACAAAGTGTCTCAAAGGGGATAAAGATAGACAGGAAAGGTCAAGCCACAGCAATGATGTGAGGAATGATAAGGCTGAAGGCGACTGACGTCGTTAAGGGGAATATTTTAGAATTTTTTTTTTTAAAGTGATGTGAGAGGTATGATGGAGGAACCGAGCTAACAGAGCAAAGAGAAGGGAAAAAGGTGCATTTGCAATTTTAACTTCCAAGGATCGCATGAAGAATGATCAAAGATCTGCTGGTGGTGACAGTTTACCGGTTAGCTTTAAGCCTATTCCGTCATCTCGACGCTGGACCCGGGATGATTCCTTGATTTTAACATGATTCTGGTTTTTCTCGCGACCATCGTGTGTTCGTTGTAGACCCTGTGTGGCTGACCAGGTGCATGAACATGATATGTCCCAAGAACTCAGGTAACTAAGCTCCGAGTTCCCCAGGGTCCAGGTACTTGACTTGGTTCCTGTTGGAGGTTTAGTGGTTTGACTTGCAATGTTGGTTTTGGTTCTTGACTTGCTGCTTTTGGGTCATGACATCACCACTCGTGGTTTGTACCATTTGCACGCTTTGCTCGTTTAGGAAGTCGCCAAAGTGGGGTAAATAAGAAAAGTACTGCTGACTAAGTAACCGCCTTTGCATCCCACGTGAAACACCCTGCCCTGATTATTATGTCATCCTCTTTGGAGCGGTTGCATTTCCGCCAATCAAACTGTCAGGACCCCTCTACATGTCACATACCCCTGTAGATACCTGTACAATTATGATGTAGGTCCATCCAGATGTCTTGATCTAATAATAACATTCAGAAATGCAGCAAGAATGATTAAGCCTCAGGGAAAAAAAAAAGAGTCAAACTATGTAACAGTGGTAAGCAAATCAAGTGACACATGAAATAAAACCCCAAATTATGGAGACCAAAGCTTAGTTCGGTCCAAGCTTTCTACCGGTGATATATCCAACAGGTTCGAGTTCTTGTCATCAAGATAACCCGTCGAAAAACCGTCCTCAGGTGAACTGAGACCGAGAGGTGTTAGAATGACATCATTAGCATTTGATATAATCTGCTCCGTGGACGAAGAAACGCTTGTCGAATCAGTTGAGCCCGCAGAGCTGTCAGTCTCACAGGGGACCGACAGGGGGGACGGTGCACCAGGCCCAGACCTGACCGGGTCTGGCAAAAGGTCCGATGGCAAATTTTCAGCTGCGTGATTGGCGATCTCTGAAACCGTAGATCCACTGAGAATGTCCAACAGTGAAATCTCCGCACCGAGGCTCTTGAGAAACCAAGAGCGGATATCGAGTGCAACAAGAGAATCAACACCAAGATCAATCAACGGGGCCTGTGTATCTATGTTATCCACAGAAAGCTGGAGTATAACCGAAAGTCTTGTTATGAATGCATCTGGACGACTCAATTAGCATCATAAAGTAGTTAGTATTGTATCAAGACACTCATAGGAGAGACCCACCCAGAATAATTTGCTGCGTTTGTTCAACGCTATTCGCAATGATGAGCTGCTCCTTGATTGAAGCAATCTTACTTTCCCCATCATCAACCGCAGTCTTGCCACTGTTCACCAATAAATGCGACATTAGAGGATTATGAGCCCACGAGATACGGGGATTGACCACAGGATCCACAAGTCTTAACCCCGAGATGATCTCAAAGTTTTCATCCCCCGTAATCGGGCTCGCCAGCACGGCCTCAGCAAAATTCTCCAGGAAATCAGATTCAGAGATCGGGTATGCCCCGATATCGTTGATCTCCTTAGCCGAAAACACACCCGAACGGGTGATATAACCAAGCCCAAGAACCGGGCCCAAATCCATGACAGACGCAGGGAGACCACGGCTCTGTCTTTGCGCAGCAAGCGCAGTGAGGTATGCATTCGCGGCATTGTAGCTAGTCTGGCCAGCATTGCCAGTAACCACACCAAAAGAAGAAAAGAGAATGAAAAAGTCAAGGCCTGGGTCTTGAAAGAGCTCATCTAGATTTCTGCTCCCGTCGACTTTGGGGGCAAGTACCTTGTTAAGCATTTGTACGCTTGTGTTGGTAAACAACGAGTCTTGGAGAACCATGGCGGCATTCGCTACTCCGGCGACAGGAGGCAAGTTCGCGATTATTCTGTGGCAAAACTCGCGAAACTGTTTCCTTTGAGTAACGTCCCTATTGTATTTGGTGAGTTAGTTGGCCAAACGCAAGATGTTCCCAAGATGAAGACAATGAACTTACGCGGAGTGAACATGGATATTTGCGCCCTTTCTTTTGTGTGCATCCAACCAACTCTGCTCTACCTGAGGATTTCTGCTCACAAGCACGATGGTGCGAGCTCCACGGCTAACCATCCATTCACATAGTGATTGGCCAAGGTCAGAGGTAAGACCAACAAGTAAATAGGTTTTGTCGGTGCAGAAAGTGACATGAGCGGTGGCAGGCTGAATTTGTACCGTCACTTTAGGATTCGTCGCCCAATCTACAATGCACTGAGTCGTAATTCCTGGTGTCTGCAGCTCACACTCCTCGGCTGACCTATAGTCCATACCACCGGTAGAATGCGTCATTTCCAACGTGCCTCTAGCATTTCGAATTGCACTGAACAAAACCTTCCTCATTGTTTCCCAACTTTCATCATTTAGCTCTGCTGCATTGACAAAAATATCATCTGCGCGTAACCTCTGGCACTTGGGAGGTATCAAGTCTCGGATGTGAGCTGAAAACCCATGAAGACCGCCGTCAGAGGAGAAATCTGCGAAAAGTGACACCTGCGCCGGAAGAAGATCTTTGATATGATGTACCATCCCCCTTGAAGGTATGATGATCTGCTGTATGACGGACGCTGAATCTGGATTGTGTGCAATCTCAAACAATTTTCTCTCTGTTTTGAGCAGTGCGTGATTCAGCAAAGATACCAAGACTCGTGGTGGTTGATATAGGAGAATATGGCCCCAAGGAGAGCTCTCGTTGAGAATCCGATCGGCAACCAACTGCCACACAACAATTTCCAAAAGTGTTTCGTTCGAGGCCATGTGAGTACCACTGTCAGAAGCACCAAGATGAAACAAATCTTTCTCATGGACTCCTAAAATGGAAGCATTTGACCGAGTTGGAAAGATGACAGCTTTGGAGGTTCCTTTAATCAAGCCGTAGGCGAGGTAGGTTGAACCCAGCGATGGCAAGTTTACCGCGAAAAATGTTGATTTCAGAACTTCAATTTCGTGTGTTCTTGCGGAATCTGATCTTAGAGCAAGCGAATACTGTTCTTGAAGCTTGTATGATGTGTCACAAAGTTCCAAATGAACAGGGACGTTGGAAGAGTTGACCGCATGGGTGACTGTACGCTGTCGAGTATTATACCGATCGTTGCGACAGTTATCATGTACGACACGTGGAATGTACTCTTTGCCTGACCGGAGATGAATTTCAGGCTCCGATTTCCAGACCAGGTCATCGATCTCTCCCGCTTCAGTCCAATTTGTGACTGCACACAGCTTCAGTAGCAGCTGCGAAACATACAGGGCATCGATGGCTTGAGGGTCGTCGATATCAAGAAACTGCAAATGCAGATCAGACATCTCATGCACCAAAGACCGACCGAACCCAATACTCATTTTGCTATATGGCTCAGTTGTTTGACTGCTGGATGTCACCCAGAGCAGGTTTCGTGCGGCACTGATCATGGATTTAAGACCTCGAAACGCGGGTTTAGTGATCGACTTGAAAGTGGGTTGATCCAAGTCACCAATGAATAAGACGTTTGATGGAATAGATTCTGGTGACTGAATAACAGCTTCGAGACTCTTCAATGCGGATATACGTGTAAACTTTGTCGAGAGTATCACGGAAAGGCGTTGGACGATCTTTGAAGTATGTAAGTTTCTCCCGCCCACAATCAGTAGTCCCCCTAGAGAGCCCGGAGAGCCCATATATGGGTCAGGGCAGAAGAGAGGCTCTCGTAAAAAGTTGATACGGGGATCAACTGCCTGAGAAATCATGATGGCCATTGGATAAGGAAAGCGGCCCTCTAAAGAGGTCATTGTATCCACTCCAGAGAAGCCTGATTTTCGCAGGACCTCATCCCAGTCGGCCTCGGTATTATTTGGAGTTAGCTTTTGTACCTCATCGAGTCCGATCCAGAATCCAGTCAATTTCTCCACCAGGGAGCAGCTTTCAATCGATGAGTTACCGATGACTCCAGACAGCATAAGATAACCTCCTGGTCGTAAAAGATTTCGAATATTGGAGAGTACAACTTCGCAAGAAATATTACCATGAGCAACATCGGAAGCTATGACGAGGTCAAAGCTATGCTTTTGGAAACCCTGAGTCGCGAAGTCTGCCTCAAGGTCTAGAGTGCAATACTTCATCTTGCTAGTAAGTCTTTCAAATTTCACTCGCGCAGAATCAACCAAAACCGGACACGAGTCGGCAGTTTTGAAGGATGCAAATCTGTCGTCTAGGGATTGAAGAATCACTTCAGTGCTGTCGCCGGCTCCTGAACCTATATTTGGGGTCAATAAATAAACAGCGCGTTCATACTCTCCAGTCTTACCAATTTCCAAAACATGCATTTGTGGTAAGCGATGCACAAGCCGTTTCACGATTCTTGCTAGGGAGTTGTTCAAGTTTGAAAAGACCAAGCCTTTGCGATAGTGATCCTCCAGAATTTCGTCTTTCGCACGGGAATCCAGTATCGTGCTCTCTCCACGAGCCTCTGACAAGAGACGTTCCCCCATAGAGTGTAGGATGCGTATGTCACTTACATGGGAGAGTCTAGATAAAAGCAGGCAAAGGAAGAATTCGTTAGTAATGCTTGCTCATATCTGAGGATTTCAACTAAACTCACTCTTTCCCGGCTTGGATAATGTCATCTTTTGTATCGTCCACCCACTGTTTTTGAGCACATGCATACAGACCCGATGAGAATTGCTCCAAAACATGCTCCAAGTGGCCCATATAACCATTTCGGTAGATCTGAGGCTCAGTCACTCCACTTGTATTGAGGGTGAGATGTATCTGGCGAAGGTAATAATATGAGATTCGCTCCCGGAGAGAAGCCAACTCCACATTTTCCGTGGATAATCCATCTTTCCTTAAAACCAAATCATCGTCAAAAGAGAGTGGCTCGAGAATGATCTTTGAAAAAATCTTCCGATCGTTTGCCTCAGTCATTGGACGGGATGGCTTGGCAATAATACCTTCCATCTGGAAGATCGCATCAGAAGTCCCATGGGGGAACACTTGAACAGCGCCTTCATTTTGTGTAGCGCCGGCCTCCATGAGTGTTCCATCAAATCCCCAGAATCCATCACCCTCCTTTCCCATCGTGGCAAAATACGGATTGAAACTGACATGTCGCACCAAGACTGGTGTATAGACACCCCAGAGTGCTCCGTCGCCTGGGTAGCTTGTTGCAGCCAAAACAGCTTGGAAGGCAGTGTCCAAAGTAGCAGGATGGATCAGCAAATCCGTGGGCACTCTTCGCATCACACCACGTGAGTGATTCCGTTTCCTCTCCAATGAAATCATGCTCCTGAACTCTCCAGAGTAGCCATATCCCAACTTGTTCAACGAAGAATAGAACTCATCGGTATCTGTGCTGACCAGGTTTGGCAAGGGAGAATGAATAACAGGTAGTTCGGAAGCTGAAGAAGTGCCATAGGTCACTTTTATCTCACCCTCAGCATTGAGCACCAATATATCGTTGTCACTGGTACATGAGTGACAGGAAAACCGGGCTCGCATGACATCGATGGTGTCTGTTGGAGTTTCGACAACGGTAAGAGTAAAGATAGTCTCGACGCCAGCAGGTGTATCATCCAGAAGAATTCCATGGCCAATCTTCAGATCGAACAACTCAAATAGCTGGATTGAGCGACCTTCAGAAATTTTGAGAGCCGCCTCCCAGGCCATGCACATATAGCCAGTGGTGGGAAAGATCGGCTGATCGTAAATTCGGTGGTTCTCCAGCCAAGGCATCTCTTTCAGGTGCAGAATATTTCGCCACTTGACCTGAGTCTCGGTTTTATCTCCGGCGTCTACCCCAAGTAGCGAGTGGACTGCACCTTTCCGGTGCCATTTCTCACGGGCATATCTGGTTTTGAACCAATACGGGCGATCATAGGTCCATGAATGAGAGGGAAGACCGCGGATAAATGCCCGATTGGGGGCCTCGGGCGCAACGCTACGCTCATAGGCGTCAAAGTTGATGACTGATGGACCTAGATGAGACCAGAGCGACCCAAGAGTCTCTGAGAAAGTTTCCAAATCATCTTTCCCACGAGCTAGACATCCCAAATACGGTATTTCTCGTTCAGAAAGAGCATTGAGTGTTTGAAGGAAAGGTCCCCGAAGAGCTGGATGCGGGCCAATCTCAAGGGCAATGTCAAAGGGACCAGCAGATTCCACCGCATTCTCAACTGCATGGTTGAACAGGACTGACTGAATCATGTTGTCTTTCCAGTAGTCAATATTTAGGTCTTCTGTCAGCTCTATCGGCTTAGGGCTGGGATGAACACTGGACCACCATAGAGGGCTGCCACTTTCAGGCATCATTGCTTCGGCCCCAGAGATTCCAAGCGCATGAACATAAGCCGGCACAATGGGAAGCATATGATGGGAATGATACCCCGCCTCGACGCGCAGCTGCCGACAAAACTTTTGCATCTCATCCAAATGGACTTTTAATTCCTCGATCGCGTCGATATCTCCAGAAAGAGTCACGCTGACAGGCGAGTTACTTGCTGCAACCATAACCCGGCCCTTGTAGCGAGAGTGGCTACACAGCTCCTTAGCCTCGGCCAAGGAAATACCTGCCGCCAACATCGCTCCCTTCTCTTTATTTGGACCACCAGCAAGCTTGGCAAAGAGACCTCTATAGTAGGCATTGCGAATGGCATCCGCAGCGGTGAGAAAACCCGCCGCATAGGCTGCAGCAATCTCACCCGAAGAATGACCGACCACTGCAGTGAACTGGACACCGGCTTGTCGAAGTAAACATACCAATATGATTTGAATAGCAGTAATCAGAGGTTGGGAGATTGCGGTTTCGTTGAGGCGCGATGTTTCAGGCCCGGCGAATAATTGGTCATAGAGAGACCATGATGGTTTATCCGCACTGGGCAAGGTGTCTAGATTTTGTTGAAGCTGACTCAGAAGTTTTTGGGCATAGGGTAAGTGCTCGATAAGTCCCTTGCCCATGCCCATCCACTGCGCTCCCTGGCCAGTGAACACACCAAGAATCTTTTTACTGTGGCTGGGAAGTGTACGGATACCCATTGTGGCATCTCCCTCTTTGAGATTTTCCATTTCTGTCTTGATCTTCTGACTGAGTTCACTGGCCGTGAGAGCCCAAAATGTTGTGCGAAAGGGGAAAACCGATCGACGGACTTGTATGGTGTAGGCAAGATCACGAATGTTAGTTTCGGGGTTATCTGTAAGATATTCTGCCATGCGATGCAGAGCTAATCTCAGACTCTGCTCCGATGGGGCGGAGAAGGTAAATGGGGATAAAGGAATCTTGGCATCGGTTCTTTGAGCAGGAATGGGATCAAAAGCTTCCAAGATGGCATGGGCATTTGAGCCACCAAATCCTGCAATCACGTGTGGTTAGCAAAAGAACAGGGATAATTGGCGCGTTCCAAACTCACCGAAGCTATTAACACTGGCTCTTCTGATACCTCCACTCGAGGTGGAAGGCCAAGGAAGAAGACTTGTAGGAATTTCCAAATTCTTCGCAAACGGAGCGACAGAAGAGCTGAGACAATTGAAGTATTGATTAGGAGGAATATAACCATGTTGCAATGCTAATGATGCTTTCAGGATTCCCGCAATCCCTGCTGCGCCTTCAGTGTGACCGATGACTGTTTTGATTGAGCCAACGTATAGCGGACTTGAATCAGAGACAGCATAATTTTCTCCGAAAAATGCCCGTGCAATAGCCTGCGCTTCCTGAGGATCACCAGCTGGAGTACCGGTGCCATGAGCCTCAAAATACTGTGGCCGGTCGAGCTCGGAATCGAGATCAAGACCAGCACGTCGATATGTCTGGCGGATAAGATCTGCCTGAGCCACTCCGTTTGGCACAGTGATTCCCTGTGTTCGCCCGTCCTGGTTGACGCAGACTTCACGAATCACGCATTCTATAGTGTCACCGTCTTTCAAAGCCGCGCTGAGTGGCTTGAGGATGACAACACCGACACCTTCACCGCGTGCATACCCATCAGCCTCTTCGTCCCACATCTTAGAGCGACCATCCGGTGCCACCATGTTCAGATTACTCAGAACTATGAAATTGTCTGTATCTCCTGTTAGCGCCAAGCCTCAAATTCTTATTATCCAACATCGGATAAGTAACATACTAGGTCGGATAATTAATGAGACCCCAGCCGCAACTGCCACTGAGGCATCCCCATTCCTCAAGGCCTGCACAGCCAGATAAAGAGCCATCATGCTTGAAGAACACGCAGAATCAACACTCATTGACGGCCCATGCCAATCAAAAAAGTATGAAATACGATTTGCATGTATACTACGCTCAATCCCAGTACCAGCATAGGTGGGTACGCACTCCAAGTCCTCAATCACATACCCATCATAATCACAGCCCATCATGCCTACAAAAACACCCGTATTTGTGCCTTGCATTCCGTGAAGAGTCATTCCAGCGGACTCCATGGCTTCATAAACAACCTCGAGTAACAAGCGCTGCTGTGGATCAATCGTGTCCGCTTCCGAGGGAGGAATATTGAAGAATTTCGTGTCAAAATCCCGGATACTGTCTTGTAGGAAATACCCTCGCTTTGTGTTTGTTGTACCATGGTGAGCGCCATCGGGGTGGTAAAAGCTCTGCCAGCTAAACCGGTCTTCTGGGATGTTACTCGACACATCTCGAGGATGGCTCAGTAATTCCCATAGACGGGCTGGAGATGAAGATCCGCCAGGGAAGCGACAGCCGCTTCCCACAATAGCGATCGGCTCGCTCCCTCCGGTGGCCATCTGGGAGCTATAATTTTACACTTGCACGCGACGAAATATTTTCAAGAAGACATTTTCGAAGGACTCGAATGAAATGCTTTGAACAAGCCAAGCTGGCTTCTCTGTGGATTTGTCATAGAAACAAAGAAAAAGTAAACGAGCGCTTTTTACTTGCTGTATCTGACAACAAAGCCGTCCCACACGAGTAGGTCGCCTTGACCCTCCCATGCTTGCATATTGTCTGCAAAAATACAGCCACTCAATAGGCTTGCCACTGTGGGGGACCTCTTTTTAGTGGCAGACTAGAAAAAGACTAGCTTTTGAAAGGCCCAAGTCACATGCATACCAAGGCATTGTTCTAGCAACTTAGATTCGATAAGTGCCATTCCGGAAGCCCAGACTCTTGCAGACCTGCATTCAACATTTGAAGACCGCAGTGAAATTCTCAAGAGAATATTCAGTAACCCATGAGCAGCCTCCTAGGGAGTTTTATTTGAAGATAACTTTGGGAAGTATGCAATTTGTACATCGAGCAGGGTATGGCGAAACAAACACCCGATTTGGACCGAGAAACCGATTTTGGAAAAGACTCATGTATGAGTAATAGTAGAAGAAATGGTATGTACCTTCGAAGCGGTCATGCACGAGACTGTGCTACCTGACAAATGAAGAGTCCGTAGTCCTCAGAACCCTTCTCTCCGTATCGGATAGATCCGTAAATTTTGACCCACTTGAGAACTGTCGACTCTAACCAGATCTGGTTAAGGTTGACAGCAACAGAAACCCGCTTTCGAAAAACAGCCAAGGGACATGTTTATTGGTAACTTCTAGTTCTTCAATTCAGATACTCGACCAACTGTTTCATTTTGAATAGAGGAAGTCGACAAAAAAAAATCGACTTCGTATAAGTCGTATGTATCTGGGGTCGAGGTGCTGAGTCGGAGCTCCGCTTCTCCGCCCGTAAGCGCTGATTCAATCAAACAATCAATTGTGACAGGCTAAGATTCTGCAGACGCCAAGAGTCCCAAGACTCGTGCAAGTCTATCTTCCTAAGAAATGAACTAACCGAGTATCCACAGTCAAGTTCAGCAGAGTCGCCAAATTGGGCTTATTTCCCGATGGAACTCATGTCACAATTGGGACCACGATGCAAAATGTCTTGGCAGGGCGGGCTGGGGTCGCCTTTTTTTCTTTTTAATCTCGCTAGAATAACATTTAATGTTCGCCACTGAATGCAACTTAGGAGTAAACCCCAGGCGTCCCAGGCGGTCATTATTTCAATATAGATTAATATGAAGACTATTGGATCTAATATTGGACTAAGGCAGTCTGCTTTGAAATCTCCTTGGTAGAAAACATTGATATCTGGGACGTGTTCCAAAATTAAATCCCGGAAGAGGATCTGGACGTGATAACAGTATTCGTGCAAGTGAGGGTTTCAATATGTATCACACATGCCCTGGGGCAAGTAAAACGCATGATTGTTTGAAGGCGTGCTGTGTGTATGCAGGTACTATTTGGGGCGGGAACCGGCGGTGTATCTCTTCAACACAGGATTGGACGGTCATGGTTTTTGTGGAAATAAGAACATTCCAAGATTACAAATGATAAATAGCGATCTAAATAACTAGGCAACAATATCCATCAATCCATCGATAGATTATACTTACTACACCCATAATCGCACCTGGGCAGCTGAAGAACCTCGGCTATTCTTGGTGCTTTTTCAATGGTTGAGAAATCCCCCTCAGTTTCTCCCATTCACTTTCCAACATAGAAAACAAGATAATATCATACCAAGCACGGTTGTATAGTATAGATTCACGTTCACGCCCTTCCTCAACAAAACCGAGTTTTCGATACAGATGTATGCCGTGCTGGTTGAAAGAAAATGTACCCAGAGAAACCCTGTGCATCCCAGCGCTTTGGAACGCCCAGTCCAACGCCCAGTTGATGGCTTCAGATCCATATCCTTTACCACGTTGTCCATCGATAAGAGATATACCAAGCTTTGCACAGCGATGATGGGCGACGGTCGGACCACGGGTGTGGGCAATAATCAATTGACCGATGGGAATAGGCTTAGTATCTTTGACATCTTTAGAGGCTTGATCGGGCTGAGCCTCAGTTGTGTCAAGTGGATCTGCCTCGGAGGTATCTGGACGAATACAAATAATGACCGCGAGCAAAGTTTCTTGGAGCATTTTGAGATGACTTTCAGCGCCCTTTTTGCTCATCGGGCGGTGGAGGGCAACAGAAGTCAAAGATTGAGTATTAGGGTCGTTCTCAAGCTCCTTCCAAATGAATGCCTTATCTTCATCTGAATCCTCGACTGCACGATAGAGCAGGCGCTCAGACACAAAGCCCTTTGAAACGGCTGCCATTTTGTAGATAGAGATGAGGGTCTTTCGACTTTGAAAATGTTGTCGATGAAAGGTAAATGGGGTTTGAAGACTCGGAGATAAGCATTAGACCGGCGGCCTATTTAAAGCCTACCAACCCCGCTCGCCAGATTGAAGTGTCGAAGGCAACAGGAATAATTCTGGCTGAGTGAGTCAGAGAGAAGATAAGCAGAATAACAAGAGATAGGCAGAAAGATCCTGCTAGCTTCAAATTAATTTCGCAATCCCAGTAATCCCAGTTGAAAAAATTGAAATCCTGATTCACTGGCAGTGCTCGTGGAGGCTTTGTATATAAAGCTTGGCACGGGAGCGCAAGCTTGAACTTGGTCATCTTCTCTTCGATTTCATGCTATCAGAATACACATTAGGCACGGCGGAACACGTATTTCCAAGAGCCAGGCAACGTTCAAGCTAACATCTTGAATCTGCATATTTTGATACTGTTCAGTGTTGACTTGAATGGGATTGTGGATCTGCTTACCTAATCGAAATTGCAGTGCCCAAGAATCAAACATTAAATCCCCATCTCTTGCATCACCTTTCACGCGACACGCGCCCTGAAGTTTTAAGTCAATCACCGATCACGATTCCTAGAAAGAACCCGCTTCTCCAGTGCATTGATTTCAGGTCAATAGCCTGACCATTTCTCGCCATCATGGCCCCTAAAACCGCCAATTCCCCCGAACGCGTCGCAACCATCATGCTATCATGGCACTCCCTCGAACTCGTCTCTTGCAGCACCTTACAGACACTGTGGGCAGGATATGGAAGAATCTGTGCCATCACTGCCCGAGCCACGACCGAAGATGCAGCTCGGAAACTCGACAAGCTTTGTGGATTGGAATCCGGGGTCGTTGGGACCATTTACCCTCTCGTCCTAAAGCTCATATCGCCTCCGAGGAATAATAGCACTAGCAATGCAGACGAGGGACACTTGCGAAAAATGCTGAGCTATGAGGTGGAGCAATATTTCTATACAGATGTGGTCCCGCTGCTGGGTGACGATATTGCTGTTGCCAACTGCCTTGCGTCAACACGCGGCATGAGCGGCCATGGCGAGTGTGAAGAAGAGCTCAGAGGTCTGATGGCTACTATTATGGTCGATCTGCGACCAAAGTTTCCTGTAGTTGGAGGGAGGAGGGGCGCGTTGAATTGCACACAAGTCTACGCAGCTCTGGATTGGCTCGCCAGATTCCACGGCCGCTCTTTAGGATTAAAACCGAGCAACCTGGATGACTATATTTTGCCTCCCCTCCTAGAATCTACTAAAAGACAAAGTACCGGAAAGGTCCGAAGCGGCCTTTGGCTTAATGGAGGCTATACGTATCTTGCGACACGAGGCAAAGAGTACGCTTCTCTGGTTGAGGATAACTCGGATTGGACAGAAGCTTTGTGCAGCAGCTTCGAAGGCTCGTATGAGTCAGTCGCCGAGCTAGTTGCACTCTTCCTGAACCCACGTGGAAGGGCAATCGAGTCTTATATCCACGGTGACGTCAAGTCGGAGAACCTCTTCACGACCTCAGATGGAGAAAATGTGGCGTTCTTCGATTTCCAATACGTCGGACTAGGTCTTGGGGTGTGTGACCTCGCCAAGCTTTTCACTTGTTCGGTGCCTCTGCATATGCTTGTTGATACGCATGAGCCTTTGCCAGATCAACTGACAATGGGTGATGGCGAGAGGCAACTGCTGGAGAGGTACCGCACCAGTTTTCTCCAGAACAAGCTATCCGTTCCGTACGAATGGGAAGACTTTAAAAGACACTGGGAAACGGCTCTCGTTGACTGGTGCAGATTCCAGGCCTCATGGGGCTTTTGGGGGAATACCGAGTGGCTTGAAGCTCGTGTGAAATCGATTCTGGGCGACCAGCAGTGGAGAATCTGGTTACGACAGAATACCGGAAACCGGCCCAGTCAACAAAAATAGACGGGATAGGAAATAAAGCAACAAAGGCAAGCACTTTTATTCCTCTATTTACTTTATCAAGTACATCCCTCCCCGACAGGAGTTTCGTCATTTGAAAATTATTTCAGGCTGGGATCAAAGTGGAGGGCTGCCTTAATTCGGCACAGGGAGTCCAAGCCCCTGAGCCAAACCAGCGACAATCTCGTACAAAGCCCAGGCTCCTGGATCTGGTAATTCCTGGCCCGATGCCTCTCCAACATACGTCGCACGACCAAACTTTGCTTGAAGGTACCTCGTGCCCTCTGCCTTCTCTGCAGCAATACCTACAGCTGATACAAAGTTGCCCGAGCGTGAAAATTCATCATTGAATGGGAGCAAAACATCCATGACAGTTCTATCACCTTCTCTGGCACCCGTATGCGACTTCAATGCTGTCACCGCTGATGCAAGCGCAGTGGCATAGAAACTTGGCGTGTTCGGGGTGATCTTGCCATCATTGAGATTCTTCATCAAAGCCGTCACAAGAGCAGACAAAAGAATACCAAGAATTGCTCCGAGGGTTCCGCCCATGTCGTCAACGGACTTCAAAATTGATTGAATAACATCAAGCACGTTGCCAGATTTAGCACAGCCGGAGTTAACTCTAGATAAGACCGATTCGGCTAGAGCTTTAACAGCCTCACCGCAGTCTCCATCTCCCATCACCATATCCCACTGTGTCAACTTTGGCTCGGCTGTAATTGCGTTTTCGCATGATGTGCGGATGGCCTTCTCCAGTAGTGAAGGGTCCATGCCGATCGACGCATGCTCAACATGGTGTCCGTTTGTGTGTCCGTTTGTGTGCGCGACGGCAGTCTTTTGCTGAGAATGAGAGGGACGCGTCGTGTTCGGCCAGGACACGGCGCTCGTGGCACTGTCCAAGTATCGGATTAAGGTCGAGGCAGATTCGTTTGATTGTCGAGCTGCAGCGGTGAGGTTGCACAAGGAAATTGAAAATCCAGGCGCGTTCAGAGACGTTTCAAATAGACCAGAGAATGTCTTACACGGTGAAATTCCCCACCGTGAGCTTAATTGAATTTGAATCTCATCCGTCAGAGCGGATGCCTCGAGAACTGAAAGACCTCCATAATTGTTTACTAGGAGACCGACCTCATCACCTTGTTCAAACTTGACAAATCCCCGCTCTGCATCGGTTTCGTCACAAAGAAGCTTAAGACAGCGCTCGATAAGCTCCTCCACAGACGGAGCTGGATTCAGGACAAGTTGGCCGGGTTCGTTGTGGATGCCAGCACCAACGACGCAAACATCGTCAGGGACCGAAGATTGCTGGTCTCGACCTGGTACATGACAGTGATCAAGTGCTGAAGCAATAGTGACAGTCTGTGCATTGACTGCTCTTCCGAGTTCAAGAGTACTCTCAAACGAGTATCCCTCCGAGGCCGCCGCCCCGATAATCTTCATTGCTGTGATGAATGTCAGCTTACATGGACCTCAATTATTCGACAAAGTTTGGATGACTCACTGAAAATATGACCTGGTAATCCTCTCCTTCCCATATGGCTATTCTTACTTCTTCCAATGGAAACATCGTCCGTGGCGGGTAAGAGGATGATGTTTTTAACCAGCCCTTCGGCCTTTGCTCTCTCAGCGGCAAGGCCGAAATGCAGACGGTCGCCAGTGTAGTTTGTGATCAACAATATGATACCTTCCTTCGAAGGTGCCATGCGGATAGCAGTCAGAATCTGCTTTGCACTCGGCGACGCAAAAATATCACCACATGCCGCAGCCGAGAGCAGTCCATCACCAACATAACCACTCCACGCGGGCTCATGTCCCGAGCCACCTCCACCGATTATGCTAACCTTTGAATCATCATGGAAAGCATTACCGACAACTCTCTCTGCGTCATTCAGTACCAAATGATCATTCGCCGATACAAGAGCTCTCAAGGCTCTCGGCACCAATGAATTGGCACTTGTAGAAGGAAAGTAATGTTTGGTAGACATGATCAAATAGTAAAAACAAAAGACTCGACAAAGAATGAAATAGAAAACAAATCCCATTTCCCTTCCCTCCACGCCGACTTACTCTGTCTAATAAACCATTCTCACACACAGTGGCAAACAAAACCCTCTTCACCAATCTGAGTAATCCCGAGCATCCCAAATTCAAAAATATGGAGATACACAATCAATGCCATTATCGTGACAATGCCCTGTCGTCACCCCATCCGTTTTCAGCCCGAACCTCTATAGATACTGGGGACGACCCGTTCGTCCCCAGCCGGGACTGCCGAATCCCGCCCCACTTAAAGCTATTCATCGCGGGAACGATCCTCGTCTCGAGGCACTCTTAATTCAACCCCGCCGAAAATGTTTCCAGAACATCTCTTTTCCCCTTCAATCGATCCACTCAATGCCTCTTTACGAGGATAAAAATGGGGCCCACTCATTGGACACCGTATATCGTGATCTCCGCTGGGGTCGGGAGGCCGAAGAAGGCAGCACCGGTGGTTATTCTGGGGATTGAGACCCACTTTCTTTATTTCTTCATGGCTGGTTGCTCGATACGAGACATTTGAAGGCGGCGGTAAAACTTTCAAGGGGAAGACTGGGGTATGTTATGGGGCTCTATCCACTATTTAGCTGATTCACTCTCGTATTTAGTAAATAAATGACCTAGTTGATCGCGGGGAAGAAGGGGGGCTCTGCGATAATGACATGAAAGTAGTAGGCACTGAGTACTGTAGTTTATAGTGTGGATGCGGGGTTGCGGTTGATAGGGTAAAAGACACCTGTCAGTATACAAGCAAGACTTTGAATTCAAAAGCATAAATAAAGCAGAACAAGAGAAGGAGAGGCCTCAATGGGGCTGTTTGTCGTTTGGAAAGAGCTGGGTTCGAACCAAGGCTGGATAAGTTTCCCTATATACTTCTGAAGAATGTTGCGAATAGCTTCGCATGCATCAGTCCAAAAATCAACCCTCCGCGATACTCCTATTTTCCACACCACCTCGTCAAATTGAGCTTAAAAAAAGAAGCGGTATTCAAATTTAGCATGGTCAATTATAAAAAAATGGCAAACATCAACCCCAGAAGGACCCCCAGGCGGCATATAGCCACCGGGGGGAGATCTGCTCGGGGGATGTTTCCCATGTGACTGACTACCCACCCCCAAGGTCCCGCGGCCAACCTTCGGGGAATAGTGGGAGGGATATACCAAACGACCACAGGTGCCAGTCTTATACTGGGGCACCTGAATTCTTCCTCTTAACCCAACTCGTAACCTAACTTTTAAATTATTTTCACTACACAGCACCAACTTATATATTTTATATAAACAATCAAGGATTTTAAAGGGTATATACGAAAAAACTCAAGTTTTTAAAAAAGTCTGCCTCAGAAGACTGAAAAAAAAGGAGGAAAAATGCATGTACCTGCCCTACGGAAGATCTTGGATAAGAAACACTTATATGACCGTGCATTATCTCCCATCGAAAATCTCCTGGCATAGCATTTGCAATGAGTGATGGCCGATTGAATTACTCAAGTGCCTGCCGCTGACATTGCCGCCGACATTGCCGCCGAAAGCGGAGCCTTGGAATACTATCTTTGCGGTGCACATGTGAGTGACTAACAGCAGCAAGAAGCCGAAATGACATTTCCGAAAATAGCCAGGCTTATACATATAATGCGATACATGTAAATACAGTGAACAGAGGAAGAAGCTGGAACCAGCCCGCCCAAGATATCCCCAAAGTCTGGCAATACTTTATCCACCAGAAATCCCCCAGTCCAATCTCCACACTATGGGGATCCCGTGAGAACGATGCCGAAAATCCATCAAGTTGCGGTCTGGACACCTTGAAGTTAACCACGTTGAGCATTTTACAGCTCAGCCTCAATGATGGATGGCCCCTCGCCATCAGGGTGGAAGATGACGTTGACGGTGAGCCCGACAGATTCGAGCATGGCAGTCCATTTAGCCTTCGTACGGAGAGTACCAGGGGCGAATACCATCAAGATCATATCCACCATTGAGTGGAACAGACCCGCGTTCTCATCGGGGAGGATATATTCCTCAATCAGGATCTTGGAGTGCCCCTTCTTCATGGCCTTGGTAACGTTCTTGAGGATCTCCATACAATTTTCGTCGGAGAACTCATGCAAGAGGAACTTGAGGAAGTAGGCACGAGACCCTACATTCTTGCGTTAGAAATTTGTTTCCTCGCATACGATGAACAGAGGCGAAGAGGTCGGGGCTGTTAACTTACCCTGAACTGGCTGCGGAGTAAAAGCATCATATCCGATCTTCTCTAGCCCCAAGTCGTGGTAGGTAACGTCGTTGAACACGGCTGGAAGGTCTTCGACGATAATTCTTCCAGTTGCATCGGGGAACTTCTTCTTGAATGCCAGCATGTCACGACCGCTGCCGGCGGCAATATCCACAATTAGAGCGTCGCCGGTTTCACAGGAGGAGCCGTCTAGGATTCTTTCCTGGACGGGATACCAGTCAACCCAGAACGGGCGACTCTCGCGAACATGCTCCACGAAGGAATGGAAGCGCTCATGGACAGCGACGTCTTGTGCTAACCATTCGAAGGTCGTGAGATTGGTGTCGTACGTGTATTGCATAGGCCCGGCTGAGTGGTTTTCGGGATTCTGATAGTTTGTCTTGCGGAGGAAGTCCGGAGTCTTCAGAACGGCCGGAGCAATATCAACAAAGCTAGATGGATCATGTCAGTGAAATTTCAAAAAATGGGTAGATGAGTTTACATACAGCGTGTCAACGATACCGCCAGATTTATCGTCTGTCATCTCCTTGGAGAGTAAAGATGGCGAATACTTCCCAGTACCATGCTCTTGGGCAAAGTCCATGGCAACAAGGAGACGCATAATTCGTTCTGTGGTAAAATGTCAGCCGGACGTCAAGAAGATAACAAGGGGTGTATGCAGCGGATATGAAAACTAACCGATTAACAAAGGGTTTGCACCACTCTGATTGGCCAGGTCCTGGTAAGAAATGGGCTCGTCTGATTTGGCAAGAATCGCAAAGAGACCAAGGTCATGTGCGATCTTGACTACCATGGCTTGAGTAGGCTAAGAGATGTAAGTAGTTTGCTCGAAGACTGCAAGAATAGACAACCTACCGAAAGGAACAGCTTTAGAATCACATCCTTGGGATGTTCAAGAGCTCTTGACAACTTCAGGGACTTTTCAAGTGCCTGAACTCGAGCGATTTCAGAGTTCTCCACTTCAAACTGCTTGACAGAAGTTTTGACCTCTTCAAGAAGCGCGTGGACTTGCTTTAACTCGACATAATCCATTTTGACGAATTGGGTCAAGAATAATGGTATGATCTGCTGGATTTGTATAGTAACTGAAGCTTCAAATGCAGAAGCTAGCGAATTTCAAAGGAAAAGAAACACTGAGATAGAAAAATATTGAAATGATTCAATGATTCTTCAGACTATTTATGTACTTTCGGGGTGGTCATGCCCGTACTTGGGGCTTTTACAACTTGTTGTACTGATAATGACGTCACTCAATATAGTATTGGAATTATAAGATATATCAGAATATCGACGATGGCGATGGAAAATTAAGTAATATTGAAATTTCATCTCAGCTGAGTGGATATGAATGGATTTATTGATGTAATGCAATGCAGTGTAATGCAGTAGTTCGAAGTGTAAAGCAGGCACATAAAGTTAATCTGGCGCAAGTGGGTCTTGGCTTAATGGTGGAACTGGAGATCTCTTGTGTTACATGAAATCATGGAAAACTCATTCAAATCTTGCTTCTAAGGTTCGTATCTGGAACTTTGAAGTAAGGCCAAAGATCTGTATGATGAGATGATCTAAAATAAAAAACAGAAAAGCAAAGTGGGATATAGTACCATACTTTGCTCTCAATAAACCCACTTTATACGATGGGTTTAGTAAAACACTGAGCTGAAGGGGACGAGTACCTAAGAAAGTAGCTACCATTTCTGATAAAGTTAAGCCCACTCACTCACGACAAATGGCCCTTCTATAAATCTGGAGTGATAACAAGAAACTGCGAGTCTTGGCAGGTGTGGAGAGGATCGACTACACTACTAGTAGTGAGTGGAGTAGAAACTACACACCGCATGTCCTGCACATCAACACCGATTCATGGTTCTTCCTTCCTGTTCTGAAAAGCCAAATAACATAAGACTCACAGGATAATTTCTCCAAAATTCAACTCCACAGTGCGTTGTAGATCGAATCTTCATAGTGGGTCTGATATGCAGGCGGATGGGTATAGATTCAGCTGGATGGAGTACATCGGGCTCCAATTCTTCAGAAATCTCCACCATTCCAAGATTCAATCAAGATGCTCAATGTGGCTGTTACACATTGGCTAGAAGCGCGTTCAGGTCATATCCTATACGGAAAAGATATGCAAATACGAGATGAGGCGTGAAGTCTGTTCCATAGCTGTATCACCATATCAGCTACAGTATCCTCCAAAACCTTGGAAGTTACCAGCTGACTCAATGTTGCCACAGACCTGCGTCACTGCACCTCCCAATCTCCCCAGATTATGTGAGCAATAAAGTAAGTATCTCACTATGCACGTGCAACGTGTCAATAGAGATTATACAATTTTCTACTTAAGATCTAAACTATCTTCCTGGTAGAACCAGTGGAGACAGCAAATACCAATTCTTTCAAGAAAAACAAAAAACACTCGCTATATTATAACAACATGGGAGATATAGGCGTCGATCGGGTAGAGCTTCTCTCGACATACATCTTCAACTGTGCTCGAAGTCGCACCCGCAAGTTAAGTCAGGAGAACGATGCCGAGTCCGAAGCATCAAGCATCGTTTCAGCTTGCAGAGAGCTCGAATCACTCCTATCGCCCCCTGAGGATTGGATTGGTCGAGTTGCGGGGTCTTACAACAATGGCGTCGCGCTTTGCATGGTGCTCGATTTGGAAATTCTCAAGATTCTCTCAGAGCAAGAACTCACTTCACTGGAAAAACTAGTCCAGATCTCAGGAGCATCACCCTCACTTTTAAGTAAGAAAAATTCACAAACAAGACTGTTACGATTCTAATCAGAAACAGGAGGTGTCATGACACAATGTGTGCATAGTAAAATCTTCGACGAGCCTTTACCGGCACAGTATAAACTGAACAGTCATTCCATACGCTTGCTGGTCCCAAACTTTGCATCGTGGATCCATTACCTGTAAAAAACCCTCCATTCCATGCCCCACACCCCCAGAACACCCTACTGACTGATAATCCAGTGTTGACGATGGTTTCCAAATGGCATCCCGCATCCCCGGATATGCCTCCAAAAACAAATTCCAAATCCCCAATGATCGACACGAGACCGCATTCAGAATGGCTTTTCAGAGTACGTGAATTGCCCTATATCATATAGACCAAGTTCATACTAACTTTCTGCATAGCCAACAAACCTTTCTACCAGTACTACCACACGGTCGACAAAGCGCGAGGCAACCGCTTCGACAGCGCGATGGAAAGATACTTCCACCGGTCGACTCAAACACCGATTGAAGATTTCTTTGAATTTGGAAAATTGCCCCCTGCCGCCAGGGTAGTCGATGTGGGAGGTGGTAGGGGTCATCACTCGATTCGACTTGCCAGCCAATATCCGCAGCTGAGCTTTATCAACCAAGACCTTGGCAAAAAGGACCCTACGTTGAAAGAAACCATGGACAAAAGCATTTTGAAGAGGGTCACTTGGCAAGAGCATGATTTCTTCCAAGAGCAGCCAGTTCAAGGAGCCAGTGTTTATATGCTCAGCCATATTTTGATGGATAATACTGATAGGTTAGTGCGAATTCCTCAATGCATTCATTAAAAATATACTGATATCTATAGTGATGGCTGCAAAATACTCCAGAACGTTTTTACGGCCATGACGCCAAACGAGTCAATCTTGTTGATTGATGATTTCCTTGATCCGGGGAAAGAGGGCACGTTGCCATTGAAAGCGAACACTCTCAACTTGCACCTGATTGCAGCTTTTGGGCGGCCATTTCGAACTATGGAAGAATGGGTTCATCTTTTTGTGAGAGTTTCTCCTTCGCTTCGTATTATCTCTACATCGGTAGTTGGGAATGGAAGGGTGGTTTTTAAGCTATTACGAGAAGGTTGACTTTAGAAAGCACTTCTTTCGGTGTTCGGAATTAATATTGTGATCCCTCTCTTTACTGCTCAGGTGCCTACGGTTTCCCCCCCCCCCCCCCCGATATATGATTTCCCCGTGGCTACAATGGCACTTAGACATCAATACTGGATACTGGTATCTATACGTGGAACTTTATCTACACACCCGTGGACGCGTACTTAGGAATAAACGGCGCTCTTTACTTGGGGAGATTACTTAGTAGTTAACGGGTGTCGACAGGTGTCGCCAGTGGTATTAAATTTGGTATGAAATTAATCGATGGTAACAAATTGAGGTAGTGGCAGGGGCCTAGCCGGGCCACAGTAGTTGTTAACTCAAACATACATATTGTAGGACATCAGGCTAGTAATGATGCATAATAACTTGATCCGAAGATCAATAGAAAAGGAAGCAAGCGGCGCACGAAACAACAGGTTCACTCGCGAATCAAGTCTTCTTGAGCCACTCAGCAAGATACTCCCCACTCGTCTTCGCAATAGCATTTCGCAGAATTGAACACATTTCCAAAAGTTCAAAGTCCGTGATCGTATAGGCCGGACAGATCAGGACGTGATCAACTTGGTACTCACCAGTGTGGCCCAGGTTACCGATAATGTTCAAGCCCATTTCCCGAGCATTCCGCACAACCTTACCACAAAAGTCATCCTCTCGCGCAAAGGCAGTCTTCTCCTTCTTGTCGAGGACAAACTCAACAGCCCAGAAGAGGCCCCGGCCACGGATATCGCCAACAAACGGAAGAGGTCCGAGCTGTGTTGTAAGAATCCCATACATCTTGGCTCCACTTCGCATGACTTTCTCAAGCAAATTATCACGCTTGATTATCTTCTGGACGGCGACAGCTGCGGCGCATGCGAGTGGATGGGCCTATGATAACAAAGTTAGCCTTGGTACTTGAAACTTCATCGAAGACTGTACCTGGAAAGTGTGTCCGTGGGCAAGACCACCAGAGCCGGCGGCCAAAGCGTCGAAGATTTTCTGGTGGAGCAGGACGCCCGAGAGAGGAACGAAACCTGCGCCGAGGGCCTTGCCGATAGTCTGGATATCGGGGCCACGGATATCCTCCTGCTCCCACGCGTGCATAGTGCCAGTTTTTCCCATACCGCAGATAACCTCATCCAAAATCAACAAGACTTCATACTTGTCGCAAATGGCGCGGATAGCTTTGAAGTAGCCCGGCACAGCGGGCAAGCAGCCAAGGGTAGTGCCACTAACGGTCTCGGCAATGAAGGCGGCAACGCGATGGGGACCAACGCGAAGAATCTCATCTTCGAACTGACGCGCCAAGCGCTGCACGAAATCCTCGACCGATTCTGTCTTCGCCTTCATGCGGTAATCATAGCAAGGATCCACAAACGACACATTCGGCGACATGAAGTCCTTGTAGAATTCTCGTCGCGACTCATGGCCCGAGACACACAGGGCGCCGATAGTATTGCCGTGGTAGCTCTGTTTGCGGGCGATGACATGGGTGCGCTGGGGCTGGCCACGCTCATGCCAATACTGCACAGCCAGCTTTAGAGCGGCGTCAGTTGCCTCGCTGCCGGAATTAACAAAGATAGCCTTAGATAAGCCGCCGGGCTTATCGGCGAGGAGAAGATCGGCAAGCTCCTCGGTAGCGGCGTTGGTGAAGGGGGAGCCGGAGTAAACGTAGGCGATGTTGTTGTTGAGGTGATTGGTGATCGCTTCGACGACCTCGGGCTGGGTGTGGCCAAGGCAGGATACGGAGGGGCCGCAGGTGGCATCGATGATTTTCTTGCCATCTTCAAGGATTAGGTGGATGCCGTTGCCGCCTACAATTTTGACGGGGTGCTCGGAGAAAGTCCGATGGAGGATGTGGGAACTTGCGACGAAATCGTCGGTGGCCATCGTGAGCAATTGAAGGTGTTGTGGTCACTGGGGAAATGAAGTTTAGCTTGGAGAAACACGTCCTGTTGAAGAATGATTTATGTCTTTATAAATCATGCAGAGGGAATTCACTAACATTTTTGAAGAAAAAAAGAAAAGAATTTGACGTTCGATTGCCGACGCCAGGAAAGCCCGCCGTTGACGCCGGACGCCGGAGCAGGTCGATCACGAATGAGGGGTTAAGGGGAGTCAAGTGGATCAAAAAATGGAGTGGGAAACACGTCAAGTATCGTGAAGTTTCGCCGCCGTTGACGCCAGGTGACTCGAGGGCTGTAGGGTGCGTATTTAAGACCGCCCTGGTAACCAAGCCGTTGGACGAAAAACATGTAAAACAATCAACTCATCTATCTTTATCAAGCCAACTTGTTCAAGGTAAGAATTTCATGGAAAAACTACTATGTCCGCAACACGTGTGCTAATTTTTATCAGGAAATGGAGAAGGGCGATCTTTCATCTGTGGCCTACAGTGGCCCCAAACTACCCAACGTCCCCGAAGACCTGGTAGTCACCAGTGCCCTGGACCTAGAATGCGACGAGCGACTATGGGTTCCCCAATCGAAAGACGTCTGGTTTCGTCCGCTGTGCTTCAATGTGTCCCAGGGCTACTTTGTGAATATTCTACGGGTTAGGAAGAGTGGAATCCTGTCACGCCACCGACACACAGGGCCTGTCCACGCCACTGTTCTACGTGGTCGATGGCACTACCTAGAGCACCCTTGGTGGGCCGAAGAAGGCGGATATGCCTTTGAGCCTCCCGGCGATATCCACACTTTGGAAGTGCCTGATGGTGTCCAAGAGATGGTTACCTTGTTCCATGTGACTGGAGCTTATATCTATGTGGATGTTGACGGCAATGCGTTGGGTATTGAGGATGTGTTTAGCAAGCTTCAAGCAGCGCGGAAACACTATGAGGAAGTAGGGCTGGGAGCGAACTTTGCGAATCAATTTGTGCGATAGATTGGGAGTCATTTGTGTGTATACAAATTAGTTGGGGTATTTGAAGAAAAAGTTCTCAAAATAAATTAATAATAGAGCCCAAGGTATAACTCATGATAGAGAAAGATATAACCCATCCTGGCTTACAATATCAAGCCAGTCAATTTGAACAGAGGATTCCCCTAGAGGCATTGCTGCTCTTCTTCCCCATAGCTTTTCCAAAATGGACAGCGCCACTTCGACATTGCGAAAGGCCCGAGAATGAATCATGTCGAGCATCCTGTCTCGAATAGACCGAATATGGGATTTGAGCGTTGCTTCTCCCCCTGCAAGAAACAAAGGAAATAGAAGTGCGCATTCTGGAAGACTCCGCGTCGGCATTTGTGCAACACTGCTTACAATCGCCGCAACTTGACCAGTGATTTTTGATAAAAGCTCATCTTGTCGTTCCGGAAATGCCCAGTGCATGACACGATATAGATGAATCATAGCCGAGCTGCGGTAGGACTCCGCTAAGAGCCCCAAGGAAACGTCCGGAGACGAAGGACATGTCCATTCAACTAGGCGAGTCTCGAGCGAGTCCAATTCGGTCATCAAATCCAGCACTTGCGTACCCGATGTATCATAATAGGCTCCACACTGATCGGACTCATCCGCAATAGGGATAGTAGCAAAATTATCTTTCAAGTTTTGCTTGAATCTGCTCGTTATTGAGATAATTTCCAAGATCTCAGAGGCAAGCCCAAAATGTGAATCAGGCAGTCGGGGCTCGTCCAAAGTTAAAAAATGATGCGAATTCAATAAAGGTGGTCGGTCTTGCGCGACTGACATGACAATGTCACGATAAGCAAAGTTGCGCAGCAACCAGCGACCCGTATAGGCATCTGCGAACTCGGCTAACATGTGTTCTGCGATTTTTTCCGAGCCGCCCACGGGATCTAACTCATTAAGTTTTGAAGTTATGACCCCAGCAGCGCCCATAAGGTGGAGATACCACGCATTGCCGTTATCAGCCATTATGCTTTCCAATGAGCACAGGACCAAAGACATGGCAAGTGTGGTCTCCACATTGCCTGAATCGGAGGCAAGGGCATTTGAGAGATCTCGGAGAGCCACGCAGCGATTCCGAGTGGCAACTTCCAGGTACGAGGTATCACGTAATGATAGATGAGCCGAAGACCAGGCGATCAACGAGGTCAAAAGAGGAGGGCTATACATGGCCATTGGAAGGAATGCTGCGGGGGTCAGCACAGACCAGGAACATGGGGGTGGAGAAAGGCTAAAGACCCACCAGAAAGAAAGCAGTTGTTCTCCATGTTGCTGGTGAGGAGAATGCTGAATGTTTGAGTGTAATAGCGGAGAAAATGACGTCGACTGGACGAGCTTGTACAATCGGCATGCTCGTCAACCCAAAATAGTATAGGATCGGGATTTTGGGTGAGACGAAATATGTTGGATTGACGGTTTTTGGTTGGTAAAATTTGTTGAGACTTGGGAGATACATTCTTGTCACCGAAGGCTCTCGGGTCCTCCCATTGGCACTTATAATTTAATCGAATGCACTCTTTGCATAAAGGGTGACCTAGGTCACATCTCTTCTTTCTGGCAAAATTTAGTATGGAAAAAATCAGTCACGAGAAATTCAAATTCGCTATACCTTTGTCGGCAGGTCAAACACCCCGTACGCTCTCGAGTGGTTCCTATTTTCTTGACGATCCGCCGAGGAAGGACTCTTCCAGATGCGGGGAAATTGACTTCTGTTGGAGGCATGTTCGTGAAAGACTCACGTCGTAAGGGCTCAGTTTGATACAAAAGAGTGTGATAAACGGCCTGGCGCTAATGGCGCAATACATATTCGTGAGGGGAAGAACCTCAGTCCATGGCAAATGTTATCAAATGTCCGAGAGTGGAGAGAAACCCACGAGGTTGAAGAATTGACGAATCACCGGCCAAGCGGTAAAGGCGGGGGATCACGAGGCCAAGTGGGGCAAAGATAGTGGCCAATCAGACTCTTCATATTAACACTTGATACCGAGCCTCTTATCGGCGAGAGAATGAGATTGTGAGCTGCAACTTCCTCTGGTCAACGGTTCCAACCCTGATCGAAACTCAACGGCAATGCGACCGAAGGTAACGGTGACTAACGGGCCAAGAGTCCGATGGGCCTTTGCTTTTTGTGCCCTTATGGATTGATACAAAGCATAAAATCTGCCATGTTTCCCTAAAGAAGACCAAAATGTTCACTGAAAAACATACTGTCAACTGTCATGCAGCAGTCTAAACTTCAGGATGATATCGATCTTGAGGCTCGTGGCTATCAGCGCCAGATGCCCCGACAATTTTCAACATTCAGTCTTGTTGCCCTTTCTTTCAGTCTGACGTGCACTTGGTCCGGTACTGGCTCATCAATTGGTATCTCTTTACAAGATGCATCAGCAGCTGGAACCATATGGTCCCTTCCCGTAGCTGCTCTCATGACGGCTTTTCTATCAGCTGGCGTGGCTGAGCTGGCATCGGCTTATCCAGTCGCCGGTGCTCAGTACTACTGGGCATTCTGTCTTGCATCCAAGGACTGGCGAGCCTTTGCTTCTTATATGTGAGTGATCTTCCTCAATACCCACTGCTTGATAAATCCTAATATTTGCCCTTTGCAGGAATGGCTGGTTGAGTATACTGGGATGGTGGCTAGCTAGCGGTGCGGCCTGCAATTTCATCGCATCCTTGATTCTGTCAATCGTGGTTTTGTGGTATCCAGATTACGAGATCCAGAGCTGGCAACAATGGCTGGTCTATGTTGGGATAGTGTGGCTTGCAATTGCACTGAATACCTGGGGATCACAGCTGCTGCCCCTCTACAATCGGTTTAATTGTAAGTGGCAATCCCCGTCAGCGGGCCTTGATTCCTAGCGGATATCAAATCTAACTTTCTCAATTTATCACCAGTCCTCGTTGCTTGCGTCACTCTCGCTGGAACAACAGTCACACTTTTTGTTTGCAGTCGAAACAACCACGCAGCTCCTAAGTGGACCTTTGGCGATGCCACGAATGGCACAGGGTGGAAGAGTGAAGGGCTCGCCTTCCTGCTAGCCATCACCAATGCCGTATACGCATTCCTTGGAACTGACTGTGGGGCACATGTTTGTGAAGAGATTCATGACCCTGCTCGCAACACCCCTAAAGTCATCTTATATCCGGTTTTGATGGGTCTAGCAACTGCCTTTCCATTTGCTGCTGCTTGCATGAACGCGATTACCGACCTGGACGCTGTTCTCAACTCGCCGTCTGGTGTTCCCTTGATTGAGATATATTATCAAAGTACTGGATCCAAAGGAGCATCGTCTATTCTACTGGCCCTTTTTGCCTTCTGCTTCTTTGGGTGCACTGTTGGTAACGGTGAGTTGATTTCTTGCCATGAAAAGTTTCAAGCATACTTACATATTCGAATCCAGGCACTACTTGCTCGAGAACAATCTGGGCCGTTTCGCGTGATAACATGCTTCCATTCAGTGGTAAATGGTCCATTATAAACCCCCATTTCCAGATTCCACTTAATGCACTTTGTCTAAGCGGTGCTGTCGTCTCGGTAAGTACCCTCTGCATTATAAAATGTGAGCATAACTTCTCACCCAGTCTACCAGTTATATGGCTTGATCTTTCTCGGTTCATCAACCGCTTTTTCTGCAATGGTTGGTGCTGCTGTTATCTTCTTGCAAACTTCGTGTGCACTGCCACAGGCCATTCTTCTGTGTCGTGGTCGCCAGATTTTGCCTGAGCGACCCTTTTCTCTTGGCCGATTTGGTTTCGCTATCAACCTAATCTCGGTGCTTTGGGTGATTCTTCTTGATATCCTCTGTTTTCTCCCGACCGAGATGCCGGTGACCAAAGAGAACATGAACTATGTGTCTGTCGTGTCGATTGGTCTGACCACGTTTGTGTTTGTGCTCTATTTATTCTTCAAAAGAGGGCAGTACCTTGGGCCCCGGCTACCAGACGAGAATTTTGAAGCAGTATCGTATCAGATAAGTGAAGGACAAGAACCTGACACCGTTGGCCTCGAGGATCCCGGTAAGAAAATTTCCAAGAACGAGTGAGTGTCACATCTTTGGTGCTTCGAGACCATTTCTTTTGTTGAATGCACAGATGTAACCATATAAACCATATACCAGTTGACCACAAGCCTATGAATTTTGATAGTCACTAAGAGAAAAATAAATTACACACATGTGCATATCCCCGAATAGAATATTGACGTACTAATCAAGCCTCTTTCAAATGCTGACACCGCATTATTCCAGGATCCACGGATATGGAAACATTCAATGTTGAACATTGAAAGAACATTTGAACCTGCGAGAAACAGACTCTAAAATCTAGTAGAAACTATACTACAAAAGGGAACAAAATTCGAAGACTAAATGTGCATATCCATGCCTTATATAGAAAATACCTCGTTCTGGCTCAAGGCTCAACCCCTGATCTTTACTGCGACAGGACAGTTGAAGAATCCGAACGATTCACTCAGTAAGCCTCCGACCAAACGCGGGAAAACCGGGAGAACCGCAACAACCAACGAGGGCAAGAAAGTTCGATCAGCTTCCTCACATAAGGCCGATCTCCATGATTCAGTTGCCGGTGTCGAAACTCGACAATAGATCCTGGACGCCGCAAAGTCGGCTAGACCGGTTGGGTAAACGGATTACTTCGTCACCAGAATTCAGGACCTGCAGCATTCGTTAATCTCTCTCTCCCAAGTTTACTTTTCCCAGAAAAAGGAGATCGAAGCTCTTGATCAAGAGAGGGAGAGACTTGAAACCTGCCTGGACCGGAAGGAAGAAGCAACACTTAACGACAAGGAATCTACAGATGGTGAGGACAGTCAGTCTGAACATACTGACGGGCCCAACATGGAGAACTCGGGCTGATTACCGGTAATCACCAAATCTGTCAACAGACAGATTTCCACGGCTTGGGCCCCCTGTTGCGGAACAGATTGGGGAAGCGGTCAAACTGGTGGAATTACCCACTTCTGTTGTTGGTTAGAACCTACCTTCTACAACATACACCATTACAAAAGCATCCTTTAATTAATATCATCACCGTTCCAACTATTCCATCCACAGTTTCATCAATTCATCAGATTTCATCTCTACAGTTGTCTACAGCGTTTGAATTTATCTCTGTTAGTTTGTTGGTTGGTTAGTTGGTTCTTTTCAAGGCTGCCATCAAAGGGGCTGAATGCTTTGACATAAAATCTGTGGGGTGATTGATTTTCGGGGAGACCCGGAACTATGGCGGCCGATAGAGGCCACTCCTAGGTCATATCCCAATTTTAGTTTCTAACTTCACCGCCCTGTTTCCCGCTTGTATTGTATTTATCATATATAGGAATATCTTAAGGGATTTGATCTAAATACAGGTCACTTTTAGAATAGACTTGAGAGTAAACTTGAGAGTAGACTTGAGAGTAGACTTGAGAGTAGACTTGAGAGTAGTCTTGAGAGTAGTCTTGAGAAGGGACTTAAGAATGGACTCAAATGTTATGATTAGTAGGATGTCAGCCTCTCTTTCTTGCCAGTTGTTGTGATAATTTACCTACAGAAAGAGAAGTAGTTAATATAAGATTTGAATATAGCATTACTGATATATGATAGAGGTCAAGGATTTAATGTATAATGCAGCGCTGAACTGCTTGAACATAATGGAGTTCAAAAACTAATATGAATTTGGAATTACTCGTAATTTACTTTCTGCCGGAAAGTTGAAATTGGGATTTGACCTAGGGGTGGCCTCTATCGGCCGCCGCACCCGGAACCCCCTTTTTGGAGGCAGCCTCACTTCGTTCAGCTAGAACGCTACTCCGAGTCTCCGTTATCTGTTTGATCATGTGATCTGTATCATATCCTGTGTAGATAGCTTGTTCTCTTCTTCTCTTCTTTTTCTTCGTTCCTTGCAGCCTCCAATACTACCGCATTGTGCTCGCCCTCCTTCCTCAGTAGCAGACTCCGTGTCTCTCTTCAGGTTATGAGCCCTCGTGCTAGTCGATTCAATCTAACCCTTTGATCGGCTGCCCTGTTCCTACACGGATTCCCCGCGTTTCCCCGCATTACAGGCAACCCCTGTGACGCACACCCCTCGTTCGTTGATCTTATAGGTCTTTACTGATCTTACAGATTCTCATTCACCCTGGGCTTTTGCAGCAATTACATTCCCCACCCCGTTCGCTGGTCACTCAGATCACAGTCACTCAGATCACACACCCCGTTCGCTAGTCTCTTAGATCGCATACCATATCAGAAGAATCAGCCTCTTCTGTCGAAGCTGAGCAACAGCTTCACCTGATGGACACAAGGAATGTGAATCTTCCTAGTCCTTACAGCAACACATTTCACAGGCCAAGATCGCAACAATCGAATGCCCTCGACACGTGGACAATCGCATCTGTATGTTCAACCTCGACTCTCGCGACAGAAGCCCAGGCTTTCTATAAACACATGCAACCCCAACGGAAGAACCTGCTTCTTCCGTCGAAGCTCCTGAGTAGCTTTCACCCAAACACGCTTACACGTACGTTGCACGATCCTGGTGGGATGATATTGCACAACTCTGGTGGGTAGAATTCATCAATCCTTGCAATTTTTATGCCTGTTTTCTGTGGCTTTTTCTGCATCTTACGGCACTTTGTTTGCTTGTTTAGTTAGTTATCAAGAGACTCGACGATGAGTTCGAGTATGGTGGGTGTTTGATCATATGATCTGTACTCTCACTCTATCTTGTGGAGATAGCTTGTTCTCTTCTTCTCTTCTCTTCTTCTTCTTCTTCTTCTTCTTCCTTCCTTACAGCCTCCAATACTACCGTATTGTGCTCACCCTCCTTCCTCAGTAGCAGACTTCGTGTCTCTCTTCATTGTCTACGCACGCTCCGTGCCCTATGCTGCTACGCACGCTGCTCTCTGTGCCTCACGCATATGAATAGCCTGTGAGATAAGCAGAAGTCTCATGTGATATATATATTTATATGTATATATGAGTCTCGCGCGGTTCTGTTTCTAAAGTGTTGTTTGTTAGGAGAAAGTGAACCGTCAACTGTAACCCATTCTGGTCACATGGTCTGCTTCTGGGCATGCTCCAGCGCGTGTGGGTTTTGTGTCGTTTTCGTGATAGGATGAGGGCTGGTAGTTAGTCGAGGGAAGTACGAGCTTCCAGATGTCTCTCTCCCATTCTTTCTCTTTCCTTTTCTGACCATCCCATTCTCCGGAGAAGAAAGACAAATAGTTCTGATTCCTTCCCACCTCATTTTCATTCGTTTCCCATCTCATTGCCATTCAATTCGTTTCCCATCTCATTGCCATTCGTTTCTCATCTCTCAATACTGTGGGGCTGCAAAATGGCTCGTGTGAATTACGGCTTGGTCTCCCTGCCACCAGAGTGCACGCAAAATATTCTCATGTATTTTGATAATGTCACGTCAATCTGCTCGGCCATTCTGTCACACTCATCGCTTTACCGTGCATTCCATGGCGCTCGAGATCTTATTCTGAAGTCGGTATTGAGCAACATGATACCACTGGACTTGCTACCGGAGGCATGCGCTGTTCTTCGCGCTTCCAAGATACATGTTTGGGATCAAAAGACTCGTGATGACAATCTTGACAACTTCCGCCGAAGGCTTATCCCAGCAGAGTTCTCCTTGCAAGACGCAATCTCAATGGAGGAGTTTCATCTGAGTGCAAGTTTTTTCACGGCAGACTTTACATCCATGGCTCTGTCTCGACATATTTTGAAAGACAAGACCACGACCACAAACCCAAACCCAGTCACTGCCAATGAATGGCACAGGGTTCTGCGGAGCTTCTACTGGTGGGAATGGTATACTCGCTCATGTAGAGTGATCTCCAACCGCTTCATTCGCGCCGAGCAGAGTCCAAGACATCTTCAGATGTTCTCGATTTGGGAAAAGGAGCAGCTAGCCAGCGTCGGAGAGTACCTGTTTCACAAGATAACGAAGCGTGAGGTTCTCCAATATCGAAACGCAACACATGCTAACTGGGAGTAGCCTTTAATGAAGTGGCAGCCCATGATATCAAATGGGGAAGTCTGGCATCTGAGGTGTGGGATTCATTATGGCCCCATACAGCTAATGGATTTGTGAGCTGATCCGTTTTTGGAAACATGATATGCGAGCTGACATTCAGATAGTGGCTTCAAAGGCTCCCGTTTCTGCAGCGACTGGTTAGTGCTGAAACTTATGATCAAGGACACAATTTAATGGACTCCAATTGGGAGATGACATCCGATACAGGCTGCTCCTCCAGATCGGGTGTAGATGCATGGGTACCAGCTGCACATGAACCAAAATTTGCTCTCCTCCAGACCTACACCGAGGAGGAACTCAAAAATGTCATAGGAACGCCCTGGGCGTTTGAATCCGATAACGGCCCACTTGAAGCTTGGAAATGGACGCACCAAGAGCAATCATACTTCTTTTTTGTTCAATGCCCCAAGCTACGATGGCTTCGTCGACGCGGGTACGTCATGTGGAATTATGACCGACTGAAGGAGTGGGGGCTCTTTGATCTACAATCGGACCAATTTGAGGACGACATGTGTTAGGAGACGTGAACCATATGACCCATTCTGGGCACATGGTCCGCTCCTAAGCATGTTCCAGCGCGTGTGGGTTTTGCGTGTGTGTTACTAGTAACGAGGGGAACGCTATGATGTGCCATCTAGGTGCACGGGTCGATCCAGCAGTGGACAGTGCCGAGACTACTGCCTAAACAACAATCTAGGGGTCAAATGAGAGATGTGTAGAAGTGTGTATTCCAATCTAGCCACTACAGCCGCTATACAGTAATGACAGTGCTGACTGTACCGTAACGGCATGTCAGGAAACCGTAACGATATGTAAGGACGTACTTCCCCACTACACTAGTTAGTTTTGTGCGAGAGGGCTAGGGTTGGTAGTTAGCTCAGGAAGTGAGAGCTTCTCTCTCCTTCCTTCCTTCTTTCCCCTCTCCATCTCGCTCAGTAGTGAAGAATACAACACAATTGCTCCTTCTTCACCTCCTCATTACCATTCGTTTCCCCCAGATCCTTGTGGGTCTAACAACATGAAAGAATTGAACGACGATTGGGTCTCCGATATCTACCGAGACCCAAGACAAAAAATGGAGAGATCGTGGCATATCAGAAGCGAACTTTACGACGATTGAATGCATTTCAGTAACCTTTCATACCCATGGCAGAATTTTTCTTCAGCAAGGATAAAATGCCCCACCTAGAATTGTACAGGGTCTTCGAGTCCCCAAATCCATGCCTGCTCTTGCGTGAACCCGTTACTCGGGACATTAAAATCGACGAAGAAAGGCTCCAAGGGCATATCGAGTCCGTGAACGGGGTAGGCTATAGCGACTTTTAGCTGCGAGACTTCGCAAGACCGAACTTGCAGGTTACATACCTTCATCAAAGTCAGTAGATGCCTGTTGAATTGCATTTTCATGAGTGGAGCCAGAAACACTCGGAGCATCATTCGCTTCCGCAACTCCAACGGGTCGCGGATACTGGCTGTCATTCAAGTCCCTGAAGTCGTCACATCCATCATGAGTAGTTTCGCGAGAGTTAAGACTACTGTCATTTCCAGCGCCTAGGATAGCTCTGAGTTCATTTTCCATCACCAATCGAGTCAACTGCTGTAAGATTTCAAGTCCTTGAGCTGAGAGGGGAGATTGTGATCTTGTCTTCAAATGTGTCTGCATATTCACCAGCCAGCGTAGTCCAACTTTGAGCTGATGGGAATCCGACGTCAAGGGCTCAATGCTAGTCAAAACACAAAGCAAAACACCAGCGGTGAATGTGTGAATGCTAATGAAAGATGCAGCATAGGTATCAGCGGCAAGATTGAATATTGGCGATTCTCCGATTTTGGCAGTATTCATTGCAGCCTCTTTGCAGATCTGCATGGAGGCACGAACTGCGTTTGCCAGTGCATCCGCCATATCATTAGTTCTGGAATCGACGTGGAACTTTGTGCGGTATGTAAGAAGTGGGCGGTGGACAAGAATTCTAGCATTTTCGTATGCAAGCGCCAGAGCGAGCGCTTGAAGCTGGAATATGTGACTATCGAAGACAGGGCCAGATGCGCCAACATCACGGTCCATGTCCTCTCTCGAGAGATGATATGTGTGGTTGCTGCGGTCCAGGTGTAGAGAATCGGGTAGCTCGGCTTTCCACTGTTGTAACCTTCTATCCAGTAATGGGATCTTGCGGAGTAGTTCTTTTAAATCAAAGGAAAGGGTCTGTCCCCTACGATTGTCGCTTTGACGGGATCCAATGCCGTATAGATCAGTCAAAGTGTCTTTCAGAAAGATCGACAACTTCGACATTAAACATTTGTAAGAAAGCAGAGTATCTGGACACCGGTGTCTCTCCGCATTATTGACAGGCGATACCCCAATAAGTATGGGCGAAGGATCCAGGAGCCCCACACTGCAATCGGCATCGACAATGCCATGAGGATATCCATATGATATTGAGCAAAAAGTCTCAATCTCGTAGATAGCCCACCAGCAGCGTTTGCGAGTCTCAATCATTTGTCTTGCCTGGATGGACACATGCTCGACTATGGGTACTTTTCGATGTAAACCAAGTGCTTGTGCGACTCGGAGCCCGCAGCCACACACAGGCCACGCTAGATTTGGGCTTCCATTATAGAGATAGTATGTTCCCAGTAGGACACAAGTCTGGACAGACTCTATTGAGCCGATGGAGACGATATCGAGTAACCTGGACCGTATGACTGTAAGGATATTATCCTTCAACAATGTCAAGTCCACATCTCGCGCTTTCAATATCTGCTGCCTGTACTCTCCAGCATACTGCGCAGCAATTGCGATGACCAAAAGAAGAGTGCTGATCATAGCAACGTCTGGGGCCGTCTCAACAAGATCATCGGCAGATAGTTCATACAAAGTTTGCCATTTTTGTCTGAAATCTTCCTGGTGAAAGACAAGCATGAACCAATGCACTCGATCAAAGTATGTGTCAACCAGTAATGCCGCAGTATCCCGACAAGGTAGTAGCGAGACCAATTCCATTGTCACCGCTCGTGAACCTTGGAATATCGACTTTGGTGCATATGGCCTGCCTGTCCTAAGCTCCAGCCCGGAGTTAGCCATGGTGGATGTTTGTGATGCGAGAGGTTCATGGCCTCCAGGCATGGCTGTTGTCAAAGACACATCTGGCGAGGTAGAGTTATGCAATTCAAACGCCTATAGATAATAAGCATCCGAGCTCATCGTCTTTGACAGCAGCTTACTCACCCCCGATACTAACGACATTGTTGAGCTAGACCAAGGCTGATCACCAAGGTGGCTGGTACCCTCGGGCTCATCGTGTCTTGCCGCGGTACTTCGACGGAGAGGAAGCCTAGCTTGAACACCCTCGCCAGAGCTCCGAAATGGTCTGAACTGGTCAACGGGACCTGTTCGGCACTCGATGCCTGCACGCTTGCAAAGAGTGCAAGGGCGCTGAATATCGCACTGCTTTCAAATCAGATAGAGAAATGGAAAGGGTTCGTGGGGTGACTCACTCTTAGCTTCTGATGTCGACACCTTTCGCAGGCTCTGCCTACTTTTGTTCGTTTGGCGCGGGACGCCATTGTAAGTGTGGAGACCAGGCAAAGGCCCAATGGCCTGGTGCACAATTCTCAAGGCATGTAATTTCCCGAGATATTCAGGGTCCAGGGAGGTGATTCCGAGCTGCCGAAGGGAGGGACGGAACGTTTTTCCACATGTGGTGACAACCCCGAATTCCTCTCGCACACCGCCTGTGCCACCGGACCATACTGCGTGTTGATTGGTTCCAAAGCTGATCACGGAACACGCTATAGTGGCACTGATACAGTTGTTATTTCCCACGCCAATCCATTTTCTTCCTTACAGTGTGCCCTTTGAAGGATTCATCAGAAGTCCATGGCCGAAGCAAAGCGCAATTGATTTTATTCATTTTCTACTTGCGTTTTCAAATTTTTGTTTAAAAATATCCTGTTGTTGTCCCGAACTACATACAAAGATATACTTTATCCTGTGCAGTCATTTTCAAATGACGACAAGATAGATTTCAAAATTCATACATATATGGCTTAAAAGCTAACAACAGAATTCACCTAGTATCCACCCGCCTTCTCAACAATAGGCTTGAATGACACAGTCACAGGTTCCTGGCCAATCCCTCTGCTCTTAGCATCTTCCAAAATCGCAACGGTAGCCGTCGCGCCGATGCGAGTGACACCGATGCTCATAACATGAAGCAAATCATCAAGAGTGCGAACACCACCCGCCGCCTTAATTTGAACCTCAGGACCAGAGTGTTCCCGCATAAGCTTGAGGTCCCTCACCGTCGCACCAAGGTAATTATACGAGCCATCGTTCTGCTTCACAAAGCCGTAACCGGTAGAGGTCTTGACAAAGGCAACCTTCAGCTTGGTGCAGATCTCGCAAAGCCGAACAATGTGCTCAGACTTGAGGTAGTCGTTCTCGAAGATGACTTTCAAGATAGCGCCACGGGTGACGACGGCTTGATTTATGGCATCGATTTCGTGGGTCACGTACTCCCAGTCACCGCCAAGAACCTTTCCAACGTTAACCACCATGTCGATTTCCACGCCGCCTGCCTCTGTGGCGGCGATGGCTTCGAAAACTTTGATCTCGGTCGTGCTGTTGCCGTGTGGGAATCCGATGACAGGGCAGATGGCGACGTCGGTACCGGCTAGCTCTTTTCTGGCGAGAGGAATATGATACGGCTTGACGCAGGCGGTCGCAACATGGTTATATTTGGCAATCTTGAGACCTGACAGGACGTCTTCATCTGTCATTGTTGGGTGCAGGAGGGAGTGGTCGATCATTTTGGCGATCTGAGACAGGGTAACAGTGATGGTATTTTGAGACATTTTTGCAAAGTATTTTCATCAAGTGGTTTTGGAGGAAGAGTTGAAACAAAAGGAGTATTCATCGATGAAGAATGGTCTAGGATATCGAAATCCTGGGGGGTTTGAAGTCTTATGTATTTATGTCCATGTTCCTTCAAGCTAAATACAAGAAGGCATTAAAAAGCATGTGGGTCCACCGGGATGTGTACTGGCGGGAATAACGGCCATCCGGAAAATAGAGAATATGACATAATCAAATTTTAAATTGGCAGAATTTCAAATTTCAATTTTAAATTACAAACTTAAATTACCTACCCCAAACTGGGATACCCAAAATCTACCCCACTCAATCCTACCGCTTCCTCATATTCTCTTTGTATATACTCCTCCACCATCTCAATCGCTCGTATTAAGGGCGCCCTATTTATGCTCCCATTCCTATTCCAAATGTTCGCTCGAGATATTTTAATCCGACGGACAATTGCTGGCCATTCTTCCAGTGGAATACCTATTCCTAGAGGTGGAAATAGCTCCTAATCATGATTAAGCCTAAGACCCCTTCTTAAGCCTAAGCCTAAGCCTAAAGCTTCTCCTATAGTAGAAGCTTATATAGGTAATGATCGGTATTCACGTAAAGTTGAAGACTCTCTAGGTATCACAAATTATATAGTATATACTATTGCCTGAGGTATTAGTAGCTATCCTTCTTTTTAAGGTGTTTAAGGTATTTAGGGAGCTTTTCCTTTTCCTTTTCCTTTATCTATAATATTATTAGCTATTAGCTAGATCACTTTATCCTAGTATATTTTTAGCTATTTATTATTAAAATATTTACCTATTATCTAATCTCTATACTAGCTAATCCTTATATAAACTATATTTTTAGACTACTATTTAGTATCCTTTTTTCTAGCCTAAGCTTATTACTAAGCTTATTTTTTTTTAAGAGGGCTAGAAGATAAACCCCTATATATACTCTAAATAGGGATTATAGAGATTATAGGAGTTTCTAAAATAAGATTAATTAATAGTATTATATAGTATAAGAAACTAGAGTCTTCTAAATCTAGCTCTAACCCTTAATCTTCTTTTAATCTAATATTAACCCCTTATACTATAATAGAGGAATCTAAATCTTATAGAATAGTTTATTATTATTATTATATTTATAGTTAAGTTTAAGTTTAAGTTTAAGTTTAAGTTTTAGTTAGTTATCTAAAATATCTTATTAATATAATTCCTATTATAATATTTCTTAAGTTCCCTTTATTATTTATAATATTAAGTAGAAATACTAGGGCTTAAGGACTAGATTAATAGGAGGTATATAATATATAGAAGCTAGGAGGAATAAGCTATTAATAGAAATAGCTTCTATATAGTAACTAGAAGTAAGTATCCTCTCTCCTAAATCAAATATTAATATAATATTATAATACTAAATAAGTACTTAATATATATATATTATTTAAGTTTATTATACTAATACTTAATAAGACTAGTTTTAGCCCCTTAACTAGGCTTAAATTAGTATACTATCTTTTATTAGCTACCTATAAGTACCTACTTTATAATAGTATTATATCTATATTAGATCTCTTCTAGGTATTTAGGCTTCTAATTAGGTATATATATTATACCTAAATACTCTTATTTAATATATTAATATAAAGTACTTTATTTCTTAAAGACTTACTTATATATTATTATACTATATAATATAATATTATATATCTTAATATTCTCCTTACTAAGAGTAACTTATAGGTAAGGTAGGGTATATAGATAAAGAACTATATTAAAGTTTATATTACTAAAATCTTTTATTAGGAAATTATAATTTAGCTTATTAGCTATTAGTAATATATAATATATTACTAGATACTAACTAGGGTTATAATTAGGGATTAGTCCTATATAGCTTAAGCTTAGTATATATATTATTTATATATTAAAGAAAGGTTCTTACTATAGGTATATCCCTAACCTAGGTAAGGATTTTAAGAAGTTATAATTTTAGCTTATTTAAATACTATAAGCTAAATACCTAAACTATCTTATATAATAAGTTAGGATATTTTAATAATTAATAGAAAAAGTAAAGAGAAAGGATATCTAGAGAGGATAGATAGAGAGGAACTCTTAGTAATAAATAATACTAATATATATATCTTAATATCTATCTTAGGTATATATCTAAATATATATAATTAGATAATTTATCCTTTTTTTTTTTATATCTATATATATTATTATTAGATATTCTAAGTTTATCTCTAAGAATATTTTTAATTTATTTTCTAAGTTTTTATTAAAAAAAGAAAGAAAAAAAAAAAGATACTAGAAAAAAATAAAGGAAAAAATAAATAGGGAACTAAAGAAAAACCAAAAAAAAAACTAAAAGAAAAACTAAAAGAAAAACTAAAAAGGAATATACTAAGAAATAATATTTCTATTTCTTATATAATAAGGGGAAGATTTAATAAGATCTTTAATAAGTTTAGTCTACTTAGTCTAATTCTAAGTTTATTTTAAATCTTAAGTTATAGACTATGATTATTCTTAAGAATATAGCTATTAATAAGGTTAAGACTATACTTATTAATAAGATTAAGGCTTTATTTATTAATAAGGTTAAGAATATGATTTTTAGTAGGATACTTAGCTTTATATAATAGATACTTAGCTTTATATAACTTCCTATACTTCCTAAGCTTTAATAATAGTTTTAGTTATTTAGGATTATAAGGATTAATCCTATAATTAATCCTATAATTAATCCTATAATTAATCCTACTTAAAAAGATTAGATTAAGTTAATAAAGAATCTACTAAAGTCTTATCTATAGAGTTTATATTTAGGCTTCTTCTAACCTAATCTCTATTACACAACACTCTGTGGTCACAGTAAGTATCATTCGTTAGGGCTTCTACTTACCAAGTAGATACTTAATCCTTAAGTCACCGATTCGCAACCATACCATTACCAGTTAACATTAGGCCTTATACAGGCTCGGGTCTATAGAATAGACTCAAAGGAGGCTATGTCCAAGAGGGTATTGCCTAGTTAAGCTATACTTGGTTTCTAAGTCGAGAGACTAGAGACTAAGGATACCTCTTTCTAGTAGGGTTTATCTTATATAAAACTGATAGGTAAATGAACTGTTAGGTTCTAAGTAATAATATATGGATTGATTGTGAAGAACTAAATATATATAGGTAATGATTATCTTATATATCTAATCCTTCCTATTGCTTAATAAGTCTGGGACTTATTACTTAATATTCTCTAGGCTTATTAGTTGATAAGTAGGTCTTATTACCTAATAAGTTATTATATGATCCTTATCTATAGGATCCTAATACTCCTAGGATCCTACTATTTATATAATACTAGTAGTTATTATTTATTATAGGATATTGGTATTCTTAGGATAACTAGTATCCTATAGAATCCCTTAATTATAGTATATCCTAGGATACTCCTATTTGTGTAATAGTTGTTATTATATAAAACTATAACCTATATATTATTATAGGATATTCTTTTATCTTAGGGATCCCTAATCCCTATAATACTATTTATCTTGTGATAGGCCCTTTCTTATATTACTTTCCTAAGTTATAGTCTTTTTATTGTAATCCTATATTATTCTATATTATTTAGGTATAATAGAATAACCATAGTTCTTAGAATTATACCTTCTATATAACCTATATGTTAGATAATTTAGTTGGGTCTTATTACCCTGTGGGAGTATGACCCTTATAGGTCTATAATATCACCCCCTCCTTTCCTAGATCTTTGCCCTTAAAGATTTTCTTATAATTACCTATCCCTTTATAGGTAAGTATTAACTATTTCTGATTTTTCTTATATTTTTCTGATTATATCTTCTAAGGCTTCTATCTATAAGAATACTTTATCCTAATGTATTATAGATGAGGGTTATTAATCTATTATCCCTTATGATTGTTATATTTATCTTAAGTAAGTATATATTCGGTCTGATTATTTAGATTATTATAGTAGTTATATGAAAGGTGGTAGTAGTATAAAGTATACTATATCCTATCCTACCTATTCTAATACTGAATGGTGTTGTTTAGTTAAAATTTAAGGGGAGATTACTAATAAATATTAGGCTGCTTTTTAGGTTAGCTAGGATATTATAACTACTATAATATATCTTAAGTATTAGGAAGTGTTACTTAAGAAATATACTAGTAACTTTATTACTTATAATTTTAAAGATATTACTAAATTAGAAGAACTTAAGTATTATAAAAAGGATAAACTAGATTAGCTTAAGAAGGAATATATTAATACTAATTATTCTAAAAATAAATATAAAGCTAAGACTACTTTAGCTGTTAAAGAGTATTCTAGTCTTACTAATATTAAGGATACTTAACTTCTTATAACCATATTAAAGGATCCTACTCTAATATAGATAATTATATTTATAGACTAAAATAGTATTAATTTTAATACTTTCTTAGCTACTATCCCTTATAGATCCTCTTTACTTTTTAGTAATATTATTAAACTAGCTAGTAGTAACCCCTTAAGTTCTTAATTAGTTCCTATATATTTTTTTTAATAGGGTACCCTTATTATTTTATTAGGAGTTATTGTTAACTATTTTTCTATTAGTCTACTAGGATTTCTTCTATTTTATATTCCTATTTATTAATATCTTTGATTTTAATATTGGTAGTGATTAGTATATTCTCTAGTACTTTTTTTAGTAGTAAAATATAAAAAACTAGGTATATTTATTTTATATTTTTTGGTAACTATACTTAGTAGTTAATTAGTCTTATCCTTTCTTTAATTATAAAAGGTCCTAATTTTTGGTGGTTAAGTTTCTTATTAGGTTATTTAGTTTTAATATTTCTTTATAGGAGGTATACTCTCTCCCCTTTTTTAAGTATAGGCCCTTCTTTATAGCTTTTATTATAGTGATTTTTTATCTATAGATTAAAGAAGTTAATATCTTATACTATCTAATTATATA